AATAGCATGAAGATGTGATACAGAATGAAAAGGATATAAGTGAGACAATAAACTTCAGATAGGTTCGAAACATGCCTGCACTATTTTAATATAGACAGTTGCCTAATAATATATCAAGAACAGATACTGGAGAAACAGTTCAGTAGTCACAGAGTAGCATGCAGGCGTGAAGGACTTGTTTTGGTGCTAAAAAATAATCATAGTAATTCAGGAAGAATAAGAGTTTCATAGAGTTTCTCTAAAAAAACAAAAAACAATTTGGCGCGAATTCTCAATTTTTCCTGAATATATGTTTATCAACCTTTCGAAATCTACAATTCAGAAATACATAGACAACAGAGGTAACAGAACAATCGAACCACTAACACAACTAACATAATTCAATGAATTGAATGCAGCTTAAAGGGAACCTGTCATGTAAGGTTCAACTTTAATGATAACACCTCCTAAAGCAGTAAATATACAATTCATCATAAAAATAAATAAAATGTTTAGGTTTATTTTGTTTTGTTTTTCATGTGCAGAGATACATCACTCATATTTCAATACTGTACAATATCAATCAAGGATAGACAAAATCCTGTGCATAATAAACAAATGACAGGCTGCACATTTTTTAAAGTGATAAACAGGTGAAAAATCGGGTGCAGAAAGGAAAATGTAACGAGATATAATATGATCTGTGTACTGGTTGCGTATTGTTAGGCGGTAACCGTAAAGTAAAGCAACACGGGGAATAATCAGTGCTGATTGCTTGGGAGGTTAATACATGTACCCACACCAGCACCGTATAACATCAGAGGTAAGTTAAAAGGGACTGAGAGGGTAACTCCAGTCTGAGCAGAAATGGTGCAACTGCATTGTGCGATAGCTTGGATCCAGCAACAAAATATAATTAAAACATAGAAAACTACGCCTAATAGAGAGTAAAGATGTGGCCATCAACTGAAGAGGTTTGTCAGCCTGGTGTTACCACTCATCATTTCCCAACATGACTATTGCAGCTTGGTACTCATTTCCACACCCTCATTTCTCGTCTTCAGCTTGCTGTCTCCAGGCTCATCTTCTGGACTCCAACACCTCACCCTTTGCCAATCATTACACTGGCTTCCAGTACCATACATGATCCAATTCAAACTACTTACACTAACTGCAAAGACCTCACTAACTCCACTCCTCACTACCTCTTCTCAACAAATTTAACCCATTTTACTCCATTCATTCAGCAAGTGACCCTCTGTTCATATCTGCTCAGTCCAACATTGCCAACTCTAATCTGCATAATTTTTTAAGGGCAGCCCCATTCTTTTGGAATTTGCTAACTTGTGACAACATACTCTCCCCAAGTCTCCAATTCTTGAAGAAGTCACTAAAAAACACACCTCTTCAGGAAAGCTTACCATCTTCCTGGGTGATGTTTCTCTCATTTCACCGCCCTTGTCCCTTCCCTCGCCTCCATATCCCAGCTCCCTCTCTCTCCCGCCACTATTCAGTTCTTCCTTACACCACTTACACCAGCTTATTTTAATCCAGGTATTGTATCCATCAATCGCTACCCCCCTTTGACATGTTGCTTTTTTCTGTTGTGTGTCTTTACCCATACCTCATAGATTATATGGGCAGGGTCTTCTTCACCTCTCGTCTGTTATATTCTCTAGTCTCATATCCCTATTTTATAATTGTAAAGTTCTGCAGAATTTGTTGGCTCTATATAAATGCTATTAATAATAATAACACATGCTTGGTTGACCAACACCTTCCAGGCCAGTCACACACAACACCACACTGAGAAAGCTGCTGATATGCTTTCTGCATCTGTGGATCTACCACCTGCCCATCCCTGTTATACAATAGTATTAGATTCTGAGACAGTCTGCAACCTTTCCAAGTAATCCCTTGGTCAATAAAGAGAAGCTTGTGTGACTTATCTTGAATGTTTTAGGAGAGTTTGTCATCTAGTGTGTTTTGTTTTTTCAATAAGCCAATATACCAACATTTAAGCAATTAATTACAGCAGATGCGTTATCTCGTTATAGCTAATTTGTAAGATTGCTTCTGGAACTCATTCTAATGCAGTCTTCTTTAAGTTTCTAAACTTAGTTGTTACTGTCTCGCTGTCCCTCTCTTTAGCAGAATGGGTTGACGTGACGTCAGCTTCAAGATGAAAGGGCACTCTAGAGATAAAAGACAAAGCCTGTACCTGAAAGGGTACATGAGCCCAGCTGAGAGAGAAGGCTTTTATGTCCGCTATTACTGCTGTGTCTATGTTGAAATGGTGCCTTCTGCTTGCTGCCAATATGTCATGGTGTTTGGAAAGAGGTGGTAGAAGGACATGTTCTGCTAAGGTGAGCTTCTGTTGACCCAGACTTGAGTGAGGGAATTAACAAATTGTTTATTATAGACATTCTACTCTTATGGCTTAAGGTGTCTGTTTTGTGGATAATCAAATGCAACGTATGAATAGGCCTGGATGACGGAATTGTTTGCCTCCCAACTATTTAACAAGCAACACAGGCAGTCACACATTCCACAAATCAGTTGAGGAATCTTTGTTCTGAGATCCACCATCAGTTCTTTTCTCTGAACCTATTCATTGCTAAGGAGATTGCAGTGAGTATTCTGTGTGCCTTGTACAAGTTCCATAACATAGCTGCATCACCCCGCTTGGGACAACTGGGATAAACCAAATGCATGATGTAGGCTAAGCTCCCAAAGGAATGGTATGTTGGTTGTAAACAAATACCAGAGATACAATGGGCCATTCAGAAACTTCTGCCCTTGAAACGTCCGTGTGTAAAGGCCTTTATTAGGGATCTCTCTTCATAAAAAGACACTGATGATATCTCTGGAATGCTATTTTTGGCCATATAGGTGTACAATATTATACAATTTCCAAATAGGATAAAGGAATTTCAGAGAATAAGTCCATCATAGATTTGCTATATAGATTTAGTTTTAAAGTTAAAGTTCAGCTTCCTTCCATCACTGAAGTGTGAATTGTTGGGAATTCAAATTGAATTGAATTCAAACTTAATTTATTGCACAAATTCTATGTTTTCTGTTTAGTTATTTTGCCTACATTTTATCTTTTTTTTTGCGTGTTTTCACTTGAAATAGGTTTTGGATTGCCTAAAATGTCTTCACCTCCAACAATTCATACTTTGATGAATAAACGTGTGAGGATATAAATTATTTGGTTTGATACATTCTAAGCGTTATTCAATAAAGCGTGTAGTGTGGGGAATTGGCAAAGGAATTGCAAAATTTAGGATAAAATAGCTGAATTGGGATAAAGAATAATTTTTTTGAAGCTCATGTTGATTTAAAATCTACAACTGACCACAATTCTTAGTTTAGCAAAAAAACGTGTACATATATTACAGTTGTAGATACCCATTCTATTAAGTAAGGATCTTGGAATACAACACTAAATGTTTTAAATACTTTTCTGCAATTTGTAATCATCTTAATGCTATTTTTGACTGCTCATGACATTCAAATAATTTTAAACACAAATACTTTATATTTATATTTGTGATTCAATATATTTAACCAGTGAGCAAAAGCAAGTTTAAATTATTCCACCAAAGAATTATGGACGGTTCAAATACTTTGTGATAATATTTAGTGTTGAGGTTATGTTTTGCAAGATATTATTCATCCCTGTTTTATCTTGGGAACATGTCACCATCATTAGCTATAAGTGACCCATGTCTGACATTGAAGCAGAATCTACATATATATATATATTATTTTTTTTTTGCCACACATAAATTGTGAACAGATAACCTTTACAGGGTTACTTACTGAAGGGATAATTCAAAGTAAATTTCAAATTTGAGGCAAAAGCAATATATATATATTAAAAAGAATTATGTATTATTATTATTATTTTTAATTATTTAAAAACATTTTAAAAATAATTATATATATATATATATATATATATGTATATATTATTTTATTATTTATATAGCGCCATCATATTCCATAGCGCTGTACAATATATATATATATATATATATATATTATTTTTTATTTTTGTATTTATTATTATTATTATTTTTCATTTATTTTTTTTCAACACATAAATTGGGAACAGATAACCTTTACAGGGTTACTTACTGAAGGGATAATTCAAAGTAAATTTCAAATTTGAGGCAAAAGCAACCCAACTGACAGCATAGCTGACTTAGAGATTTTTTTTCAGTTTGTCTATTTTGAACTTAAATTTGAAATTCAGTTTAAATTCTCACTTTAGTGATCAACCCGGTGTGAGGCAGACACAGAGACTCTTAAACTGTTCCTCATAAGAGTTTGTTTATTCTACATATAAATGAACATTCCATGTAGAACCTACAGATAATTTTAAAAAAAACACAGTATGAAATCTTAATCATAATCGATCACCTGGTTCCCATAGGAATATAACATTACTAACCTTCTACCTTTGGAATCATCTATAGAGATTGTGGACAGATAAGTTAATAAATGGTCACTATTGATCTTGAAATGGGCATGTTGGACCTTGATTTCCTCCACAGTCTGTCTCTTGAAATTTTCTTTTATATCAGTACCTTCCTATTAGCTCTAATGACCAACCAAGAAACCTTTCTAAAGAATGACAGTTATGCAAAACATGTAAACGTTTAGATTGAACAAGTGAAAGTAGTCTGTCAAAAATGTATATATCTAGATCTATAATCATATACATATATATATAAAACATAGACATTTTGGTTCTTATGACATATAGATGAAGGGTATGAAAAGTTCTTAGATTGTTGTAAACAGTCTAGAAAAGTGCGTATAGGTTCACAATACTGAACTTTGACTACCTTTTTTTCTGTGATAATTCTTTTCCCTTGAAACCTTGCGGTTTCACTGATATTTTTTTAACCTTTTCTCCGATTGAGCTACACTTTTCTTAAAAATACCAAAAAAAACCAAAAAAAAAACCATAGAGAACATTTCTGAGAGGGTACTTTTTTTTACAGAATGCTAAATGTCCAATTTCCGTGAGGTCAGAGGCAGAGTGGTAGCGATGTCATCGCATTTCCTTGCGCTATAAGAAGGTCCTCTTTGGGACATGATTTCTAAGTCATCTGACCGTCTACCGGAAGAGAGAAGCAGGTGAGTTTAAGGGAGGTAAATATTTTTCTTAAATCGGTAACAGTTTTATATTTTCAAATTTAGTAACTGTGTGCAAGACTAAATATTATATTTAAATTTGTCTATAAATGTGCAATTATTTGGATTGTACATCATGGTGTTTAACTTTCTTTTGGTTTGTTTGTTTGATAACGTAACAAATACATATTTTTGTTTAATTAAAAAACATAAAAATATGTATTTTAAGTTTATTTTTGGGGGGATGTAATTATTAATTATATATATATATATATATTTTTTTTTCATTTTTTTAAATTTATTTTATTTTTTTAAATCTTGACATGAGCTATTTTTAAAATGTATGTCTATTTTATGTGTTTATTTTTATCAGTGTTTTACATGCAATTTTGGGTTTGGCGAGGGTTTTGGTTTATTTTATTTTTTTTTTGAAATTTTCTCTCACTTAAAATGCCAGCTCCACATCCATGGCAACTCTCCATAAAGAAAGACAAACACATCTGTCAGGTGCAATTTATACACAAATCAAAGTAATGTAGTAAAAGATTAATGAACCCCCTCTTATTAATGGGATTTAATTTAGTAAACACAGGGATCTTTTAGTCAGGATGCAGGCTGTATGGAGATGAATTCCTAATTCGTCTTCAGCAAATCAACTGGGGTCCCAGCCTTGCATTATTCTAAAAATTCAATTTAATCCACTGCAGGTCAGTTCTTTTATGGTTTGGACGATTCTTATAATCTAGTGGGAGGTTTGATTTGTTATTTTCATGCAGATTCAATTCATGGTGTAGACAGATGACCTCTTTCTTTCTGTTAACTAAATCAAGTTAATCTTTGAGTAGACAAGTAATTTATGGCCATGAAAATTCAATATATATAATTTATGCTGATGGGATTTTTTTTTTCTTTTTTTTACTCTTATAGTAGAAGACTAAACTGTATTCAATTTGGAATGTAGCCTAAAAAAACAAAAACAGGAGAAAATGCTCAGCATGTTCCAAATTGTAAATAAGGAAAAATCAAGAGAAAAATAAAACACATTTAAGAGTTTTCCAGAAATATAAAACCAGACAATATTAAATTGTATTAAATTGTCCGCTCTTTTAAAATATGATAAAAAGCGGTATATGAGAACATTTGAAATGTTTTTTATTCTAGGAAAATTAGGAGAGGAGCGACTGGAGAATGCTTGCCCTAAATCGAGATGTTATTATTATTATCGCCATGGATATGGCGCCAACAGATTCCTTAGCACTTTACAGTATTATAAGAGGGGGTATTTAACTATAAATAGGACAATTACAAGAAAACTTACAGGAACGATAGGTTGAAGAGGCATTAGTTGATTTAACGGTAACATATTGTGGTAGTGGATATATGGAGTGGTGTTACAGCTGAAATGGTAGATGGGAAGGTAAGTGAGAAATAAATATAGTCAGCACAGGGTTATAAATGGTAAAAGTCTATATTTAAAAACGGGCATTGAATTTTAAATTAGGAAATATTTCTCTAGTTGTGAGTTTGAATTTTTATCTGTCATTTGTATATTATTATAATCATTTATAAAGCTCCAACAAATTCTGTAGCACCGTACAATGGGTGGAATACAATATACATATATATTAGGAACGTAGATATTTATGGAAAGTGTAAGCTCTTTGGCTCCTTAGATTATTCTCTGTTGTTTGTTTGCTGTAATCGCCTGTCTGCATTTGTTACAGGATATTTTTAGGAGGTTATATTTAGATGGTTTATTATTATTACTATTATATTTGTGTTACGTAGACAATGAAGACTTCTAGATGGGGAGGGAAAAGGGGGGAATTATTGCTGTGTTTACTAACCAGACACTTATTTAAAGATGCCTTTATCTTCACTTACCAGATCTTTTTTTATATACATTGAAGGGGCTTACTCAGACTTTGGAAACGCAAAGCCACTAAAAGTCACCAATATGATGATATCCAATTGTTTTTGGCTGATTATGTCTGCCACTGTCCATGTGTCACTTTATAATTAATGGACATGGCTCAGAAGTACTTACAAGATTCTAGGGCTCCCTTAGCATGGGTTGGCAATGTAGAACGATTCATACGTTCTAGAATACGTTATGTTGCAGGCTGAGCCTCCTTGGAGCTATGTTCAGCCGTATCCAGTGATAAGGTCTGCTGGTTGAGAAACACAAACAGTTACAGACAAACGGAAGGCTTGGCAGCCTGGGATTAACTGTCTATAGCATCTGGATGGCAAATATTAACTTTCTATATTTCCAACTATTGCAGCGTTTGTCTAAAATGTAAAATCCTAATGTCAGTTATCCACACTTCCCCAGATCCCCAATCTGGCAAAGCATCATAGGAGTTGTAGTCAAACAGAATTCAGTAGTGTACTTTTTGGGCATATATGCTTCAGTAATTACTTATAAATGGAATCACAATTTATTGCCTGTACACATATACAGTAAATTGGAATTGTTAGGAATTAGCTAAGAAATTTTACATCAAGAAATCTGAACTGAGTTTTTTTGCAGTTTGACTATATTGGCCCAAAATCTAAAAATGTTCAAATTCTGATCATTTAGAGTTAAATGAATATTCCAAAGAGAATTGAAACCCAGTTTTACGCCACAGTATGGAGTTGGAAGAATTCTCAAAATTACAAAATGTTAAGTCAGCAAGAGGATGATGTGTGCAATAAATCCCTGCCGTTCACAAACAAACCGATAAAAAGGACCATAACATAGAGTATTTCTTGTCAACACTGTAAACCCTCTGTTGTCTGTGGACAGTGTGAAAAAACAACCTTGAGACTGTGCATGTGGAATCCGCTGTATCATATGGGCTAATAAATGCTTGTTGGTGTCCTGGCTGAGCCTAGGTTTGCTACAACTAGCGAGATCATATGGACTACTGACAAATAGTTTTCTGAATGGTTAAAATTCTCCCTTTCTAAAGGGATCAAGGCACGTATGGCAGCAGTAAAAAATGAGAAAAGACTTGAGAACACAGTAGCAAAGGAAAAAGAACAAAACATATAAAAAAATGAGCAAAAAAAGTCAGGCAAACACACATTTCTTTCCAGTTTGTACATGATTCAGAAATGATTGACATTATCATGTCTGATCTTTAGGAGATCAACCTTACCAACAGCAGTAATAATTTCTACAATCTTGTTTCAAGGAACACTCCAAGATCCATAGCCAATATAACGTAGTAATTATAGTGCCAGGACTCCATATTATATTTTTAATAATATTTTTTATTTTTTTTATTTTATTTATTTATTTATATTTTTTTGTGATTATGCCTACTTATCCCTATATTAAACTAAAAAAGTATTTGTGAGGTGGATGATGGAGGCATTTTAGCTCCCTGACGATCATTATTATAATGGGTTGTGATGACAGTTGCTAAATCTTTAAAGTGGATCAGTCACTTTTGGGGGTGGTTAAATTTTTTTGCTAAAACCTCTGAAGGTGACATTTCCTGATCTGGTCCAGTGGTCATGGAGTGCAGTGGAATGGATGGTAGGTTTACCTGAAGCTGCCCCTCATGGTTGCCACCATCTTCTTCCTACAGACATTCTTCGTCTTCTTGAGCATCTTCTGCCAAGAGCTGCGTCAGTACGGTGCTCTTGCACATACGCAAGAGAACAAGACTTAGGTATATGGAGGATCCAGGAGTCTCCATAGACCACATTTTATGATGAGCAAGAGGATGCCTGAATCCCACAGTCCTGACTTATGACAGCTGCTGGGATTGGACATCAGAGCTCTGTCCTTTATCAACGTTTGTCAACCTCAGACCTTTACTTTGTCTTCTGGTATCGTTGGATTCCATTGGAATTTCAATTAAATTATAACGTTGTCTGCTTGAGTATTTCATAAAGATTATATCCTTATAAAATGCTCCAAAGTAACAAAGTTGCATTCATATAAATTGAAAAAAGAACATGACATCAACATTATTTAATACAATGTTTTATTCAACGGTGTAATGCCCAAAGAGGTGGCAGCTTCTAGACAGCTACTTGTTGGCTTTCATTAAGGATCTACTCAAGAAACTGTGAATTATGGTTAGGTTGACACCAAAAATCTCATATCATTATCCATACCAGACCGATAGAGAATTATGGGATTTTGGAACTGCTAAACAACAAGACAATGACTTGCATGACAAGTGGACTTTAAATTTAATGTTAAAGTGTGAAATAAAAAAAAAAGTATTACTGAGGCTTGCTGACTCAAATGTACTGGCATGGGTACACATTTTACTGCTGAATAATGATATATTTCCATGTTCAGCAAAAGCCCTACAAATGCTGCAACGTATGACGTTTTACGGAAAGTACCAATATATTGATTTCCTGCGCCTTTGCACTTTGTTCCTGAACGCAATCCGCAACAGATTCATAACAACCGCAATGACGACAGAAGCGAGGACGATAAAAAAAAAAATTGTTGCCTGCATTTCTGAGAAACAGTCTCAGAGATATATCTTCTAACCCATCTCCGGTTTTTGTGTTACACCCTACTGAAATAGTCCGTATTGATTAATGCATACATTGCATTACTGCATGACCGCATATTAGCCATCTCTACCGTAAACACATTACACATACTGCTTCTAGTAAAATATGTATGGAAAACCTTGTGAAAGTATTCAGACCGCTTCCCGATTCTCACAATTTACTGAAAAACTGTCAATTGAATCTTTTAATGAAAATAATTAAATTATTATTTTTTAATATATAGAAAAAAATATAGAAAGAAATAGCACTCCAGGGACTTGTAAATATTGTGAAAATAAAACGTAACTTTTGCTTGCCAAAAAAAAATCGACGTTTCAGTTCTCACACTTACTTTCTTCAGCATATCCTATTTTTTCTATATTGTTGTATAATTTTGCAGACCAGTATCGGGCCTGATATATTAAGACACCCTGGAGTGCAGGCATATGGATTATTATATATATATATATATATATATATATATATATTAAAAAGAATTATGTATTATTATTATTTTTAATTATTTAGAAACTTTTTAAAAATAATTATATATATATATATATTATTTTATTATTTATATAGCGCCATCAGATTCCATAGCGCTGTACAATATATATATATATTTTTTTTTTATTTTTTTTTTATTTTTTTATTATTATTATTATTATTTTTAATTATTAATTTATTTATTTTTGCCACACATAAATTGTGAACAGATAACAGGGTTACTTACTGAAGGGATAATTCAAAGTAAATTTCAAATTTGAGGCAAAAGCAACCCAACTGACAGCATAGCTGACTTAGAGATTTTTTTTCAGTTTGTCTATTTTGAACTTAAATTTGAAATTCTGTTTAAATTCTCACTTTAGTGATCAACCCGGTGTGAGGCAGACACAGAGACTCTTAAACTGTTCCTCATAAGAGTTTGTTTATTCTACATATAAATGAACATTCCATGTAGAACCTACAGATAATTTTAAAAAAAATACTCAACCCTTTTTGGAAACTCAAAGTTTAGACATGTGAAAAAAAAAAGCCTTAACTACAATATATTTAGGCTCTATCTTATGAGACACTAAAATAATAATTTTTCTATGGATTAAAGTCCCTCTCTGGATAAGGATCCTTGGTCAGGTCTGCAGATCTGAAGGAATGCTGTGACAACAAAAAAGAAAATGGTCATAACAGCAGTAAGGGATAGAATACTCAAATTACATCAGTTAGGATATGTTTTAATCAGGACTATCAACGTATTTAGCTAGTCCTGTTAGCAATGCAGGGTCAATTATTTGGAAGTGGGAGCTAAATCGCACCACTCAGAAAGACACTGACTAGAAAGGCTGTCCTGAAAAACTCAGCGGCCAGGCAAGGATGAGACTTGTTAGGGTTTCCAAAAAGAGTCAATATTAACCTTAAAGGAGCTACAGAAGTCAGAGGCTGAGACTGGAATAAATGTACATCAATCAAAACATTACTGCATAAAACAGGCCTCTGCAGAAGGGTGTACAAATATACACAATTAAGCCCTGTGCTTAAACTATACCCCAGAGGCCAGAAACAGAGAGGGTTATATTTATAAATCCCATACAAAGTAATCAAACCTTAAAAGGGCACACATGGGGTGTAACATGGCTAATAATCCCTTAAAAGGGCACACATGGGGTGTAACATGGCTAATAAACCCTTAATAGGGCACACATGGGGTGTAACATGGCTAATAAGCCCTAAATAGGGCACACATGGGGTGTAACATAGCTGATAACCCCTTAAAGGGCACACATGGGGTGTAACATAGCTGATAACCCCTTAAAAGGGCACACATGGGATGTAACATAGCTGATAACCCCTTAAAAGGGCACACATGGGGTGTAACATAGCTGATAACCCCTTAAAAGGGCACACATGGGGTGTAACATGGCTAATAAACCCTTAATAGGGCACAGATGGGGTGTAACATGGCTGTGTAACGCTAAAGTCAATGGCACAGAAAGTATCCCTAGACCAGTGATGGAGCCTTTGTATAGATGAGCTTAATGACTGGCAGTGGCTTTGCCCTTAATTTGCCTCACTTCTGGAAATAGTCACACTGTTTTTTTTCTAGAAGACCAGAGCAGCTGAGCTGAAAACATTACATGATGACTTAGAGAATTTTTCCAGATTGGCTTTTTTAATCCTTGAATTTGAAATTCACTTCGAATTCACCTAAAATTCTTATTCTAGTGAGTTTCAAATAGTTTATTAGGGCATAATAAATACAAAAATGATTGATATTACCTAGCCTTTAATGTTGGATAAAACATGGGACGGCCTTATACTATGAGGATGTTTTATTTAATAGTTATTCCAAGTCGCTCGTGGCTTAATACTAACTGAGAACATTGTCATACACCGCATTCTGTGTGAGTCATGGAAGCTGTAGTCCACCACAGATGAAGTACGACAGATTGTTTTTTTTTTAACTAATAATTTTGATTTATCTAGAAATTACTGTCTAGATTAGGCTTACCCAAACTCCGGCCCTCCAGATGTTGCTGAACTACAACTCCCATGATTCTATGAATGAGATAGGCTGAGAATCATGGGAGTTGTAGTTCAGCAACATCTGAAGGGCCTCAGTTTGGGGAAGCCTGGTCTAGATAAATGATAGAATTCCCCAAAGTTACATAAAACCTCCCAATGTTGAAAAGTATGATAAGGGGCGGGTGGGAGAGAATGGCTAGTGGCGCAAGGCTAATGAATTCCATTTTACTGTGTTCATGGTGTGGCATCATCTTTAACAGTAACACCAGGAGAGTTTTTGTACGAATAAGGGCATGTTAGGTTTAGGGACTGCTGACATTCTCGCCGCAGAATTTTGTCCAAATTTATACAAAACTGACTGCTGAAAGCAATATGTCAAGTGTAGGACTGAGCTAGAGGCACGTGGGGGTCCCATGGTTTGACACAAAATCTTGTGATGTGCCATGTGCATGCTATCTTCATCTGTAGTAGTTATGGTGTTTAGAGTGCCCTTTAACTATTAGCCCCCAAACTTAATTCCCCTAGTCCTAAAAACCTTTATTCCCCCTACCATTAAAAAAGTCCTCACCTACCAACCTACTTAATGGGGTACACTACTGTCACTACAGCACACGATACAGTCCTCATTATCACTAGTGCTCTAATGACGCTGCTATACTATCAATGTTGACATGCTGATTGACAGAATCAAAGTAAAATGCTCTCTGCTTTGCAGGCTGTTATATGACAAAATGTGAAATGTATTTACTGAGCTCATGTAGTACAAAGGAAGGGTGGTTGTAGAGTATGTCTGCTACATGATTGTAGTAAAATCATTACTCCACAGCTAGGTACATTTATCATGTGCCACTCTTTAAAGGGGAAATCAAGTCACTTAAAAAAATCAGACTACAAAGCCCATCATCCTCAGCCAGCAAATGCAATTATATCACTGCAAGTTGTATTTCCCATTTGAGTGTTGAAAACCCTTATTCCATTAAAAAAAAAAAAAACAAGACATAGGAGCAGGAGCAGTTCACCATTACATTATTTATCCATATGGAGTCGTTTTATCCTTGTCTTGTCCACGTTCTACAGTTTTTTAATATGAGATGTCTGCGTTTATTCTTAAACGTCTAATGATCATCGCATGTCAGTTATAAACATTCTTATACTCTCAGAGATGCCAAGTTAGATGTGGGCAGGTCCCCTAGTGTCAATAACCAGAAACTGCATCAAATAATGTGGGTCTCACTGCAAGTATTTCAAATTGATGTTTCTATGGAACAAGGGGGTCATTTACTAAACACTGAATTGTACTAAGTTGGAAACCAAATTGCAAAATGTAAGCCAATCTAACTGATTTGGAAAAATTCTCCAACTTGACTATAGTCACAACTCAGTTGTGCAATCCAGATTTAATTTGAATTAATTAAGTCATAATTATGTAGGCAAATAGTGCAGTTATGGACCCAGCAGTTCTCCCCTTGTGTTAAACATTCCTCAAAGTTCCACTCACTTATTTCACAGGACAAATTTCAAACCCTGTTCTATTGAAGGTCACTGTAATGTCCCGTAGTGGGTAAGCCTGGGACATCGTTGTTTTTTTTTTTTAATTTTGAGATTGACCTGGCAAGTGTGGATGACGAGATTAAAAAAATAATTAAAATAGGAAAATGGTTTATATGCCAACAAATAATTATGAGCTGTTTCATTTTTGGTTTTAGTACACATAGGTTTTCTGCCCATTTTCAGTATGAATCGTCTCACTACATTATTATTGTTGACATCTTTACTTCCTTTTTACCGTCATAACTCAAGAAAGGTAGTACTGAAGAAAAAAAAATTGGTGATTTCCCTAGTGAAGTAACGACAATGGCGAACAGACACGCAGCCCACACTTCTACACTGCTCGCCGGTGACATTGGAAGATCTGGCCTTGTCCCAGGTGCCTGACATATAACACCGGAATTTGATTTTATGCTGCGTTTTGATGTGTAGTGCCTGTTGGTGGTTAGCCACAAGACACTTACTCTGTGCAAAGAACAGCTTGGCATGCCTTCAAACACTCGGGGCAAAAGCAGACATCTCTTCACTACGTGTTTTGCTTTGAGCCTATAATCCCATTCCACAAAACAGGTGCAAAAGCTGATCCCACTCCAGAGTAGCTTCAGCGAAAGGAAAACAAACAGGACCCACAAATACAGTACAGCTGCTGCCTCCCAATCTGTCCCTACCAGAGGACACTCTACGGACTGGCCCCTGGAGTTCTTCATGATACCCCAAAGCAGGGAAGAGCCACCGAAAACATGCAGAACATTCGGCCTTTAATGCTACTTATTTGGCTGCTACACCAGAGCCGGTGCCGCTTTATTTTAGAACTGGGGGTTTCGTAAGATATAAATAAATGGATTAAAGTTTGTTTTGGTTGTTATACAGCCCGTTAAAAGGTGGAATTACTAATATGTTGTCATATTGTCAACTATTATGTTTTTTCTCTTTTTTTGGAGAGTAAGACAAGAGAGAGTGGATGGGGGTCAGGTTTGGAATTGTCACCGTGACTGTGGAGTGGTTGATGGAATACTTGTTTCACTTACAGACACACTTGCACTTGTGTTATACAAATAAACAACACAAGAAGAGCTATCTTAACGGACAAGTGGAAATGCTGGGCAAAGAAAACACATGGTGCTTTAGTCTGAAGAAGTCTATATCTCTGTGTCTCTTTCTTCTTCTCTCACCCCTCAACTCTCCCTCCCCTTCTCACTTTCTCTCCCCCTCCCTGTTTGTAGATGCCAAATTATCTTTTGCATTCACATTGCCTCTAGCTCTCGTTTTTTTTCCCCGATCTCTTTATCCCTCTTGTCTTGTACGGATTCAATGCGATGAAACAAACGTCACTTTAATGAAGAACTTCACAGTTCATTATTTTAACTCTACATTATGATACAGAGTGTTCCATGTCCCTTCGACTATTAAAAAAATAAATTAAATGCAGCTTCTGTAGTTACTCAACTTGACCAAAGTAGTAAATGAAGCAGGTCAGCTAAGCTCACCCCCAAAAAACATACCTTTTACATTTACAGCAAATTAAGAAGTGTAAAATTAAAAGGGTATCTAAGTAACAAACTCGAAAGCACGGTATAGTGGCGATGTTAACAATAGTCTCTGGGCCCTGTTCCCTGGTTCTTTGATCAACTGTTTTGGGGTATGTTAACCCAGCAGTCACAGCCAATCTCGACATCCAGGCTGAATGAAATTGACATTAATAATGTAGAAGTGTTTATTTTTCGTTATCTATGTGTTGGAGGACGAAGCAGTCTCTGGGTACGTACGGGATTTACCCTTTTTGATAAAAACTATACAAGACAGTTTGATGAAGAATTAAAGGGCAGAGCCCAGAGACATAACCATTAGACAGAGTTATTGTGGTTATGTTGATTAAGCACACACAGAGCCCTGCTTATTCTAAAATATACAATTCAGCCTTCTGGGAAAGCCTGGAAAGCTAGTGTGAAAAGTCAAAGTCGGTCTGATATTGGCTTCATATAATTCACAGCACCTAAGCAGGTCATAGTTCATGGTCTGACACATCATAGACTAAATATCACCAAATATCTTGTATTTCCAATTGTTTACTCTCAGAGAGTTCATACATGACCCGTAGCTTCATCTTCTTACTGCTTCTTGTGTCTTCTGGAATTTCTTCTGTGCTTGACGTAGATGAGGACATATTTGCCCCGTCTTCTAAAATAGACAGTGGTAGATTAGGCAGTGAAGGATTGAATTGTTTTGGCACTTGTACATTTTTAATATTGTTGGTACTGCTTAGGGCACTTGACAATGTTAGGAGTCCTTTGTAAAGCATTTACAGGGAAGATGGATCTTTAGTTACTCACTGTACCCCTCTGATGTGAGTTAAAAGTAGGGTTCAGCGGTCTTTGCGTATGCACAAGTGTACATCACTGAAGTCTATGGAGAATCCCCCAAGTCCAATGAAGCCTCCTTAGATAACATCTTGCAGTAAATGAGATGATGCCTGAATCCCACAGCCGTCACTCGCGACAGCTGCTGGAATTGGACAAAAGTTGACGGCGGAGCTCTGCCTCTTGTCAACCATATACTTTACCATAAGACAAAGTTGTCCCTGCTTTGACTTATGGCATCTTTGGAATTTCAGTGAAATGCCAACTCAGTCGGCATCACTATTCCATAAAGATTATGTCTTAATGAGATACTGAGAAGTGACAGAGCTGCTTTAATATGTCTGTGCTTTTAATACACAGTCTTAGTCTCAGCCAGAGGTTTGTGGTCATTACTGTCCTCCAATTTAGACTGATTGGGGCTTATAGGCATTGCAGTTAGACAGCAGCTGGACTTCCCTACTTTGAAGAGCAATGAGAGAATTTGGCACCCTATGTGTAAATTTGCAATTGATATTTTCCATATGCCACATGTCATGAAGGTTAATTGGAATTAATAGAGCGAATATCTGCGCTGCAGATGACTTCATGCCAACGTGTAATGGGGATTTATATACATTGTTGTGTTTTATCCTCTTGATTCCTCCTGCTTCCTCGCTGTCGCTTATCAGTAGGACGTAAAGCTATTCCGGTGCAAAAATACTTTATGTTATTGTTTTGGCTGATCACATTTAATGCCAGCTGCTTTAGATCAGATGAATTGCCTCCTTTCTCCCAGGGACTTTTTTTTATTCTTGGTTTTTGGAACCCAGAGCAATCTATTCTGTAGCAGGATATCTTCATGTGCGTGGCATTTGGAAGCATGTCTTTCCATCTGTATTTCCTTGTAAGGATTTGTGTTCCACTTCAGTACTTGGTAACCACACAAGACAAAACGTAGTTTTGTGCAATTACTCCTCCAAACCCTAGATTCGGACAACGCCAATGAAATAGCTGGTCCACAGCTGCCCCCTAGTGTCCCTTTTGGGAATTAGGCCCACAAATTCTTGCATTCAGCTGTACATTAAAAATAGGAGGAATGACTCTTAAGGCTGGAAAATTATCGTTTTTTTCTTTCATGGGGAATTTTCACATGCAGTCCTTGAACTCTGTAGTTGTTTAGGCTGGCAAAGAATCATTGGAGATGAAGTTCTACATTATTTTTGGTAACTACTCATGCTCTAATTTCTCCAGTTTGCAAAAAAAAAAGTGTTGCGATACAAGTATCCCACTGTCCTTGCGTGATTCACACACACACGTGTTTGCTGCTCATTATTATCCACGTGTGACATTTGTCATGTTTGTGGCAGCAATGAACACGGCTCACACTTTCTGTAGACACCATTTCATCACTACGTACTGAAATTGTTTAAATTCCCAAAATATGGAATTAAACATCAAGAAAATGGCTGATTTCTTGTGACATGTATCCTAAAAAAAATTTAAATAGCTACTTGTTTAATCTTTTATGCCCAGTTGATACAGGTAACCAACCTTCTAGGTGACATATTTGGTTTAATATGAAACCAGGAAATTTGTACTCGCCTGAACATGTATGTATTATAAGGGTGCTGCTGGGGCCAATAATATACAGAATCCAGCGCACTCACTCAATAAATGCCAACTTCAAAGCTACCAAGATTGAATTTTTTTTTTTTTTAAACACCCCACTTAGGCCGAATTAATTGGAATTTAGTTACAATATGTTATCATACATTGCATGAGCCTACCACAACCACATTAATCATTCATATACATTAATCTAATCACTAAATACAATCTTGAGAAAAAAAAACAATTGATTTTATTTCTCGAGTCTAGCATGATTTAAGACAACATTCTGATCATGGTATTATTTTTTAGATATGCAAATAACATGTGTGTAGGGTATATTATTAAGCCTTTAACCAATGCTGAACTAAATTGTAAACGAGAAATCACAAAAATATCTCAGGTAGGTGTTTCCCTCAAAAATATTCTCAGACGGGGGGGGGCGTGGCCAGCCGTGCAACTGAGCAGACGTGTTTGCAGGGAGCTCCTGCTAAACACACCGAAAATACCCCTAAAAACGCCACAAAAAATACACAGCTCACCCCACGACCAAGACAGGGGTGACACTGAACCCCCCTAGAGAGAGATGGGGCGCAAGCACCGCAAATTGCAGGCAGCGGAGGCTTCTAAACTTCCAGATATCAGGAGGTCATTCGATAGGCCGCAGCAGACATCGCAGCCTAAGATGGCGCCTGCCAGACCTCGAGGATCCAGTGAGTCAGAGACGTCCCCAGATGAAGAGGGCTCGATGTCCACACGGGCCCTCAGCAGAGTTTACCAGAGAGAGGACTCCGACTCAGACACGTCGCCCTCCACCAAGGGAGACATTAAGAGGCTCCTACTCGAGCTTCGGGGGGTCTGGAAGAAGGACCTAGATGGGGTGCGAGGAGAGCTGGGCGGCATCATGACCAGGCTGGGAGCAGTCGAGACAAGAGAGAAAGAAAGGGACACAACCCTCACAGAGACCCAAGCTCACATAACAGATCTCTCCCAGCAGCTCCAGCGACTCACCCGGGCCGTCACTACAATGGAGGCTAGGCACCGAAAGAAAAACATACGAATCAGAGGGGTGCCAGAGACGGTGGGACCAGAGTCTGCTCTGGATTTTGCCAATAAAATGGCAGCTGTACTAGAGGTTAGAGGAGAGGGTGGGCTGCCACCCGTGTCCCATGCGTTCCGCATACGGAAGGCTGCAACAGCCCCTGTGGACGCCCCCAGGGACATCATCGCGGTCACCCGGAGCCAGGCAGTGAAGACAGCGATGCTGACCAGCTCCCGGAGCACACCCCTCATAGCTGTCGAAAACTGCCAAGTAAGAATCTTTGATGACATACCCTTCGCTGTCCTGCTGGAGAGACGCAGATTCATGCCAGTCACCAAACTCCTCAGAGACCACGGAGTCAGGTATAGATGGGGTGCGTCAGGTACCCTGGTGGTACCACACGGAGACGCAGTGTTGACGCTGTCCGCGGCAGAGGATCCGGCGGCCTTCCTAGAGAAGCTCCAATTATCACAGCCACCGCCCGCAGTGCCCACGGAGCACGGGACTTTACCACACCACCGAGAGGGAAGAAAACCCTGGCACAGCGACAGTGAAACGACGGCCACTACATCAGCGCCCTCCATAGGTCGGGTAACCCTGAAGGGAGGCAGCTGCTAAGAAACCTGACAGGCCAGAACAGAGGCCCAAAAGAGACTTAACTCCGGCTGCGCAACAAGAGACTAACCTCAAACAATTTTTATTTATTTTTTTTTGGGGGAGGTGGGATCTCACTATTTTAATCCCTCAGCTGATGCTCCCACGGTTGTCTTCACTATTAACCATTTCAGATCCACAGAGAGACGCTTTTACTTAATGTGTACTATTAGCACTGTTGACTAGAATTGTACTTATGTGACTTAACCCCATAAGAGGTAATTATATATTCTACTGCAAAGCCTTAAACACGATGCACTGGAGCTACCTCCGAGTGCGGTTAACGGATCTGCCCTAACACCACATGAGCTACCAATGTGTTCTACCACTATGTTCACTTAAATGTTCCAAAAGTTACCTACATGTCTTAACAATACGTGCGTATTACAATTACACGAGCCGCTAGTGCCCTACCAATATGCACTACTTTTAACTTCGCAAGAGTCCCTCGGATGAAGTACCACAATAGTCATCCTCTAAACTAATGAGGGAGGTCATTATGCTTCCCACTTCTTAATTCCTACACCCACCTGAGAGGGCACACCAAGATTGTCTTATAGTTATTACCATTTAATGTCATGTTTACTCTTACTCTTATGCATTGAATGACTGTATATTACTATTCAAACCAGTGGAGATTTCTCCACAACAAAAATAAAGAATTATAAAAAAAAGAAAAATATTCTCAGACTCCATGGTACGGAGAGATAGATATGCAATTAAGAGACCAACACATGCATTATATTTTATAGAAGTATACAGGAAGGGAAGCAGCATACTGAACCTAAAGACATCCTACGTGGTCTTCCATTTCCTGTAATAGTTAGCGTTGAAAATATAATTCAAAGAGAAACCAACAGAAAACATAAAGATGAAACAGAGAATGAGGGGGCATAAGTCATAAGGGAAAATTAAACTTGGTCGAGGGGAGCGTTACCATGAGCAATTCTTCTTCATGCTCCTTTGTAGTAGAAGACCGGTGGCTGTGTCTAGAGTGGACAAGGTAAGTTTTAAGTCAGATTGCTGTGCATCTCGAAATTAGGTTTTATATATGTATATTTATTCAAATAGTAAGCATGGCCACAGTAACCCTGCAGAAAAGCACATGCCTATGAGTTAAAAGACAACTACCTTCCAATCACCATGCGTAGGGTGTAGGGTGAGTCTCTTCTTAAATACGTTTTAGGAACCAATAGTTTGGGAAATTATCTTGTTGGGGTTTACAATTCTTAGTCACCAGATGTTTTTGAGCACTTGGCTTGACTTGAACCATATTTTTAAAGTTAGGGATGCAAAAGATACCATGGATTTTTCCAGACAAGGAGAAGTAGTCTAGATTTCAGCCTTAGGCTGAATTCACACAAGGCTCAAACGTGTAGAACCACACAAACATATGTTTTTGGAAACTGCTGTCTTGGACAAATTATACTTTTTCAGATATAAAATAGAATGGCCCTGATCAATTCTTGGCATATGGGTATTCCTGGAGCCACTGAGTTAGCACTGATGTCACACCACAGCTAAGCTCCAAATGTTTTGCACGGGGTATTAAACACTGTCATTGTACCAAGGCTAGGGCTTCTTTTTTGTCTATCTGCTCACTGCATACATTTTTGTTTTTTTTTCCAAGTAGCTAAATAAAATTAAATATTGTAAAATATCACCAGATTTCTGAATCCATCTCTCTCAATAGCGCCTGTTATCTCACATAGTAAAACTCAACTTATCATATTAAATATCATATTGCTCAAGACTATAAAGGACAAAACAGACACGGCTAATAAAAAAATTATTATTCTACAGTATAGTGAAATGACTGATCACTAGTGTTAAAGGATCAGGATTTAGTATTGTATACGTCCAATTTGATGTATAAATGGCGTCAGGGTCAACTTTGCAAACTATGGTCTTCTTCTATGGTCTATGGTCTTTTTATTAATTTTAGACATGCCTTCTTTTATTAAAGCACCTTTTCCAGCTTATTGCCGTAGAACAATTAAACAAACATTTTGGCACTAGACAATCCTGCAGTGCCCCCCTCCCTCCCCCATCCCACAGTGCTGAAGGGGTTAAAACCCCTTCAGACACTTACCTGAATCCAGCACTGATGGCGCTGGGTCAGGCTCCGCCCACGCTCCTCCCCTGCCGACGTCAGTCAGCGGGGGAGACCTACTGCGCATGTGCGCAATGGCCGCGTGCATATTAGACCTCCCCATAGGACAGCATTATTCAATGCTCTCCTATGTGGATTCCGGCGACACTGGAGGTCGTCATGCATAGCTTGAGGACGTCTAGCATCGTTTAAGCGACCAAAAAGTCGTTTTATAACCCGGTCTAATAGACAGCCACTAGAGGAGGACTTAACCCTTCAAGGTAAATATTGCAGCTTATAAATACTACAATATATTTATAAAAGTTTATAAAAACTGCAATAATTACACTTGCAGTATTAAGGGTGATGGGAGTTGGCACCCAGACCACTCCAATGGACAGAAGTGGTCTGGGTGCCTGGAGTGTCCCTTTAAGGAAAACATTATATTAAATATTATAGTAATAGATATATAGATGAATACAAATTTTAAAACGAAAGGGCCCTAATCTTTTGTGAGATCACAAAATGTTATATACACCAGAACTCTTTAGCTGCTAATCCAGTCTTATGGCAGTAGACACTTATTACAGCTCTAACTTTACTAACTGTTTGGTGATATACTTAGAAAATGAATAATATGTGTAGCAATAAGAATTAATGATTATTTACGCACAAAATAAACTCTAAATTGTATTTTGTAATGTGGCGTCTGTGTCTGTCTTATGTGCATGGAGTTTCCAACTTGCTGTCGTAACTCTTTCATTGAGAGCGTGTCTGTTCCACACATTGTATTCGACAACACGTAGAAACTTCCTTTTTTTGTAGGATGTTATCTCGTGCAGACGTCTCATTGAGGAAGTAACATTCCTTGTGCTTGATGGGTTTCGGTGATGTCTAGTTCATCTGCAATGGAAACCAGCGTTGATGCTAACTCTACAGTCAATAAAAGATTCTCCCAATGTCATGTTACTATATTAAACTCGCTCACCACTGAAATATTTTTAGCTTTTTAGATTACAGATCACAAAGGGATATCTTTGAAGGAACATGCTCTTTCATGACCTTAAAAGTAGTTAACTTTTTGGATACCCAGTGGGACAGGTATACCTGTTCAGTACTATGCTGGTACAATATGAGGGAAAACATTTGAGGCGAGTGATGCCTCACATTAAAATAAACTTTATACTTAACTAGAATATTTCAAAATATAGCATCTGTGATATTTAAAAGTGTTTTTATTAAGCCGTTGGAGTTATTCACTAAACTGCGAATTTTGGTAATTTATGGAAAATTGACAAGGAAATTCCAAATTTTAGGCCATAATAGCAAAGCTTAAAGGACCACTATTGTGCCAGGAAAACATACTCGTTTTCCTGGCACTATAGTGCCCTGAGGGTGCCATCACCCTCAAGGTCCACTCCCGCCCGGCTCTGGGGAGAGGAAAGGGTTAAAACTTACCTTTTTTCCAGCGCCGGGCGGGGAGCTCTCCTCGTCCTCTCCTCCCTTTCGGCTGAATGCGCACGCGCGGCAAGAGCTGCGCGCGCATTCAGACGGTCTCATAGGAAAGCATTTACAAGCTCCTCTAGCGGCTGTCAATGAGACAGCCACTAGAGGATTTGGAGGCTGGATTAACCCTATTATAAACATAGCAGTTTCTCTGAAACTGCTATGTTTATAAAAAAAAGGGTTAATCCTAGAGGGACCTGGCACCCAGACCACTTCATTAAGCTGAAGTGGTCTGGGTGCCTAGAGTGGTCCTTTAAAACATGTTATGTTGTATCTTTTTTGTAGAACTTGACAGCTGTTACAGTCTGGTCACAGCATTAGTGACACTGGAACTTAGCAACAGATGCATGTTCTTTTTCCGGGTGCCATTTTGTCTAGTTAAATGCATTTTAAGTAGTGTCCAGCTGTTACACTGGACTGCATCATGGTGCCATATATCCAAGTCACAATATGACATCCCTAGATCTGGCTGCTTTGATACATGTCCCTAACAAAGAATTTCAGAATGCACATGCAGGTTTTGATTCAGCTTGCAATGAATCATGTTTCAGCCTGAGAAATGTCTGTTGACCTGAATAATTATGTTGCTAGTCAACGCGTAAACTTCTAACTGCCTCTTGCTTTCGTTGATTGTGCCTTTCGCTCTTTGTTTGAGTGCATTTGTCAAAACACATTATCTTGTGTGTCTTTCAGGAAAAAAACATTTTTAAAAAAATTATAAACTTTACCAAACATTACAAACATAACAACTCTTCATTAAAAGGTCATATGCTTCCAGGCCTCTTACAATGAGATTAAATTTGTATTTGTGGAGCCAGCACATTCCAAATATTTTTTATATCACATTGTTGACAGGAAGATTAATGTTCTGTCATATAACACCATATATATTATATGTATTATAGCTGACCGAGAAGCCCAGATGCCCAAGCCCCAAAGCTCCAATGTTGTCCTTGCTCCATCTGTGGACGATGAACCCCAATCGGATGTTAAAGATAAAGAACAGAGCACCCCATGGAGCCGCAGGACTCCTGGGATATTTTCACAGCTGCCGCAGGTAATGTACACCAAATAACAGAGTCACATCAGGGAATTCCCTTGCTCAGTTATCACCCAGAGCAAAATGCAACCTTAGATAACCCACTTTCTGGTATATGATTATACGGAATGTCCCACCACTGTCTCATCTAGATGTTATAGACCTAAAGAGACAAATCAGGTGACGGTGACAGCCATATACAGCAAACAACCCCTTAGACACCTTTCTGAGTGCCTGATGCAATCTTCTGGGTATCAACAGTTAATGCTAACAGCTAACTGGCTACTGAACACTTATTTAATGTGCCAGTCTAAGGTAGTGGTGGGCTAGCCATAACCTGTCATTGTTGTTCAAAGTCAGATGGCTAATGCCGAAGTTCCTTTCATATGAGCTAAAATGCAGCCGAGGACCTGGGCAATAGGCTTTGGAGTGCCCAGGTTATTGACAAGCCATTCGAAAATCATATCTTCATACTAACAAGTTACATTCTTTGCACCATTCCCACTGCAATGAGCAATAGTTGCTAGGGTACTTACCATACCTCTTTAACCCCTTAAGGACACATGACGGAAATATTCCATCATGATTCCATGTTATTCCAGAAGTTGTGTCCTTAAGGGGTTAAGAGTAAGATTAGGTGAAATCAGCCATTTACTTTATATACAGACAAGGTCCATCTGGACTGTTGGACTTTGCGTGTACCGTACATCGTTTTATAACAATATCATGTTAAAATTATGGCATGTGGACCACAAGTATCCATCATTGGCATTCTAGTTGTTATTGAACTACAACTCAGAATTCTCAGGCAAATAGTTTTGAAAATGTCTGGAAGCCTGCTTTCTGAATAGCACACTTTACTCCTAAATAATAAGTTTATTACTGTCTAACATCTTTCTTTTGCAGCAGCCTCTGAACCCTTATGTCATGGTGACTCCTGCAAGTTCCCTCAGTTCTTCTACCCACATGCGTGCACTCCTTCACGACAGTAAACAAGCTTTAGTAATCCGTCCTGTAAGTATATATATATAAAAATACGCCTTTAGGGACAGCCCTATGCCAAGTATCAAAGTGTAACAAAAGACAATACTATAGTTCGGCTTGTGTGGGGTGCCAACAATTTACCAATGCCAACCATTTGGAAGTTGCTTGCCGCTACATGGAACCTGAAAATTAATTAAAATTAATTCTTGCATTCTTCAGAATAAACACAGAGATTAGGATGAGTGGCTATTCACACAAAGCTAACATAGAGTGCAGAAAATTATTGGCAGAAGAGGGAGATTATGGCAGTGGATTTTTCTAGACTTGAGATGGTGTCTTCATTACCTTCTGGTAGAGTTTTATGTCTATAATTTTCTGGGGGAGGAATCCCCTTTTCTGGCCAGGGTTGGTGACTTTTGGAACAATAAATGGGAGGGGGGGTGAAGAGGGCGCACATAAGATACCACAATTAAACTGGGTGGCACTAATAATTTCCACTACTAAATCATGCCACCAAAAACCCCCCAAAAAACTATATAGACTTAGAAATAAACACACAAACATATTCAGAGGTGACAAGAGTAAAAACGGTATTATGGGGCTTATCCAAAGAGCGCCGGTGTTTGACGAAGTTGCAAACAAAGGTGAAATTGCAACAGCAACAAACATCAGCGTCTCAAAACTAGAAATTCAAACGACAGCAGGAGAAGCTTTATCAGTAAATCGTCTTCTGCTGCTTTTGTGAAAGTTTGTTGCCATTGCACCAGAATAACCCACTTGTAAGGGTTCGTTTTGCACCATAACAACTGGGATCTTGTTGTGCACTAAATGCACAGCTCACTGCGTCTCCATGCTGATGCTGGGATGATATCACATCCCACTTCCCGGAATCAGTACATGTGTGCAAGCAATGCAGAGCGATCCCTCTGCGCCTGCTTCGTAGCATTTGGCAGAGCAAACACTTACGATAAAGTGCTGCTCTTACACAATCGGTGAGTGAGGAATAATATGGTGGGAGGGGTAGTTGCCCCCCCACCGTAGCGAAGCAAGTCATGTGCACCTTTGCATTTTAACCATGCATTCTCTCTCACCAGCCTATCCCTTATCCTGCATTCATAGCTCACAATGTGACACATCTGATTTTGAGGCTGCGCCCAGTACAGGTTGAGTACTATGCAGCGGCTGTGAAGTAAATTCGTAAATAAAAAAAGAGTTCCGACTGACAAATAATGGGTGGAGTGTTGCTGCAGCAGCAGAAAGCTATATCGCAATTAAAATTTTAAAAAAAAGCAACTGCACATTTATGTTGTGTCTGCTTTGGACCTACTTTAGATCATAGGCCTAGACCCGCCACTCTAGTAGCCTCTATGTTAATCTAGATTCAGCCAATATACGGTTAGAAGGCGCTTAAATGTAACAAAAAGTCTATATTTGATGTATGATTCCTTTTAATTCAATAATGAGCAAAAGTATTACATTTATTTTTAAATCAATAAACGTTAAAGCAATAATAAGTAATCTGGCTTCAGCATCATTAAAGGAAAACTTCAAGCACCATAACCATAACTCATGGCACCATAACCACTTCAGAAAACTCCAGTGGTTATGGTGCTTGGAGTTTTCCTTTAAAACATGCAGTAAACACAAAGCGCAGGTTAGCTCATTGGGAAAGGGAGAAGGCGTGAATGGACTCTAGCAAACAAACAAATAAGCAGTGTATTTGTGAGATGTGAAACATAAAACTACTTTTAAATGAGCACTATAGTGCCAGGAAAACAAACTCGTTTTCTTGGCACTATAGGGTCATTAGGTTCCCCCCCTCCCCCCTGCTTCAGCCACTTACCTTTCTCCAGCACTGGGCTCTGCGGAACTCTCCTCATCCTGCCGACGTCCGTGCCGAATGCGCATGCACGGCAAGAGCCGTGCACCCATTCAAACCGCCCATAGGAAAACATTACTCAATGTGATTGACAGTGAGAATCACGAAAGCGCCTCTAGTGGCTGTCAGGGAGACAGCCACTAGAGGCTGGATTAACCCTCAGTGAAACTGCTATGTTTACAGCTACAGGATTAAAACTAGAGGGAACTGGCACCCAGACCACTTCATTGAGCTGAAGTGGTCTGGGTGCCTATAGTGGTCCTTTAAGAATCAATACTTCATTATCATCGTGTAACTGTGTGTCTCCATCTTAGCTCCTATAAGTCTTTGTTACTGTCTTTGTCCTTTCCACCCGGCTGTCCGCATAGAGAAAGCATTCAGAGAAGAGGAGAAACGAAACAATGTTTCTATTTATCCTCCTATTTGCATTGTGTGCCTTGGCTGTGCCAGGAGTGACCTGGATTGGGATATCCTTTGTTAAACCTTTAATATAGATTTAAAGGAAAATTGAGCATCGAAATAAAAGGTGAACAAGCTAAAGGTCATTTTAAGTGTTATATTTAAAAGTTCAATTTATACAGCAAAGTAATGGTTCCACCTTAAAGTGGTCGACACGAAAATCTACTTCTTGTGTATTATCTTGTGTTCCTTTAGAAATATACTGTATTGTAAATAAAAAAATATATATATTTTTAAATGTAAAACCCTAGAAGGTTGTGTTCGGAACAGGACAGTGTGGGTGGTATCAAATTTCATTCCAAGTTAATATAGAGAACTGTGTTATGGCTTGCTAATGTTATTTTTGTCTTTGACATGTTCTGTTAAAATTTATATCTCTTTTTCTTGACTTGTCTGATGTAATCTTGACATTGGGTGTATTGAAGATTTGATGAATAAGAAAAATGAAAAAAATAAAAATAATAATAATAATAATAATATTCTGCCTTAACATGCCAGATAGACAATCATTCAGTTTGTCTGGGTTTTGTACTTTGTATAAAAAAAGATCAGCAAGAAAAAACAGCATAATTAAGTGCTCAAAAAAATCCCCAGGCTTGCCCTTGTGGATAATACTTGTTTTTGTTAAGACAAAATAAAGGAAATTGCATACTAAAATGCTGAGGTAACAAAAATGAGATTTACATGATAACTAGGTAATAACGAGGATTAATTTAGGACATTAGTCTACATTTCAGGCCTTGGTGTCGGTGAGCGTTAGTTACTGCTTACATAGAGATTTAAAATCCCCCTTGTCTTTAAAGAGTTATGGTTCCAGGAATGCCTTGGCGATGTCCCACTGTAATCTGTCAAACTGTTTCAGTATTATTTGATAGTAACCTGTGTCCCAACATGTGTACTACAGCTGGTCTTCCCAGATCAGGAGTAGAGATGTCGCGAACTGTCGCCGAACTGTTCGCGAACTGTCCGCCGGCGAACAATAGCGTGTTCGCGTTGGCCGAACATATCCGATTTCCGGTCCGCCCCCTATACGTCATCATTGAGTAAACTTTGACCCGGAACCTCACAGTCAGCAGACACTTCCTGGGAGGGAGGGTCTCCTGCTGATTGGGTGGAATGTGTCTGCTGGCTGTGAGGTTCCGGGTCAAAGTTTACTCAATGATGACGTATAGGGGGCTGACCGGAAATCGGATATGTTCGCCCAACGCGAACACGCTATTGTTCGCCGGCGGACAGTTCGCGAACAGTTCGGCGGACAGTTCGCGACATCTCTAATCAGGAGTAGCCTGATGCCAGTTTTATTCAATTTTCATTGGTTGATTGAGAACATTGCGCTGATTCTATCACCCAATGAATGTACACCGACAGGAATTGGCTTCTCCTGTTCAAGAAAACCGGATGTAGCGCAGGTACCCAGTGGAACTTAGGTAAGTGTCTGATAGATTACGCTGAGATGGTGTCTGGCTACTCCTGGCACCATAACCACTATAGTGGGCTGTAGTAGTTATGGTGTTTTTAAAGTTTCTTTAAATTAAATCATTGAGTTCCCATATATATTGAGGTGTGTCTGCAATTGTTAAATTTTGTGAATCTTTACCTACTTTGTCAACTGAGTTGCAAAACTTACTTTGGCAGCAGCAAAGCAAAGATCCATAACTAATCACCTTGGCCCACTTATCACCTTGCTCCGTTAGTGGAGCCCTATATTAATAAAGTCAATTTTATGTTTTGGAAGGACATTGTACATTAAAAAGTCCTGAAATCTTTTTGTTTATTGCTGTTTATAGATTAACTTTAAGGTCACACACTAGTGGATAAGATTTTTCTTAATTATTATTTCATAAGGCAATGTAAATAATTACTCTTGGCCAAGGTTTTAACTTCTTCAAATAGTTTCTTTCTTCATAATATACAGAGGTAAACATGCCTATAAAAATTATCTGATCGCCTTGCGGGAACGTTTGAAAATGACATTTTCTTGTTGAAACTTAATTTGTATACGTCTGCAACTCAGTGTGTTCTGACGCGTTTGTTATTATTTGCAAAATTACCATCTAATATACTTATTCCTTTTTAAAAAGGTTATTCACTAAACCCCAGAATATATGAACCGAAATAAAAATGGTGGAAACTAAAACAGTCAAGCTGAGATGGGGAATGTTTCCAGATAAACTATTTTTGCTTACATTTTGCCAATCTGGTTTTAATTAGCTTCCATTTGGAGTTCAATAATTAACTCTCTCTATGGTTGTAACTGCTTGCTGAATTGCTGTCAGAGAAGGATTAAGATGCTTTGGGCCCTAGATTGATAACCAGTTTGAGGCCCCCTCTTCATTCCTCACATAGGGATGGTTAATGGGGCCAAGCAAATTCATAGTTCCAGAACCCCAGTCTAACCCCAGGGCCGTAGGCAGTCGCCTAAACGCACCTATTGGTTAATCTTGCTCTGATTGTTGTTACTGGAATAAAACCGATTTTGATGAAACAAGTCATGGTGTTCATTCACAGGATAATCAAAACACAAATAGCCTGGTTTTTTTGATAGAGAGATATGAATTCACAGCAAGCTGTGTTATATCGGAATCACATGCTGAGCTATAATTACACTGGTATTTGTTTATTCTTCATGATTAGGTTTTTTTACTTTAGTTGATTGATTTCATAAGGAGTGTGAAATTGAGTTGAAATCTGCAAAAATTAGAGACATTAATGTGGAATTTCAATCTTTGTCTTTTACACAGCTCTCCAGAGATTCTGTCACTCAGTCCCCTGTTATCCATCTATCCCCTGCTACATCATCGTCAATACTGAACCTTCCACCAGCAAAGATACTACCTGTCGTGGCAAAGCATAAGCCTCAAAGTTCCATAATACAAGGCATGTATAAGCAGTTACTCTTCATTTCATTGTCAGATGACAAGAAACTATTATCTAAAGTTTTATTTAATAAGCTTCTAGTTTAGCTACCAAGACAGGGAGCTAAAAACAAGGGACCACCATACATTCCCCAATCTCGAGGCTTGAATTAGTTAAGTTCTCATTGAGTTAATCGGTAACTCATCCTGCCCTTGAAGATATTGGAAGTTCAACAAAGTCAGTAGCTGTTCACAACCGACACGATCGTGTCTGGATTGTAAAATGATACAACCGAGATCAGGTTGAAAAATATCAGGACAATTTTCATCTTGAGAATGCTTAGGGTCAATTAACTGTACCAGATTTTTTTTTTCTTAGTTAAAGTGACCAGGTTGAGCTAGATTTAGCCAGGTCCACCTCACAGGATTAGGGAATAGATTTACGGAGATCTGAATATCATTATTGAGAGATCACCGGGGAATGTAAATTTGAGAAATTCAACTTCCAATGAGAATTGGAGAGAGGTCCTAAATGTTTGGGATAGCATACGTCTCTCACAGATTGGTATCACTGGTGATCATAAATAGGAGTGATGTTTAAAAACATTTTGCTTATGTTCATTAGTTTAGAGTTTGTTAAGTTATGATCCATAATTAGGTCCCCTTATTTAAGATAAAAGTTCAGCCATCTCTCTCAAAACACTTCACTGCACACAGTACTCAATACTGAGGTTAGTAAAGCGTGACATGAAAAGTTGTGCCGCTTCCTCAGTTATTAACTTTTGTTAGAACATGTAATGGCTTCCTATAAAATATAGAGCTCAATTTAAAATTCTGGTTCTTGCTTTCAAATCTCTACATAATGCTGCTCCCACCTATCTATCCTCCCTTATACACAAGTATGTCCCGTCTAGGCCCTTACGATCTGCTGAAGACTTACGTCTATCTTCTGTCCGTACTCCCACCTCTGATGCTCGCCTTCAAGATTTCTCGAGGGCTGCACTGTTCCTGTGGAACTCGCTTCCCTCCTCCGTTAGATGCTCACCCAGTCTCCACTCCTTCAAAAAATCGTTAAAAACCCACTTCTTCATAAAAGCGTATCAATTAAACTGTTAATAGCTCCTGACTGATTCCTCTTCTGCAACTGTCACTAGTCTAATACTATCCTTACCTTTTTGTGTCCTTTTACCCCACTCCCTCTAGCATGTAAGCTCATTGAGCAGGGCCCTTAACCCCTCTGTTCCTGTGTGTCCAACTTGTCTGGTTACAACTACATGTCTGTTCGTCCACCCATTGTAAAGCGCTGCGGAATTTGATGGCGCTCTATAAATATCATAATAATAATAATAAGATAAAAATTAAGATATGACTTACAATTCATAGCAACAATAATTCAACAGTGCAACGTTATCTAAAGAGAAACTTTTTCAACAACGACCAATAAGCTATTTTTAAATCATTATTTATTGATATGGAAACTCCACTGTCCACATTATTTTTTTTAAATCACTGTTTAGTAGATATGCCCCTCAATGAAAACATGCATGCATGTATTTACTTATTTGTTTTTTCATTGGGTGTGTATCTAAAAACAGATAGTAAACCCTACAGTCTTTGCAAGCCCTCCCATTCTAACCCTGCCTATACAATATGTGAGTGTCCAATCACAGACTTCCCAATGCAGCTCAATGAGAAGTCTTAGCAATGCAGGTGCTCTGAGCTATTGCTGCCTCTTTAGTTTAGCTCCATTGAGCTAAACAAACAAGGAAGTAACAAGACCTTTTGTCTGATTGACAAGCAGGAGGATGTAACAAGGTTCATTCAAATGTATATTCTATTGAGATCTGCACTTTTTGTAAAATTTAAAAAAAAGAGGACACACTCCTCACACATAAGTGATTTCATCAAGCTAAAGTGTTTTAGGGGTCCAGGGTGTCCCTTTAAAGAAGCAACAGTATTTATAATGACAGAATACACATATTTTTGTTGCAGCTTGATTGCGGGAAGCCTTATAAACTCCCGAAGTTTCCTTGTGTAATCATGCTTTCTCCATCATATTATAAAGTTACTGTTGCTTAGAGGTCTTTTCATTTGTAAGCAACCTTTGGAGCCAATGAGGCTGTTCTTAAATAAACTTGCTTATTTTATGCACGGAAATTACTGCAGACACAACCGATGATTTGTTTTTGTTTTTAATTAAAACACACAAAAGGTTGTATGGCCGCAGGTAAGAGACTCGATCTGTTAAGCATTAGGTAAATTGAATTTTACACACCCTATATACACATAGTCTTTGATCCTCCCTTCAGTTTTGATTCTGTAAGCTTACACTTGGAAAAATATGTTAAATAATATTTGTTTTGACACAGGATCCGATCTAAGTCTTGCATGGGTCCAGGAAAAAACACGTTTTGGAAAAGCAGAAGAAGTCACACGGATTAAGAATGGTGTAGCATCTGGATCTCAGCACCATCCATCACCCCAAGACACGGATACATGCCACAAAAAACCCTTTAGTGATGAGCAGAGCAAAGATAGGTCGGTATAGTTATAGTGGGTGATCATTCTGTATCTGGCCATGCATCTTCACTTGTCATTAAAGGGACACTATAGTCACCAAAACAACTTTAGCTTATTGAAGCAGTTTTAGTGTATAGATTATTTCCCTGCAGTGTCACTGCTCAATTCTCTGCCATTTAGCAGTTAAATCACTTTATTTATGCAGCCCTAGTCACACCTCCCTGCATGTGACTTGCACAGCCTTCCTAAACACTTCCTGTAACAAGTCAGCTAATGTTTACACTACCTTCATTGCAAATTCTATTTCATTTAAAATGTATTATCCCCTGCACTGTGGATAGCTAGCTAGACCCCACAGAAGCATTCTGTGTATGATTAAAGTTCACTTCAGAGAGCAGGCAATAAGAACTTTTAAAGTAAGTTACATCTAATTGAAAGTAAAACCATTTTTTGTTTCATGCATGGTGTGTGAGTCACAGCCAGGGGAGGTGTGACTAGGGCTGCATGGACAGAAACAAAAGGGATTTAACTCCTAAATTGCAGAGATTTGAGCAGTGAGACTGCAGGATCATGATCTATACAGTACAACTGTTTCCTTAAGCTAAAGTTGTTTTGGTGACTATAGTGTCCCTTTAAATCCTGTATAATTGGCATTATTGTAACCAACCCAGGGCCGGACTGGCCCATCGGCATACCGGGAAATTTCCCGGTGGGCCGTCGGCACCTGGGGCCAGGCAGGCAGCTGGCTTACCTGCGGCCGCAGAGGGAGCTCTTTTGGCGGCCGCAGGGGGAGCTGGCTGTTCTGTCTCTGCTCCCCCTCCCCAGCGCGCCGCTTAATGAGACCGGGGCTGGAATATGACGTCATATAAGCAGTGCGCTGGGGAGGGGGAGCAGAGACAGAACAGCCAGCTCCCCCTGCGGCCGCCAAAAGAGCTCCCTGTGCGGCCGCCAGAACAACCAGCTCCCCATGCGGCCGCCATCAGAGCTCCCCGTGCCAGCACACAGGTAGCAATTATGTGTGTCAGTGTGAGTGTATGTGTGTGTGTGTCTGTGTCATTTGTGTGTATGTCTGTCTGTGTCATGGTGTGTGTGTCTGTGTCATGGTGTGTGTCTGTGTCATGGTGTGTGTGTGTCTCTGCCTGTCATGGTGTGTGCGTCTGTGTCATGCTGTGTGTGTGTGTGTGTGTGTGTGTGTGTGTGTGTCTGTGTCATCATGTGTGTCTGTGTCATGTGTGTGTCTGTCTGTGTCATGGTGTGTGTGTGTGTCTGTGTCATGGTGTGTGTGTCTGTGTCATGGTGTGTGTGTCTGTGACATGGTGTGTGTGTCTGTCTGTGTCATGCAATGTGTGTCTGTGTCATTGTGTGTGTCTGTGTGTGTCTCTGTCTGTCATGGTGTGTGCGTCTGTCTGTGTCATTATGTGTGTGTCTGTCTGTGTCACGGTCTGTCTGTCATGGTGTGTGTGTGTGTCTGTGTCATGTAATGTGTGTCTGTCTGTGTCACGTAATGTGTGTGTGTCTGTGTCACAGTCTGTCTGTGTTATGTTGTGTGTGTTAAGGTGTGTGTGTGTCTTTTTTAAGGTCTGTGTCTGTCATGGTATGTGTGTGTGTGTGTGTCTGTCATGGTATGTGTGTGTCTCTGTCATGGTGTGTGTCTGTCTGTCATGGTGTGTATGTGTTTCTGTCTGTGTCACGGTCTGTCTGTGTCACGGTGTGTGTGTGTGTTTCTGTCTGTGTCACGGTGTGTGTGTGTCTGTGTCACGGTCTGTCTGTGTCATGGTGTGTGTCTGTCATGGTATGTGTGTGTGTGTATGTGTGTTTTTACTCACCTTTTTTTTCCCTCCACGTCGTGCTGGTCTCCCCTCGACTGGTCCTGCCTCTACGGCTGAGATCATCAAGCTTGATGATCTCAGCCAATCCGCACTGACACAGGAAGCACCTCTAGTGACCGTATGAGTGTCTGTCACTAGGAAGCAATATAAACACTGCCTTTTCTCTAAAAAATCAGTGTTTACATTGAAAAGCCTGCAGGGACAGGCTATAGACACCAGAGCCACTACATTAAGCTTTGTGTGTGTGCGCACCTGCTAGTGAGTGGGCTTGATTGTGTGTGTGCCTGCTACTGAGTGAGCTTGTGTTTTTATGTCAATTACCTTATGTAAATCAGTGAGATTGTTTGTCTATGAGGCTGTGTATCAATCAGCGTGTGTCAGTGAGATTGTCTGTGTCTGCATGTGAGTATGCTTACTGTATAATTAAAAATGTTACTCTGAAAGGACCAATATTGTATATTGGAAAAAGCAATATATATATATATATATATATATATATATATCATCTAGGGTGGCAAGACATAACCTTACATATTACATGCGACAATATATGGCGCAATGACTTATGGGGCTGGCATAGCTTTTTTTTCCAGGGCTGCTTTGGAATGCCCAGTCCGGCCCTGAACCAACCTCTTCTTCTGCTGAAATGATATAGTCCTTTTCTCAGGAACGGGTTTTGTGTGAGAGTTCTTTGTTGTGTCATTACATATATTTGTGTAATTGTATCCCCCTAAAGATACACATTCACAGTGAGAGCAAACTATGTGGAGCAATTTCTTCACAGCTATAAAAGTCCATGCCATTTAAAATAATAATACTTTTTTTCCTTGTTCTTGAACACCTTTCATATCCCAAATTACATCCCATCTTTGTGGTGAACCACTGATAAACCATTCCACGCAGGGCCGGACTGGAAGAAAAATTCAACCGGGGCAATTAAAGGCAGAGCAGCCCACTAGAAGGGGTGAGGCCAGAAATGGGGCATGCACTGTCACCACCACTGACACCCCCACCCCCTCCCCCCCCACCAAATGAGAATGTTAATGTGATGCTTCTCCAGAGCATCCAGTGCTCTTAAATGAAGTAAATGTGTGTGTAGTGTGTTTGTGTGTTAGTGCAGTATGTATATAGAGGTACAGAGTGTGTGTAGTGTGTTTGTAAGTGCAGCGTGTATATAGGGGTATAGAATGTGTGTAGTGTTTTTGTTTGTTAGTGCAGGGGGTGCAGTATGTATATAGGGGTATAGAGTGTGTGTAGTGTGTTTGTGTGTTAGTGCAGGGGGTACGGTGTGTATATAGGGGTATAGAATGTGTGTAGTGTTTTTGTTTGTTAGTGCAGGGGGTGCAGTATGTATATAGGGGTATAGAGTGTGTGTAGTGTGTTTGTGTGTTAGTGCAGGGGGTACGGTGTGTATATAGGGGTATAGAATGTGTGTAGTGTTTTTGTTTGTTAGTGCAGGGGGTGCAGTATGTATATAGGGGTATAGAGTGTGTGTAGTGTGTTTGTGTGTTAGTGCAGGGGGTACGGTGTGTATATAGCGGTATAGAGTGTGTTTCTGTGTTAGTACAGGGGGTACAGTGTGTGTATATAGGGGTACAGAGTGTGTTTGTGTGTTAGTGCAGGGGGTACAGTGTGTACATAGGGGTATAGAATGTGTGTAGTGTGTTTGTTTGTTAGTGCAGGGGGTGCAGTATGTATATAGTGGTATAGAGTGTGTTTATTGTGTTAGTGCAGGGGGTGCAGTATGTATATAGGGGTATAGAGTGTGTAGTGTGTTTGTGTGTTAGTGCAGGGGGTGCAGTGTGTATATAGGGGTATAGAATGTGTGTAGTGTGTTTGTGCAGGGGTTGCAGTATGTATATAGGGGTGTAGAGTGTGTGTAGTGTGTTTGTGTGTTAGTGCAGGGGGTGCCGTGCGTATATAGGGGTATAGAGTGTGTGTAGCGTGTTAGTGCAAGGGGTGCCGTGTGTATATAGAGGTATAGAGTGTGTGTAGTGTGTTAGTGCAGGGGGTGCAGTGTGTTTATAGAGGTATAGAGTGTGTGTAGTGTGTTAGTGCAAGGGGTGCAGTGTGTATATGGGGGTATAAAGTGTGTGTTTGTGTGTTAGTTAGTGCAGGGGGTGCCAGGTCTATATAGGGGTATAGTATGTGTGTAATGTGTTTGTTTGTTAGTGCAGGGGCTGTAGTGTGTATATAGGGGTAGAGACTGTGTGTAGTGTGTTTGTGTGTTAGTGCAGGGGCTGTAGTGTATATATGGGGGTATAGAGGGTGTGTAGTGTGTTTGTGTGTTAGTGCAGAGGCTGTAGTGTATATATGGGGGTATAGAGGGTGTGTAGTGTGTTTGTGTGTTAGTGCAGAGGCTGTAGTGTATATATGGGGGTATAGAGTGTGTGTAGTGTGTTTGTGTGTTAGTGCAGAGGCTGTAGTGTTTATATGGGGGTATAGGGTGTGTGTAGTGTGTTTGTGTGTTAGTGCAGGGGGTGGAGTGTGTGTGTTAGAGCAGGGGGTGCAGTGTGTGTAGTGTGTTTGTGTGTTAGTGCAGAGGCTGTAGTGTTTATATGGGGGTATAGAGTGTGTGTAGTGTGTTTGTGTGTTAGTGCAGGGGGTGGAGTGTGTGTGTTAGAGCAGGGGGTGCAGTGTGTGTAGTGTGTTTGTGTGTGTAAGTATTTGAGGGTGTGTATATTAGATATGGGCTTAAATTATTAATTTAATAATTAAAAAAATAAAATGAAAAATATCACATTTACTTCCCCTTATAACCTTGCAGGGGGTAGAGGGAACATGGATTTACCTGGTGGTCCATTGAGGGGGGGGGGAGGGGCACGCCGCACACAGGTCCCTGGTGGTCCAGCCGGCAGGTTATTTGGTACCTCTGCAGGGTACAGACCATGTCTCTCTCCCTCTCGCTAGCGCTGATTTTTCAGATCGTTGCCGTGGTAACTCACTCTGATAATCTCAGAGCACGCGAGAGGGAGAGAAGAAAGCTGCACGCATGGAGGGTGTCCGGCTCACTGCCCAATCCACCCTCCGGCCCATGATGGGACAGAACTCTATATTGGGGCTGGTGCTTCCCTGCATGGGCCGGTAGGGTAGATCTCTTAATCTTTCCTGCCGGCCTTGGCTCATGGCCATCGCGGCCCACCGGGCAAATTTGCCCGGTTTGCCCGATGGCAGTCTGGGCCTGATTCCACATATCCATGTTAATGTAGTGCATTGTGAAAACCCAGCTGTTGCTACAGTGACGAGATTCTCTTGTAGTGGTGGTTGGTGTAGTTTCTCTATGTTTTCCTTGGCCTTTTTCTATATTTTTCTACCCAACAGATCCTATACCAAGGTACATTGGCTGGTTTAAAATAGGGTTTTAGTTCACATTTACAAGTTCATTCATAAAAGTTCTAAAATAAGGTCTCAAATATACAGAGAAAAAAATCTATGCAAAGTCATCTAAGCTTCCAGTTCAGCTACTCTACACAACTGGGAGTTGTTTCCGGTTCTGGATCTTACAACAAAGCATTGACTGACAGGTGTGCTCTGCTTATAAAAGGGCTTCTGAAGCCAATATCCTGGTTTCACCTGTAGGTGGGGTTACATATATATATGTAACTGTGGGACTCAGCACCATCTGGCCTACATCATGGTCCTCGCTCTGCCCCCTAGTTACAACCCCTCTGTTTTAGAATCACTGTCCAGTTGACCTACACGGCGGCCGCCATCTTGGGTGGATATGATGACCGCCGCGGGTTCCCTGGCCATAGACTGAGGTGCAGAGAGTGTTGACTGGTGAGTAGGAACCACAGGCACCATGATCGCTACAGACCGGTTTCCAAATTTTAACTTTAGATTCTCACATTAGTAAATAATCCTGTTAGTGTTGGCCAAGTCTAATATTAGAAACATGAATTAGATTCATGTTCAGTGGCTACCTCTGAGAAAAACAAAAATTCCCTGACTATTTGAGAAAGGATCAGGCATTAATCTCCCCGTTACTCTCACCACAGATGTGGTAGAAACTCCTGAGCACTATAGAGTTAACTGCATGATGGAGAGTAAACATGAGGATCCATGAAGGTCACTGAGTGACACATGAATTCCTGTTTTTAGTAGAAAAGATTTAATACTTTTGATAGTTATGAGACACCTTACCAGTCGAGCCAATAGCCAACTCCCCATACAATCCATTGTTAATGTGTAAGCCAGCCACCACAGGGGAATATCTGTGTGACCAAAACCACAATGTAAGTGGGTCCAGAAATGAAGTTATATTGTATCCATGTTAGTGCCGTTAAACATATGATCTGTTTTATCTTGAGCATATCTTCCAAGATCTTCCAAGCTTATAGAGCCTCTAATAGCACACACTGTCCTTCCCTAGTATTCTAAAAATGTGGTCAAACAGAATGTTCTGAAAATATGCCAAGTTTTTTTCATTAAAGGGACTCTAATGGCACCCAGACCAGTTCATTTCAATGAAATGATCTGGATGCAGCGCCGTGGATGTTTTAACCATGCAATGGAAGACATTTTGTAGCCAATGGTTTTATTAAAGGGTTAAACTCATCTCTTCTTGGCACCTCCTCAGTGAGAACCGAGTCAGACTCAGATCTCATTTAAGTGCTGCTCATAGTAAGCATTTGATTGGCACAGTGATTGCCGCGCATGTACACTAGGCTAAGATCAGTGAAGCTCTCAGCCAAAAAAGCATGGCAACCAAAGCGAGACCAGCGTGCTGCGAGATATAACCTAAGTAAATCTTTTTTTAACCCTTGCAGAGGGGTAATAATCCAACTAGTAGGGAGAACATTATAGCAGTAGAAATACATGTTTGTATTCCTAACACTATACTGTTCCTTTGAGGTTCCTGCTGTGTAACAATGATAGTAATGTCACAACAAATAGGAGTTGTAAAACCCACTATTTACTTTTTGCTGTTTATCCTTTCTCCATCAGCACCGAATTCCTCTACCCGATGTATTACGGAGGCATCTGTAAATTTCCTGGTTGTGAGAAGGTCTTTGCAGATCATCGTCATTTCCTCAGGTAGGGGAAGCACACTGTATGTAATTACTATAAAACCAGTGATTTCAAGATGCTAATTAAAGGACCACTATAGTGCCAGGAAAACATACTCGTTTTCCTGGCACTATAGTGCCCTGCGGGTGCCCCCACCCTCAGGGTCCCCCTCCCGCCCGGCTCAGGGGAGAGGAAAGGGGTAAAAACTTACCTTTTTCCAGCGCTGGGCAGGGAGCTCTCCTCCTCCGATCCTCCTCCGTTCTTCCCCGTCGGATGAATGCGCACGCGCGGCAAGAGCTGCGTGCGCATTCAGCCGGTCGCATAGGAAAGCATTATCAATGCTTTCCTATGGATGCTTGCATGCTCTCACTGTGATTTTTACAGTAAGCATCACGCAAGCGCCTCTAGCGGCTGTCAATGAGACAGCCGCTAGATCTTTGGGGGAAGGCTTAACCCATTTATAAACATAGCAGTTTCTCTGAAACTGCCATGTTTATAAAAAAATGGGTTAACCCTAGCTGGACCTGGTACCCAGACCACTTCATTAAGCTGAAGTGGTCTGGGTGCCTAGAGTGGTCCTTTAATTCTCGATTTTATTTCAAGTTGTATGGTAGTTTACCATGAAATGACCAGTGGGCCCAAAGTGATTATCCCCACGGATATTCATTCAAGTGAGCCATATGGAGCTTGGCATTCATTCTATCTGAGCCATATGGAGGTTGGCATATCACTTGATTTGAGGCACATCCAAAGTTTTATGAACATCCATTCTGGTTAGCTGAGTTTGAAGGGAACACAATGAAAATTTTGTTGCATGGACCCCGGTTTAACACTCAAGCCTCATATCCACAATGACATTTCAAGAGTTATATGAGCTACATGTTATAATAGGTCACCTAAGTGACATTTAAAGCATACTCCAAGCATCATAACCACTACAGCCCATTGTAGTTAGGAGCACCAGGGTGCAGTTTCCCAGTAATTAGTCAAGCTTTTACAACAGTTTGTCGCTTATCTGGGTCTTACCAGGCCCTGGGTCTCCACTCCTGTTGGCTGTGATGACATTGGTCTACTGCAAAGCTGCAGCAGCTGGATTCCGATACTGATGGCCATTTATTGGCTGACAGTATCAGCTGTGCGCTCTCAGCCAATGTTGGACATTCTGTGTATAGAAGTATGCACAGAATTGACATTAGCCAGCCTGGAATTCTTGTTCTAGGTTGGTGACTGACGCCCCCAATGATGCTACTGAATGTGGACTTACTACTCCGAAAGCAAATAGGTTAAACTCTATATGTGAAGCATTTTATAGTGAAAAGCTGCACATACAGACTCCAGGCACCGTGACCGCTCCAAATCACCGAAGTAGTCATAGTTCTTGGCGTAAACTCAAATGAATTTCTTAACAAAGTACTAAAAACCTCAAAAACTTTATCATTGTTACCATTTCTTTTCAGGCACCTACACAATGATCATAATCTGGGTGATAAAAGTACCATGCAATGCCTTATCCAGAATGAAGTGGTCCATAGTCTAGAAGAGCAGGTAAGTCCACCCAAACACTTGCGGAATTCTGTTTCTAAGCACCTAATGGTTTGGGCTCTGCCATCACAATTGAGACACATTTCCGTATTTGTACTACGTCTGCATAGTGTACTACTTAACTTTAATTTTTAACATTTGCCTTCTCTCTGAAACTGTCACTGCTTTCTATATAACCTGCTATTTTTCTGTATGTGGGTCACTTGGAATAAAGTCCTTCCATGTGGGTATATTTTTCACTTCGACATCCCTCATAAGTCCATCTCCATTTAGTGCAGAGGTGTCAAACAGTCCTTGATGTTCAAGATCCAACCGCAGTTTTAATGTTTCTTTTTCATCTTTTTGCTGCTGGGCTGTGGGTCAGGACATGGGGATAATGGGGTGCTACTGGGCTGTGGCACAGGAAGTGGAGAGAATGGGCTACTACTGGGCTGCCTGTGGAATGTTATGAGCTGTGGGAAGGGATGTGGGAGTACAGGTAACTATTGGACTAATGCTGGGCTATGGGGGAATGGGGAAATACTGGGCTCTAGGATGGGATAGAGGGGAGAATTGGCTACTGCTATGCAGTGGGGAGTAAAAAGATGTGAATGGACTATTGCTAGGCTATAGGACAGAATGAGATAGGATGGGCTACCACTATACTATGGGGCAGGATGGGAGGGTAATGGGATGGTGGGGGGAATATATATATATATATATATACACACTCACACGTATATTCCTGGGATAGTCCACTAGGGTTGATTGATGGGCCTGAAATCCACAATGTCAGTAAATAGTTGTGATAGTCTGTGTTTGTTCCAGCTGGCAGTAGAAAAGAAGAAACTCTATGAGATGCAGAAGCAGATGGCTGGAAAAATAAACATCCAAACAGTCCACCTTCCTGTAAGTTACCTCACAATGAAATGTTACAGTCCTCATTGCCAGTTAGGGAGAGGGTAAATGGACCGTCCAATCACCTGTCTTGTTTCCACCCTGCACAGAAGCAGAGGGAGCACAACCTCATCCTACACCACCCCAGTGTCTCTTCCTGGCCTGGTCTGAATGTATCGGTCCCATTCCAAAAGGAATTCCCCGAAACAGTTCTGGCTGTGAGACAACATCTCTGGGAAGGGAGCAGTATTAATATATTTCAAGGTATGGACTGACTAGCTTGCTACATAATAACAGCCATATATTATCCACATAGGGCAATGACACAGGACTGGATACCCGGGGAAGTTGCCTAGGATGCCGCTTTTAGGGGTGCCACCAGAGGTGTCAGCCAAATCTTTTCCAGTGAAGACAAAGCCATAATTTCTATAAACACTTAGGCTCAATCTTAATTACATGAAAGACAAATTCTAGTGGGGAGGATCTTCTATCTTCTTGCCCTGTGTGTGCGGCCAATGCCAACGTGTGCCACATGTAATGGGCTGTTTCTAATTATTACCACACCCACTCCTAGATAAGATATCATTTTTATTTTAATATCTACCATTATGAAGTGCTGGAAATTAAATCCAGACCTGGCTGTGTTACAATAACATGTGGTTGTCCATAAATTGTTGCACACCTCAAGTAAAATTTAGATGATGAAAGTTGAAGTCCAGCAACAGTTGTCGTAGAAAATAAATACCTAGAATGATGACTCTTTAGAGGTGAAGTTAGAAATGTAATGGTAATTGACAAAGTAATTTGGGACTAACCACAAAACTTTGGATTGGAAGACTTGTTAAGGGAATTGTAAATGTTATGCCAAGTCCGAAGAATTCTGAAACTCAACTATTTTTCCAGTTAAACTTTTTCAAACTAATATTTACAATTGCCTTGTCATCTTCACATTGTTCCCACTTTAATAAATTAACCATTTATGTTTATAATTATTGGTTATGCATAAGATCACTAACATGTTTTACTGCACAATAGACAGGCTAATTTTACATATGTGTAACTTTATGTTTTTGTCAAAGCAATCTGTGTTGTAATATCCTACTATTAATTTTGCTCAGGTACAATGCAAGAATCATTACCCAAGGTTCCTTCATCTTTTCAATGGCTCTAGGATCCTCACTTAATTAAACTGTATGAGTGCTAAAATGTCCTCTTTATTAACCTGGTCCTGAACAATGTGTTTTTTTTTAATCATTCAGATATGACAAACTGTATTGAATATTACAAAGTAAACTGCGTCAGACCACCATTCACATACGCCTCTCTCATTCGATGGGTAAGAAATCAAGTAACACCAATGACTGTTAATAAGTCACATAATATACACTAGGCATTTTTGGTGGTCACTTTAATGGGATACTGTCATTTCTCTGTAATTTACATCACTATGTAAAACACTGAGAATAACTTGTGTTAACCTTTTTTACATGAAATGCTCTATTTTCTTTTAAATATTTATTAAAGATTTAGCAAATTACATCAAAACCAGTCCAGACAAGGCAAAGCCAGACCCCACACAATGCAGATCAGGAGGGTAAATAAAAACATTGTTTAAATTCTCATCTTCTTTATAAGCTTTGTCAATACTGGCTGCCAGATGCAAAGAACAGAGCTTATAACACTGATTGACAGGGAGCTAAGATAAAGATGCCCAGTTACAGGATGAAGAGGTGATATTTTATATTTCACACACTGCAAATACATAGTTGTTAAAAATAGGGACAAGTAAACAGAATACTAAAAATTCAGAGAAGAGATTGTTCCTCTTTAATGACTACCTTGCACTGTGCAATATGTCTGGAAAGCAAAGCATTCTGGGACAGATTATGCAATGAAGTACCACCCACATTAAATATTAGGGACGGTATCTTTATATTCCTTGGATTAAAACTGAAGCAGGCCAAGTATTTAATTTGTATTATATCATCATAACTATATATTCAGCTAGCACAGTAAACAGAAGATTAAGAGATTAAAGGGACACTAGTTGTTCTGGTGTCTATGGCATGTCCCTGCAGGCTTTTCACTGTAAATACTGCCTAGTGGCACATGGTGCCTAGTAACACCTCTAGTAGCAGTCACTTAAATGGCCTCTGGAGATGCTTCCTGGGCCAGTGCTGCACAGAGTGCAGCACTGATGTTAAGCATTGCCATGCTCTGCATGGAGACACTGAAAGCTCCCCATATCGGTGTATTGATTGCCCTCTATGAGGAGATGCAGATTGTTGCAGCACTGTGCTTTGCTGCGCATACACAAGAGCTTCCCAAAGATTTCCCATGGGAAAGTTTGAGGAACTCAGCCAGGGAGGCGGAGTGGGGTGGGCCCAGCCGTGGTGTAAACTCACCTTTTTAAATACAGACAAGGTGGGGCCAGTGACCTAAATGATGTTTTAAAAACTATAGTGTCAGGAATACATGTTTGCATACCTATTAAAACATAGCTATGTGTAGTGTGCAGTCTAAAATGGTTTTAATATTCCGCTCCCCCCATGAGTGGACATATAGAAATGTTACGTATGTTTGAATTTTACAAAATGATCTGTCGCAAGGGATCACCGTATAAATTAGTTAAACTTAATCTGCTTAGCGGGAAGTTACCAAATGTTTATTCTGATGAAATTTAAATGCTTTGTTGCCCCTGGGAGTTAATTTTACATCAGCCTTTTAATTAGCCTGAAATAGGTACACAGAATCCATGCCAAGTAATTATCCAGAACAGTCTAAGTATGATGAAATAATGGATGCAAAGCTTTCTCCTAGTTCAATGTATCACACGTGCAATATACACTAAAAGAGACAGTAGTGCTTAAAATTAAAGTGACATAAAGTCTTAAATTATGCTTCCTTGAGTGGTTGAACAGTAAATGGCAAAAGGGACATATATGTAAGGGTGTTATTGGAGCCGAATTTTGATATAAAGGAAATTTACTAAAACAGAGGGTAAGTAAAGACAGATAGGGTTGGAGAGAACGGTAGAAGATAGCTGGATGGAGAGAGAGAGAGATATTTTAAAAAGAAACAAAGATGTAATGACATGTGAGGAAAAACTACTAGTGGGAGAAACTTGGAAAATTATTAGTAAAGAACTTTTCCTGCACCGTTGCCTTGTCTACCATCTTGTTTAGCTTCTGGTGCTTGTGGTAAATTGTATCATCCTGAATAATTACATTCAGATTCTAATATGTTCAGTTATGTACTAAAATTATCAAATACAATGTATTATAGAAGCAAAAGCTGATATAACGACACAGCCGTAACAATGTAAAATGACCCCTTTACACTGATTGACACCTCACAGCTGATCAGTCTGGAGAGTCAGGAGCAGAATTGAGATACGTCCCAACCAATTAGCAGCAGAAGCCATTAATGTCTAATATCCTCTCCCTGGATACAGTGCCTCTGTGGGATTTGTATTCTCTGCTGATTAAGTAATCCACTAAACACCAACATCTAGTGAACTGAAGGGAAATATTACAAAGTGTAGTAAAATAAAAGGCAGATTTTTGAAAAATAATCCAACTCAGCTATAGTCAAAGCTTGACAATGTCAGCATGAATTTGCAATTTGGTTTTCAATTCAGTATTTAGTGAATAATTCCCTCGGTTTTGGAACGCTTTAACCTTATCTGACTTCATTTTGGTTTTCGTTACCCTTTAGGCTATCCTGGAATCCCCCCAGAAACAGCTGGCACTAAATGAGATTTATCATTGGTTTACCAGAATGTTTGCATTCTTCAGGTCCAACAAGATCACATGGAAGGTAATCACTGCCTCGGGAAACGCACAGAGATTTCTGGGTATTAACAATTCTCAGTCTAGTGTGCTGTGGTGTTCTAGCGTAGACGTCCATCATTCACAGCACACTGTAGCGGCTCACCTGCCAAGTGTGTTTACTCAGCACGTATTGTTACCAATGGAGGATCTCTGACTACATTTTAAGATTGTCCCAAGTCTTTCAGAAGTTCTGAATATAACCCAGAATTTACTGACCAAACCTATTACTATTATTGACATTTATATAGCGCCAACTTATTCTGCAGCGCTTAACAATATAATAAAAGGGGGACATTTAACATTAAATGAGACAATTACAAAATGTTACAGGAACAATAGGTTGATGAGGACCCTGCTCAGACAAACTTACACTATAGAGCAGGGGTAGGCAACCTTCGGAACTCCAGATGTTGTGAACTACAATTACCATAATGCTCTTGCAGCCATAATGCTGGGAAAGCATCAGGGGATATGTAGTCCTCAACATCTAGGCCCTGATCTAGAGGGTCTCCCCCAATCTGTACTGTGTTTGAGTCAAATTGTTGCCTGATCTATCTAACACATGATAATAGGTTAGCTTGTTGCAAGGACTCTGTAATTTCTACTCCACTCTGATCTACTCTTGAACATTTAGATGATCTGGTCTGATGATTGTACCTCTTTATTAAAGAGGCACTCTAAACAACATGGCAACTAAAGTTGACTGTAATGGTTATGTTTTCTCGGGTCCCCTAGCTCCATCCCTTGCTTGATATCAAACAGCTTAATAACCATCTATTATAAACGGAGACTCTTCCCAATGCCGAGATACCTCCCCCATTTATTCCACATTGATAATGCAAAATTAACACTTATCAATGTCAATTTCATCCACCTTTGGCTGAGATTAATAGGGGAAGGTTAGTGTTAATTTTGCATTATCAATAAGGCTGAGATGGGTGGTTCCTGGGTGCCAAAAAAAAAAAACTTTAGTTGTTATTAAACCATTCTTAGATATGGTTTAATATTAAAATGAAGAAAATAATTAGGTGATCATAGATGGCTTAACCACTACAGGGAGATGTAATGATAATTTGCTTAAGAATTTAAGATGGATTTAAAGTAAATTTCAAATTTGAGGTCAAAATAGCCAAACAAGTTAGATATGCTTTCAGTTCGACTACTCTAGGCCTTAAATTTGAAATTCACTTTGAATTCTAACTTTATTGAATAACCTTGTAGATATTGCAATAGTCTCATAGGGGATTAAGAATGAATAGAAATCTAGAAATGTGTTTTTGTTTGGGGTTTTTTATTTCAATGAGAAAGTAAAGTGTGACACATAACTGAGTTTTCTGTTTCTAACTGATAATTTGTGATAAAAAAAAAGCTAAAAAGTGAAAAGAGAGGAAGTGAAAGTCTCATTGATTAAAGAAAGGTCAAAGCCGTTATGCAGGGAAGGTGTCCCGTCTACCCTCAAACTTTCACAGTACTTCTGATCTGAAGTTATTAGCCACTTCTGTAGTACGCGTTGTTTGGTAGATACCTGGTTTCAATTTACATTAGTATATTAAACACCATAACCACTGCACAACACTGTAGTGGTTATGGTGCCAGGAGTGCCTAATGTAAGTAGACATTGTTCCAATCAACTCTCCTTCTATTCTCTTACTTTCACTTTGTTCTTTCTTCTTCATTTTTTTTCTTTCTTTCTTTTTACCTTAATCATTATTTTTGAATTTGAAATCTGTCTACTCCTACTGCCTCGCAACCCAGAAGTCTCGCTCTGCCCTAGTGATTCACCAATATATTATGAAAAGTTACCAACAGAAAAAAATAATTACAGTAGAAGTTCTTTATGAATTATACATGAGCAGCACCCTACGAGAACCACATATTAGACATGATTACAGAGATCAATTAATTAGCTGAACTGAATAACTTTCTATCCATCTGAGCTGTTCATTATTAATCCTTGGAGGTTCTGCTCCACACAGGAAGACCATCAGACAGGGAGTCCTATTATTTTTAATCAAAGATAATTAAACACGCGCATAATTTTATTAACTCCTCAATAATTAAATAACCACCAACAACGCAGAGTTTTCGAAAATAATTACCGGTAATTTGATTTGGGGAAAACTTAGTATTTTTCTGGGCAGTGTTATGGCTTTCCAAGTTAACAGAACTGTATTATTTATATGACATTCACTTGATATATTGAGGGATTATACAAAACCATGTTTTTATTGAGTGGCCTAACTCATTTCTATAATTCTAGAATGACCAATTTTGTTGGTAAGAACATTTTTGGACCAGCCATATGTTTACAAACGGTAGACGTGAATTTGATGGTCTAACATAACCTCTTCCTACCCGTCTTCTCTCAACAGAATGCAGTTAGACACAACCTAAGCCTCCACAAATGTTTTGTGCGAGTTGAGAATATTAGAGGAGCTGTTTGGATGGTTGACGAGCTGGAATTTCAAAGGAAAAGAGGGGTGCGAAGTTCACGCTGAGTAACGGCGCGACTATACGGCTTTGGCACTTCAACACACGGGGCTCCTTGTGTACAAACCATCCTCCCCCTATGTAACTAGTGGTGTATAATTCTCCACCTGGCAATAAAGTTTGACTGGTGTTGTATCCACATCTACACCTCGATACAGATCTAAAGACTGTTTCACGACAAATGTTCGCTGGTAAAAATTCTGAATCTTTTTTCTTCCCTCTTTTTCACTGCGTGAGCCAGACATATGCTCGGGATTTACAACAGTTATAAAATGTAAACTGTTTTCCGCTACACATCACAAAATGTGGCTTTCCTGGAAATGTTCACATTTCGAAAGCCAATCCAAATCACACACAAGGATTTAATGAATGAAAATGTTCACGAATGTGCCTTAATGTGTACATATAACCTGATATATAAACAAAAACCTTTATATTAAAATGTACTGCTCTACTTTTTGAATAAAATATTACCTTTATCAATAGAGAGTAAAAGTATGTCCTTTATGTATCTATTACCCATTTTCCATATGTTTTTGATTTATATTTAATTTTAAGAGCCAGTCTGGACTTAAAGGGACACTGTAGGCACTATAACCATTTCATCTCACTGAACTGGATATAGTCCCTGGAGTAAAACGCTAAACTGGGGAAAAAAAAAAAAAAAACATGGGCATTTCATGGCATTGTTGCCCACTTTCAAATTTTTAAAATATTACTTTTTCTTTTGGAGCTCATTAAATTATAGAATCACACAGGCATTTAATTGCAGACGCACACACAAATGCACACTCACAGAGGCAAAATATACAGACACACAGTTGTATATAATACACCATCACAGTCACACACTCACAGATGAATTCATGGATGGATTCACACAGGTATACACACAAAAACAGACACAGATGGGGGCGGGGGCAGGCCGGTGAGCGGAGCGGTCGCAGGGGAAATCAGCTTATTAAGCCTGTCAAACCACGATCTTGGGTACTTACATCACCCAAAACTGTGACCCTCGATGGAAAGGGGCCATCGGAACCAGGGAGAGGCTTGCTCCTGAAGTTCTAGTTCCCCGGGGGGGAGATCTCTGGTATGACCAGCGGGACCTTCCTGGCGGTGAGTGGAGTGGATGGCCGCCGCTCCACTATCCTGCCAAACGTAGCCCGACAACCACACTGCATCTGTGTGGACCCGGTCCCCCCCCCTCTGGGCCGGGGGGTGATCCAGGTCCTCACCCCATAGCCATACCCGGAGGCCATATCACACCAGGCCATGGCGTAGGCCCGAATCCAAGATGGCAGAAGAGCTGACCCACAGAGCCCAGAACGGACCACTGATCCATGCTGCCCAGACACGCTAGAGAACAGACTGCCAGTAAGCACTGCAGGGCCCCAAATAAACAACTACCATCAAAGGCCCGAAGGGAGAAGAGGAGGGGAGACACAAAACAAATGGTGGCACCACAAACATCGCTTCTGCACCGAACTACTTACCTAATGAAAGAGCTAAGAGGCCCGAGCCCGAGGCATAACGCTGCGTCCCACTCCAACACACCAAACAGCACCACCCACCCAACGGTACCTCAGAAATGACACCCCGAGACAATGAACGTGCAACAGGTCAGTGAAGTCCCCATGGGAGGCACGGCGCAAGCCACTGCACAAGGGGAAGACGAGCAGACACACAGCACCCGCCCTGGCTAACAACAACGCTAGGTAGACCTAAGAGAATTGCATATCATCTTCGACCCAACCTCACAGAACACACTCATGATGAGGCAACCCACCGGCCCATTAATCGGGACTACCCCAGGCCCAGCCGCGGCCGAGAGGACATATATACTGACACCAACTGTCTTGGGCTAGATCAGAGACGCTAGCTATCCTTTATTAACTACAGTGTTCGGGTGTACCTAATTATGCTGGTGACACTTAACGTTTGGGGGATGTTATTACTTTCATTTTCATGGTTATTATCGTTGTTACTTTCTCTATCATTTTCTTTAGCGCTCCTCATACCACCGACAACCACAACCATACCCTCACGCAACAGACATGTCCGCGCAAACACACACAGTCCAGAGGGCACAGCTTACACCAAACGCCTACACGACACTCTGCACAGACACACGCCGCGGCAGACTGCTTGACCACTCAATCCTATACACGCGCAGGGGCTCCTGCTACTGAGGGCTTGGGGTGACCGACTTAAGCCACTGACCCACTCTACCTAAAAGCAATAAGTTTATACAAAGATGTTTAAGCGACTAACACTCATGACATAAAAATGTGCATAGTATAGTGTTCAACCAAGCCTGATATACAAATATAAAAATGTGCGAATTTTCATGCCACTGCCTAACTATTGTAAATCTTGAAACACGCTGTTGTGGTGGATGTCGATACCCTGTAACCATCTGCACATCAAAAATAAAGAATATAAAAAAAAAAAAACAGACACAGATACACATTCACAGTCATAGATGCCCTCACAGATACATGCATACGGACACACACATACAGGCACACTAAAGAAAGGATAGACACATATATACAGGTAACACTGCTGGGGACTGTCATTTAGTGTTAAAACAATAATAATGGTTTACCACAGAAAGGAAGGATGGTGCCAGGGGGCTCCAAACACTGTAAGTGGCCTTGATATGAAATCACTCACTGAGCCATGGCCAAGTTCACCTGAGACACAAAAAAAGATAAATTAAAGCGGCACTGTCATGCCGAACTTACCTTTCCCCAAATATATTCCTCTTCTCACCCTCTGTCAGCATCTGTTCATCATTTCTTCATGTCTGCTCTAGTTTTCTTTAAAACATAAGACAAAGTTATGTATATTTCCTACGCTTGGCCAGCGGAGGAGCAAAGTGTGCTCGGTTTCCTGTGGTAAGAGAAATTTTCCCACAATGTTACCTTTCCTCCATGATCTTGCGATGCTTCCTGTCAGTATTCCCGAACGTCCTGTCACTTAGACAGAATGCTGGCGAAACTACCGAATTTCGTCCTAACAGAATGAGAACAGTTTCTCCATTCGTGTTAGGACGCAATTCAGGACTTTGTTCGGATCGGAATTTCATTCGAATTAATGAAATTCCGATCCGATTCATGCCACGACTGCATCTTGCAGCCGTCTAGTAGATAACTCCATAATTCCCACGGTATTAGGGAGCTATCTACCAAAAGGCTGAACGACCTTACTAAGATTACTTAGTATTAGTAAATTCTGCTCCTACTCGCTATATTGCGAGTAGGGGCATGTCTAAGTAAATAGTGAGCAGCCAGTGGCTTCTCACTGTTGTATAAAAAAAAAAAAAAAAATCCTTCTATCCCCCCTCCCCTCCCGATCCTCCACCCATGCCGCGCGAGTGGGAGCTATTAAACTAAAGGGGGGACCTACCAATGAGCGGCGGGTGGGGCCCCTAAATGAAAATGGGCGGGGCCCAAGTCATCCTCCTCACACTCCAATAAAATGAAGCCCTGCCTACCTCCTTCACCCTAAAAATAACTGAGGGGGGGACACAATAAAACTAAATACCTGTAAAGAATTTTTTTTTAAAAAAAACTTACCATTTGATGTCTTCTTTTTTCGAATTTAAAAAATAAAAAAAAACCTGAGCGCGAAAAAAAAAAATCCGACGGAAAAAGAAAAACCCGAGTGGGGGTTAAGTGTAAAAATACCCCCCCACTTCCAGTGACTAGGCCCCCCAGACCCCTAGTCACCCTCACCCACCCCACCAATAAAATGAAGCCCTAGCTACCCCCTCACCCTAAAAATAGTGAGGGGGGGGACAATAAAACTAAATACCCGTAAAGAAATAAAAAAAAACTTACCATTAGATGTCTTCATTTTTCTAAAACTTTCTTTTTCAGCCCCAAAAAGGCCAAATAAAAATCCTTAAATCCCGTTGAACTAATAAACTTAAAAAAACACGACCAAAAAAAATAAAACCCCAGACACTAAAAAAAATTCCATTTCGGGGGTGACTAGGGGTTCTTGGACCTCTAGTCACAGGAAATGGGGGGGGTATTTTTACACTTAGCCCTAACACGTCGCCCATGGGTGGGGGCAGGGCAGAGGACCCCATTTTCATTTAGGGCTCCCACCTGCCGCTCATGGGTAGAGGCCGGAGGGGGGATGCTAGGTACCCCCTCCAGTTTAATAGCCCCCACTCGGGCAGCTCGGGTGGGGGCTCGGGAGGTTGGACACCGGGGGGGGGGCTTTTTTTAACAGTGAGCAGCCACTGTTTAGTAGACATGCCCCTACTCGCGGCATAGCGAGTAGGGGCATTCAGGAGATATTAATCTCCCTTGTGCTATTATGGGGGTCATATTGAAATTCCTGTTTAAATGCTCAAGTGTTTAACTGGGCATGCGCGGGAATCTTACAGCGCTATCTAGTGTGGGCAGATGACGTGTCCCACAGGGACTTCATCTACCCACACAAAAATGGCGGCGCCTAGGTCCGGGCACAAAATAAAGATGCAAAAATAGGTAATATTGGGGGCTTAGAGGCATTTGGGGGGAGAATACAATGTAGTGGAGTGGAGTGGGGGGGAGGAAGATTAAAAAAAACAAATGGGATTCGGCCATGACAGTGCCGCTTTAAAAGTGAAATATAATCTAAAAATTCTCAAAAATGTTTGCACAAGCCAGTATACATGAATTCACGTTAAATTACTTAAAGAATTAATTTCTCAATTATAGTTATATCAATAAACTTTTCAGAGGCATATTTACTAAACAGCAAACGAACAACTAAATTACAAAACTGAGGGTAAATAAACAGAGCCAGCGGTAAAGGAAGCAGGCCATCCATCGAAGCAAAGAATGCCAAATCAAGCGTGCCATACACTCTGACGCTTCACAGAGTGGGTGTCCACAAATCTCACATCCAAAGTGTAAAAGCAGTTGAACTGCAGGGCACAACAACAGGAACAGGCGCCTCGAGATGTCTTTCAGAATGATACGATGATATATGATGATACAGACACGAGAAATGCACAGCAGACCAAGACTTAACGTGTTTCATGCTCACGCACTCCTTCCTTGGTTTTCTGAGCATATTTTGCGTTTGTAGCTTATTGTGATTAAATCTTCAAACATCTGGAATCATCTTTTTCTCATTCCTGCTTGTGCTGTGCTGTTTAACTGATTTTGCCAAATAAACAGAGTTGAAAGAAATTGTCTTATTCTGCTGCTTTTCCAGCCTGAATTTATTTGCCTGATTTTTTTCGGTTTCTTGTCAGCGCGCTATTTAGTGAATAAACCCCAAAGAGCATTTTTTTAATAAGAGAGAATGTATGCAGAGCGTACGTACGTCCTGCTGTTACAGGAAATATATTTAGAATGTTCCAAGAAGCTGGATGCCTTGCATCACACAGCTTTCCCGGATTGGCATGCGTGCAGCAATTAGCACGGTCTGTGGCGCTTTCTTTGGCACCAGCGGGTGCTACCTTACCCCTTGAAAGCACTGCTTGGAAAGGTAAATCTCTGCTTGGAAGTTTTATGGCACTCAGCATTACTTAAGTCTAGAAACACCAACATATATGTTAAACTACAAATTGTAGAAAATTCCTAACTGCTAAATTTATTTCTAAAATGGCTGAGCTGCAGCTATGGCGGAGTTAGAAAATTTCTGCAAAAACAGCGGTTTGCCTATATTTTGCCAATGTGACAACGCGAATTGACAAGGAAATAGCACATTTAAAAATAAATAAATTTAAAAAAAACAGGAGTGAAAAATGACAGCAGTTTGCCAGATTTGGTCTAAAATGTAAGTGTTGGTTATCGACAATTACTGGTTCAGTGAATAATTCCCTAAATTGTGGCTTACATTACGCCATTTCACAAAGAGCTGATTTGGTCTGAGTGTGTTCCCTAGGTTCACCCTGGTGCCTTGGACCCTGCTTGCAGCAGCCAACCTCCAGACCATACGAAGTTCTGGAAACTTGCTGTAGTTTGCATACAAGGACATGAGTTCACACGTTTGCCAAGAAGTAGGAGTCAATGTGGTTAAATCATCAAAATAAAGTAAGATCTTGTAAAATGTTTTAGAATATCAACTTTCTCCCTTCCATTTGCTTTGCTTTTACCAGCTGACAACATATTGCTTTGCGAACCAGATGACCTCCTACACTCATTCCCTTTTATAGATTTTAGTAAACCATGTCTGTGATTATATACCTCTGCCATCCTTTCTATCCTAATGTCCCTCTTTTCTAGGAGCTCCATAGTGTTGATGTGTCTGAGAGTATACCAGAACTGCACAGTAATAATACTCCCAGTAATGTGTCTTTAAACTACTATATATGTGTTTAGAAATCAGTCTGGGAAAATAAGATACATTGTTATGGCTCTAAATTACATTTTAGTTGCATAAATTGTTATTAGTAAGTCACCTAAAATTTCTCAGAGCAGCTACGCCCCGGGCCACACCCTCACTGACACCGCTAAAATTAAAGTGTCCCTCTTTGTTACATAGAAACATAGAATGTGACGGCAGATAAGAACCATTCTGCCCAACTTTCTAAATACTTTCATTAGTCCCTGGCCTTATCTTATAGTTAGAATAGCCTTATGCCTATCCCACGCATGCTTAAACTCCTTCACTGTGTTAACCTCTACCACTTCACCTGGAAGGCTATTCCATGCATCTACTACCCTCTCAGTAAAGTAATACTTCCTGATATTATTTTTAAACCTTTGCCCCTCTAATTTGTTCTTTTGAAATGTTGAAAGGTATGTGATTATAAAGTGGTACAGTACCTCCTTTGCTCGGCACCTGTTATAACATGGCCTCAGAATGGCCTAGGATACTGGCTTGCCTTTCATCAAACACATGGTACATTTTGCTTGAGTTCAGTGTTTATGCCTTTCCCTGTTAAAGGAACACTCCAGACCAATACAGCACTTCAACTTGCTGGAATGCGTTATGTGAAGAGTATGTCCTCTTTTATTCATTTTACAAAAAGTGCAGAGTTCAATACAAATTAACTTTACACCCCCCTGGCTGTCAATCAACCGGTCCTGTATTCTTCAGATGAGTTAAATTCATGAGGCAGACAACTGCCCAGAGCACCGGCCTTGAAAAGACTTCTCATTGAGCTGCATTGGGAATTCTGTGATTGGACAGCCACAGAAAGTTTGGGCAGGGTTAAAAGGGGAGGGCTTTATTTGACAGAATGGAAACATGTATTGCCTAGCTCACTGAGAACATAAAATTAAAAGTGTTTGTTTATTTTTCACTAAATGCACAATTATGGTGAATCGAAAACCAAGTTGGAAAATTAAGGCAAAAATAGACATTTGGAAAAATGTTCCCATTTAGCGTTAACAGATTGACTATTTTAGCCTAAATTGTACAATTTGGTTTTCTATTGACTGTTAACTTTAGTGAATAACAAAAACCTTACAAATATATCAAGGATAACTTTTAAAATGAGAAATGCAAATAAGCCAAAGGGTGAATTAATACAGGAGTAATGTACATAAATGAAATTGGATAATACAATTTAAAATCTATGATAGGGGTAAGCAACCTTCGGAACACACACGATCTTGTGGACTACCATCTTCCATGATGCTTTGCCAGTATTATGGGATTTGTAGTCCACAACATTTGGAATGCTTGGTTACCTAAGACATAATAGAAACTTTTGACAAGATAAATATACCTTTCCTTGTTATATATTTGGTATTAATGTTATTAAATGTATACAGTATTGTACATATTGACTCATCTACACAGAAAATTGCACCATACTATATAAGCAGTGTTTAACCCCTTAAGGACCAACCCTCTGGAATAAAAGGGAATCGTGACATGTCATGTGTCCTTAAGGGGTTAAACATTGATATCCTCTTACTGAAAGAGACATTTTATTTCGAAGAGGTGAGAACCCATGAGATATTTAATGATGGGTAGTCTGACGATGCTAATTCTATTGCATAAAAATGTCTAATCAGTAAACTACAGGTAGAAAATGTAATGTGCACCTGACATAAGTTATGTTTTACGAGGAATTCAGATGTAAATGTCCTTAAAAGGGTCTGTCAGTGGGAACAAATAATTGAAAAAGATAGATCTCTTTTAGGACTTTGTCCCAGAATTGCTTACAGCACCCAGCATGCCCGTTTTACATATGTATTTTCTAAGGATTACAAATTGATGATTGGTAAGAGAACACCTTTTAGTAGATAATCACTGTAATATAAGTGCAAAAGAACTTCTATGGTGTATCACGTTTATTAGATCTGCAGCTTTTGCCATCTGGTTTTAAGATATACCCCACCCCCCAATGGAAAAAAAAATGCATCATTGAATGCATGGTTGTTTGCATTGGGGTATATCTACTAAACAGTGATTTGTATATTTTTGCATTTAGAAAGTGATGTTTAATATGTTGGAAATATCACGTCTCAAACTTTCTGTGCCTTTTTTTTCTTTTTTACTACCACTTTTACACTCCACTGCCCCCTGCAGATCATCGTGGAAAATAACTTTTAAAAACAAACAAAAACACATGACAAGTACAACCGTGTGTGCCTAGATGTGTTTTATTTAGTGAGGAATTATAGTCCTTTCCTTTCTTGTTACAAATGAATGTAGAGAGTACTGTATTATGCCAGATAGGCAGCCAGTACATAAAAGAATAGAGCTCTGGGTGATCCGGCTGTAAATAGATCCAGGAGAGGGCTTTGAGACGTGCCTTCCTTCTAAATGTCCTTGACACGGCCCAATAAAAGTGTGTTCTCCTGTTTAATGGCCTTATAATCTTCCAAGATCTTCTGCAGATTGTTTAGCGTCTTCTTGGTGGCCTCCGTTTCTATCTGCAAGGAGAGGTGAGAGATTTGTGCACGTTAGAGGTTCTACCTAATACAATCCTTTTAATGGAATCTGTCTTTGTCTAACCCAGCCAGAATACAAATACCCATATTTACACACATATACAGAAGCTGCATGTATTTTATAGCAAAACCCAAAATTTTTAGAATAGTAGGAAGGTTTTTATAACTCAACGTGGAGCCTCTTATCTGCTTGTTTATGATCTGCGTCTAATAGATGGATCAGACAGTAAATTTGGTAGCAATGTAGTACATGGATTGTATACATTCTACATGATAATTGAAGCAGCTCCCAAGTGCTTCAATACATATCCTATAAACCTCTGCAGGGCAGGAGTTTAAGGGATAGTTTAGGACCTGTTAAACAGAATAGGAGCCTCCTGATTGGCTGAGCTACTTCCTGGTCTAGACAGAGCTGACAGCAAAAGAAGGAAACACAACAAGCGAAAGAACTTCAAACGATATTGTTTAGTTTTTGGATACTAAACAATTCGGTATGATAAATTTTTATTTTTTTTTAAATCCCCTTTACATTAACACAGTCAGATAGTTTGAAGGGAAATGTGGCTTTCCTACCAAACTGTACAATAATATTTTTTAAAAGTGCTTTACGACATGTGGGAAGTTTATTCACTAAGCGGAGAATTGGGATTTGTTCCAACGGGAATTACAAAATGTGGGTCAATATAGCTGTTATAATAACAGCAATTATGTTATAACAATTCTGAATGTAAATAAACCTTCAGTTAAGCTACTGAACTCTAACACCTTGGGATTTACTCACTAAACCATGAATCGTGAAGAAATGACAAGCATATTATAGGCCAAAATATTATACTATTTTTCCATCCAAGCCATTATATTTTACAAATTGCAATTCTCTTGTCAATTTTCCATAATTCACAGCTTGGTAAATATACACGCCGTGTTACTTAATACTTTTTACTTTCTCAGCTTACAGCCCTTAAGAGCCAGGAGCATTATAGGTTAGTATATATGTGAATACATTACCTGCTCCTCCAGATCACGGATCTCTCTTAGGATGGTCCCCGTGTCCTCTATGGTTTGGATCAGCTGGCTGCAGTTCTGGGGTTGGGGGCAACGTGCAAAAAGATAAGCCAGGGATAGGATAGAATATGGTCATATACAACTAATCGGAGGTTTAGAAATACAAAAAAAAAAAAAATACAAAAAAAAAATACACCATGTAAAAGTACACACATCTACAAAAAAAATAAAACTATTTTATCTGTGACAAAATCATGAACATATCATCTGAAAATGGTCTTGCAATGCATTGTCCCTGCCAGCCTGTAGCCTAGGGCCACTAAGTGATGGATGTATGCTCAATGTGGACATCCTTACCTCATGAAGAGCTGCCAAATACTTGTAGGCCTTTCTGACTGGCTCGTCTTTTTTGGCATCCTGAGCATAAAATAAACAAATGGAGTCAGGTAAACACTTTCATAACACAGATTATGGTAATTCACAAAAAAAAAAGAAAAGAAAAAAAAAGAAGAGGAACCATACCTTAAACACCAGCTCGTCTGTCACCACAAAGGTCCGATCAACCTTCCCTGTCAGATTGTTGATCTCCTTCTGTAAATCTTTAGTGTCTGATAGAATCTGGATGGAAAAATGAAGATCTCCATATCAAGAAGCAGAATGAGTATGTCAAAGAAATGTGGGATGCAGGGATGAAATTCTGGGAGAGAATGAGTGAAGAACATTCATTGCCGATTAATAGGTGTAATGTGAAGATACAAAATATTTGGTAAAAACAAAGACATGTTGTGCAGTTGATAGCAAGTTTCTATAGGCAGTGTACTAACTCCCCAAAACTCCTATAGGATACCTTTGTTATCTCCTCCTTCTGTTTCTTGATGTTGCTTACAATTTCCAAGATGCGCTGGGTGTACGCCGCTCGGGAAACTTCTCTGGGGAGAGACTCGTACTCTGACACCTGCAGGAGACACAAACGTTTAAGGGGAGTAGGGCACCATGAGAGGTGAGGGGAAGGAGATGAACACCAGAGAAGCAAGTTGTATCTATAAATAGCTGGTCAAGCCTTGGATTGAACAGTCATATAAAGCACCAGAGCAAAGCTGGACTGGTGGGTTATACATCACGGAGAACGGATTTCCCAAAATTTATTTAGAGAACGTACTATGTGTTTTTCTTGATCAATGTAGCAAACCCCCAGATCGTGGGTAGCCAGCATTTGTCATTTCTTCTTTCTTAAAAGGACTACATTAGGCACTACTATCAGCCCATTCTAAATGTTGTACCTTCTGGGACACAACTGTTTTTTACAAGGAATAAGTCCAAACTAAAACACAAAAAGACCATCTCACCAGCTGCTTGTAAAGTTCTTCCTTTCGCTTTGCCTCATCTGCGGCTCCTCGGATCTTGTCGTACAAATCTTTTGCTTCTTTCATCCAGCGCGATGATTCATCCTGCAAGATCAGAGGACAATGAATACAATGAATACGTCAGATTATATAAACCACCGGAAGATTTCCAGAGCCTTTAAATTCCTTGGATCTTCACGTCTCTTTCAGTATTCATTTTATTTGTACAAAGTTACTGTAATCATTTTATTAACCTTCTGAGTATCAGTGGGATAAGCTGTATAGTATTTGCTTAACTCAATACTTAAAGGCCTTTCATTCATTTATTTATTTTGAAAATTCTTTATTTAAGTACAGGCAATCACATACGACAATGGTACTTGTTCAGCATATGTTGAAACAATACGTACAAAGTCCTGCAGGGTTTAAAATGTACTAAAAAAAACCAATGAAATATAGTTTACATTCAGTATTAAGAAACTAAAGATTCAGTGGGTGGCTTTGTGTTGTGAATTTGCATTGATAATTATGAGGCACAAAGAATTAACCGAACTTAATATAAAATAAAAAAAATTTAAAATAAAAAGTTTAAAGCCGAAGGCTCTCTGGAATTCTTATTGTTCCACCTTATTGACTATTGTAAAGTATTGCTGAAGGCCTCTAATTTTAACACATCATACAAAATGAACCTGTAGTCCCTGTGGGATCTTTTTATAATTTTTTTGATTGTGGCATTTTAATTTTAATATGAACAAAAAGTTGACAGCGATAAAAAAAAAAAAAAATACACAAAGGGAATAATTAATAACAAGTATCAAATATGTCAAGTCTAGCCTGTTCAGTGAAAGGTTTTGCCAGCAGAGTCTTGAGAACGTAATTGATTAATACGAATGTATTTTATGATCACAGGTAAACACATGCAGGCATGATAGAGTGTAAAATAACTAAAGTTAAACTAGAATTATAAAGTCATTTGGTTATAGGGTACAAAAGGCAATAATGAAGACTGATCTGTCTTTTTATAAGTTAAAATGTGATATAAATAAAAATAAAAAAATCCTTTTTTTTTTGTGGATTTTTTTCTTTTCTTGTAAAATAAACAAACATTTTGTGTTTGTTTCAGAGTCGGTGGGGATGGGAGTGAAATGCTGTACCTCCCGCTCCAGGTGAACCCGTCTCAGCTCTCGGTAATCATCCAGCAGCCGAACGCGATGAGTCTCCCATTGTCCTACTAGGTTCACCATGCGGAGAGCGCTAGCGTCCACCAGAGCCTGGAAGATTACATTTACATTTCAGTAAAGATTATAATAAAGGACATCTTTAGAATGCCTTGCATGGTTCCTAGTGAGCCTCTGGGCAGCAAAATATCAGATGTTGTGCATTGATTTGTTTCTGACCCAAAGAGGTGAAAGACAGAAGTAGAAGATTTAGAAGAACATTTTGCTTATAATTCAGGTTGACTATAGATATATTTCGTATGTCAGAGAGCAGGTTACATCTCACAAAAAGTTGCCAATATGGAATTTCTCTCAACAGAAACTTGTACAATAACAGTTTATGCACTTGTAAGTGACTAGACCTTCATTGACCTCAAAGGAGAATTGTGATTGGCTGGATCAGTTGCCAGCCAAGTAAAATGTAGGAAAGGTGGGGACAGATGACAAACTCATTTAAAATGTAATTTTAAGCTTGCTGCTGAGATTTATGGGTATGTACACACGATCAATTTAAAGATTTTATTATACTTTTGGGCTGATGTCAAGATCAAACAACAAAGGAGGATATAAGATAATTTTCAGAGCTTTGTGTGTGGATAGAGTGAACAGGTTTAGGGCAGTTTTCTGTTCACACTAATACACAGAGTATAATGATGTATCCTATTACTTATACAGGACTCTGCATACACTGGTAGATTATTGATTCAAGAGTGTGTACTCTGAAGACAGTGATTCGCACACTGATTAGTCTTACACGGTTGTGTTACACTGTTTGGTTATTTTCTCAAAGTCTCTGTGTGTACAATGAAGGATTAGTGTCTCAGGGGCTCTCTGTATATTGATGTATTAGTGAATCAAGGGCTCTCTGAACTCTCATGGATTACTGACTCAGGGGCTCTATGTGCACACTGATAGCTTGGTTACTCAGGTTCCCTGTGTGCGCACTGATGGCTTGGTGACTCAGGGGCCCTGTGTGCGCACTGATGGCTTGGTGACTCAGGGGCCCTGTGTGCGCACTGATGGCTTGGTGACTCAGGGGCCCTGTGTGCGCACTGATGGCTTGGTGACTCAGGGGCCCTGTGTGCGCACTGATGGCTTGGTGACTCAGGGGCCCTGTGTGCACACTGATGGCTTGGTGACTCAGGGGCCCTGTGTGCACACTGATGGCTTGGTGACTCAGGGGCCCTGTGTGCACACTGATGGCTTGGTGACTCAGAGGCCCTGTGTGCACACTGATGGCTTGGTGACTCAGGGGCCCTGTGTGCACACTGATGGCTTGGTGACTCAGCCCTGTGTGCACACCTCAGGGGCCCTGTGCACACTGATGGCTTGGTGACTCAGGGGCCCTGTGTGCACACTGATGGTTTGTTGACTCAGGGGCCCTGTGTCCACACTGATGGATTAGTGACTCAGAGGCCCTGTGTGCACATTGATTGCTTGGTGACTCAGGGGCCCTGTGTGCACACTGATGTATCAGTTATGAAGGCTGCTCTATTCAGAGCTCTGTATAAGAATACCTGTAACTTGGCAAGGTTGTTATCAGCGTCAGGTAGCAATTCCACTGCTCTTTTCTTCAGTCTAATGACATTCTCTTTCTCCTCGCATTGCTGGCGGGTCTCACTCACCTCCCTACTCGCCTGAATGAGAGAGTACAGTATGGGACATTAACACAGTCTCACAACATCTCCCCCAATGTTTTCTGTCCAGCTGTAACCTACCTGAGTCAGGGTCAGCTGGAGAAGTTTGGTACTCTCACTGAGTTCCTGGATCTCCCTCTCGATGACATCTATTTGTTGCTGTAAAGTTGTTAACTCCTGCTGTTCTGTGTCCACATCCTTAGACATGAAAGAAATGGCAAAAAAAAAAAAAAAACATAAATAAAGTCTCCAAACAAACAGATGTCAGTTTTTGATGAGAAGAATATGCTTTATGGCTAGAATTGTACCCATAAATACAAGTTAGTTAGTGCTCCTTTACCATGTCAGAAATAAATATGTGACCACAATTAATAGCAGATCATATTGCACTAAAATAACTTTTTAACATTCAATCAATGGCTTGATAACAGAGTGCAGTCAGTAATCTGGGTGTGATTATTTTCTATTCAAAGTCATAGGTTTACATCACCAAAGCTTAGCTGTTCGTAACGCCATTAAGTAAGGGGAAAAGACTTGAGATTTGACAAAGGAGTAGAACAGTACACTATTTTACTGGCCCACCAGAACACAGAGTCTGCAGTAAGAGTCGTACAATAAATCAGAATTATAAATACTGCAGCAGGTTCTCATTTGGACAATGCCCCATAAGGCAAAACACATCCCCCATATCTCCCCGAGCTCCAGCACTATATGGTGGCAATTTTGAGTCAAAGTGCCCAATATTTTGCAGAACTCTAGCTAAAGCTTTGCAAGTGCCCACTTTCAATTTGATTCACCCTTTCCTAAGGCAAAATCCCCTTATATATATCCAATGATCACTTTGCTCTTTGAGTCACCTGTTTCTCCAAGTTGTGTTTGTCATCTCCCCTCACCTCACTCAACATCAGCGCTACAACATGTCAAGTTACCTAAAAATAACATCATGGGGCATCAAGTGCAGCATTTGATTAGAACTTCATGATTGATGGCGATCACCATGTATGTAGACACAATGTGAACTCAGAGGGTGATACCCATGCCATAGAATCCCTATCCCTGCCTTATACTGATTGCTTTACCTGTGTGTCTTTCTTAGGAAGAATTTCTGAAGCCCTCTGCATCTGCTCCCTCAGCCTTTGAGGGTCCTGATAAAAGACAAAGAGAGATCTGATTAACAAAGATTTAGACTCTCTCATGAAACGGACGGTGAGAATATCTACAGCAGAGATTTGAATATGGAAATTATATCTCTAATAATATTAACACAATAGGATACAGAAAGGTGGTGTATATTTCTGAAAATTGAATTAGATTTATTTTTTAGGTCAATGCATATCAAGCAAATGTGTCGATTTCTTATTAATGTCTGCAATCTATATAGAAACAAAGATTTTATACAAATAAATCTTTATGACATTCATTCTGAAAATATATAAAAAATACACACACACACACACACACACAAATACAAAGAACACAACATATTTGTTAGAAAACAGCAAAACAGGCAAATCACGCCAAATGCTAAGCACCTCTAAGTAAGGTCTCATACCCAACAGAGCCTGACATATCAAAGACATGAAAGAAATTCTAACAGCACTAAAAGCACTGGTTAAACCTGTACAAGAGAAGGAAGGTCGGACACTAAAAACAAACCAGCAGTGAGCCAGCAATGATCAGTCTCCATACTGTAGAGACTGAACTTTGCTGAGTACAGCAGCTATCATTAGGAAGATAGCCTGGTTGAGCCTTGAGCTCCGTAGCTTCCACATAATCGGTGCCAGCTTTGAATTGAGGCTGAGTAGCCTACCATACCAATAAATGTGTTTTTTTCACTTAAACAAACAAAACGACCAAACAAAACAGAACAAATAACACCCAGTATAATAACCTATAACCCAAACAACATATTTCACCTGATGTGTGTCACTGCTTGATGGATCCCTTTAACCCCTTAAGGACCAAACGTCTGGAATAAAAGTGAATCATGACATGTCACACATGTCGTGTCCTTAAGGGACACTAAAATGTAAAACCCATTAAACTGGTAGTACTGTGATACACTACATTTAAATCTAAGTATTAAAAAAAAAATTGTTTTAAAAAGGGCAGGTTCCCCCTAATTGTTATTTACATTTAATTTGGAATAGAACAGGTTACCTGCTGATGAGTGAATTTCTGGGCATGAGTGAATCTGGACCCTTTGTTGTGATCAGCCCCCGTTTCCACGTTAAAAGCTTTCAGCATTTCCAGGAGGTCCTGCGAGGATGAGGACGGAGTCTGATTCTCTGCAAGGAGTTGGCTGGATTGGCGAAGTTGGTCCTGTATTCGTTTTTGTAGACGCTGGCGTTTTCTGCTGCGGTAGTCCTGCAGGAGCAACACATATTATTTAGACAGGAAAAGACTGATGGTCTTATTAAAGTTTGACTAGTAAGAGGCCACCATCGTTCACCTGGATTAGTGTCCTATTCATACTGGTCTCTCACTCCTCCCCTACATCCATACATTTACATCACCTTAAAGATTCTTTTCTGTAGAATCTAGCATTTTCTCTAAACACTTTCTTATCATAACATTTCTAGGTATGTCCCTTTAAGGCCATTTTCAAACTTCAGGATACCTTTTTAGAATTCTCAGTTATTATGCAAACTTGTGGCTGCGACCACAAATTATTATCCACTATAAAACACATTTCCATCCAGTAAGATATCGAGATACAGTAATGGAAGTAAATTATCTAAAATCAGGATATTTAGCACTGGTTTACCAGTGTGTCCTGGTGTCTTGATAACATTCTCATCAAACTCAATGGAACTCATTTTATAGACTTTGGAAATATGTACTGTAGAAGGCACATCTGACGCTGCTGGGAATCCAATATGTGCCCTGATGTTTTAACAAGTATGAAATATACAGCACTGGAGCACTAACAACTGAAGGATCAGAAGTTAAAGTAGCTCTGTCAGTTTTGAGAATTTAGCAAAGATGTGTCCTTTTTGGTACACTCATATTTTAGTGAAACCTCAAAACAATCAATAAATATAATACAAAGGGCCAAGCAGAGGTTGGCAAAAAGTTAAACTTCCATCAACTTTTGTCAATTCTCATCAGAAGTAGCTAGCTTTGGGAAAAACACACTTTCACTCATTTTGCGAGCAATTATATGGAAGGTCTTATTCTTGTGCATGTGCAAGAATACAACATTATCACGGATTCCTAGAGGATGAACCAACAGAAGATGAAGACCAAGCCCACCAGACAGATGGCAGGGCCTGCAAAGTGAGCTTCAGCTAAGAATATGTTTCTTCAAGAAAGTTCACACAGCGATAGAGGGAAGAGGTGCGAGCACAACAGTCCGGCGATCAGCTTGAAGTTTAGCCTTCTCAACAGCACGATCTGACGAGCAGTGTAATTCCCCCCGAAGTGAGGCTCGAGGTGGAACGCACTGTGACACGCAAACCGGCCTTACCGGCTACCAGCATTCAGATACTGTATCAGGAATTATCATCCAGATCCATCCGTGCCGGCATCTAAGGTCTTTGTGCAATATCCACCTTTTATCACCTATTGCTTCAAATGTGAACATATGTTTTTAGTATATTTTTATATTTTCAATAAAATTGACTTTGTTATTTTAAGCTACTCTCTGGCGATATAGTTCTCTTTTTACATTGCTTTTTAGCAGCCAGTTTCATATACTGGCATCTGCTTATTATTACATATCATATACTATATTGTGCATGATGGCAGTCTGTATATTCTGAGGGGATTATGCTAGTCTATCTTTCAAGCCTACACTGTGTATGAAAGTATAATATTAGGCATTGATTATCTTTACCCAGAGATTTTGGCATCCTGGGTTGATAACCTTGCCACACATATCTCTACATTTTTATACATTTTTAGCACTTGTGTATTATATTTCTATTTGATGCTTATTTATTAGCTCCTGGATTCCCATTGCTGCTTATTTAGTGGAATACATTTTTAAACATTGTTCTAATAGGTTTTTGGTGTATCCCTATTTCTATCCAGTTTAAGAGCTCTGTATGCTAGGTCTTTTTTCCCCTCGACTTCTCTGTATATTTCTTTACATGAGAATTGATTCTACCTGCATAAGAATATCTCATGCTTGCTTCACCCCAGGCTACCGCCCACCAAGTTAGCATGTTGAGGAAAATATGAAAAGAGCCCAAAAGTGACAGATCTACTTTGACCCACAATGGTAAGCTTCACATCAACAAAAAATCAACACACACTAATCAACAATTTTAAACAAATATAATGTAGATCATACTGTATTTTATTTACAAAGCAGAACAAAAACATGTTTAATGAGATGTCTCCTTTACCATGGACCTGTCATACACAGATGGCATATTCATGTTTAAAGTAAACTTTATATTGTGTTATGTGGTTTTCAAACAGTTTTCATAAAATCCAATGTGTTTTTGTGATTTTATAAATAGTATCCACTTTCCAATGTCTACCCATATCCCAGCCCGCTAACACTTTATCATGCTACATTTTTATGAATAATAATCAACCAGGGTCTTTTCTCTTCTGGGAATGTGTGTAAGACCATATCTCCTATTTATAAGGCAATTATGGAATCTTACCTCTGCGGATAAACGAGAGGCCAAACCCTGACTCTTCCATTCGGCCTCCCATTCCTGCACCGCACTGAGCTCCGATGTGTTCCTCTCCAGGAGGGAAGCAGCCAGAGAGGGGACGTTAGGCAGTTGGACGTTGATCAAGGGAAGGTATTTCACCCAATACTCCTTTCTTTCTGTACAGGGGGAAAGAGAGAGCTCTATAAGGATTTAACATCCTGTAGGACTTTTCCGTATTGACTGTACTTACAGCTCCCAGATCTCCGTATTTCTTACCATTTGAGACAGATTTCGTTGAAGGATCCCCAGCCATAGAAAGAGCCTGAGACTGAAACCGATGCAACCGGTACAAGCTCTGCAATGGAAAAAAAACATTGGGGAGATCTAAAAACAATGCTTTGAACTCATGTGTTCCCAGAACACTTCAGAGAATTGTCAGTAATTTATGAAGTTATTCACTGCAGTGTGACGGAATGTTCACATCTGATTCAAGGGGTCAAGAAGGAATTTTTTCCTAGTTTGTTGCAAAATTGGAAGCGCTACAGACTAGGTTTTTTTTTGCCTTCTTTTGGATCAACAGCAAAAACATACGTGAGGAAGGCTGAACTTGATGGACGCAAGTTTCTTTTCAGCTAAGTAACTGTGTAAGAATAACCAAGCGTTAGGTAAATGATCAGAATCTTATGTAAAAGGGTAGGAAAATTAACATTTATCAAATGCTGAAAAAAAATACTGTATTCCTTTTAATATTTTCCAGTAAGTGGCAGAGTTGCAAAATAAACACTTTTCAAAACCACTTGTTTGCAGTTGTAATCCATAAAAATCATAATATTTGGCCACTGACCATACAAGACACCAGCAGGCACCACTCTTATAGCCTTCACTCTGCCATATTGTGTCAATGTATTTAATTTTTTTTCTTAGTTTAATTATTTGTTGCCTGTGATGCACTGATCCTGGTGTGGCTGAAAAGTTTAAATATACTTATTGTAGCTTGCTGTCAATCATTTTAGCTCATGATAGCTTCTGTTTGGCTAAACATGAAATGGGCCACCTGCAATGCAATGTTGGCTAGGTTACAGTCAGACCTTACTGAATAACCCTGCCGTTCTCTCCAGACAGATCTATAGGCTGCTTGGCAGGAGTATTTATTGTATTGAATTGTTTCATGCTGTTCTACTGCCATCTTCTGGTCATTGTGTGCACATACCTGAGATCTTTGTACGGAGAGGGTTCTACATGATGGAGGCACCCAGGGTTGAGAAAGTTGCTGTTTTATTTTGGCTGCGATGTCTCTTTGAAGGACGGCCGATTTACCTGCAAGAGACAAGAGAAAATAAATTATTGTTAACTTTGAAAGTGATAAATTGTATCTGTACTCTAAAAGGTTCATCGAACAGCAATATATTAAGGGAGTTATGACAGGATAATGCAGCTGTGATAAAAGGATTAAACAACAGTATTTGGGGCACAGAAACTTAAATAACATTTAAAAAAGTGATACTTTATTTTTAATGAGGAAATTTCATGCTCATGAGAAAAGTTTGGAAGTATGTTTGCTTTTTAACATGTGACTGGTTTCCCACCTCAATGGCATAGAGAAGGCATTTCATGTAAATTAAGTAGGATTTTCCAACTATCTTTTGGCACAATGAAATGATGTCAGGGTGTATGCTTTGCTAATTTTTCTGAATTTGCGAGACTCATATTTAAAGCTTCCGAACACTTTGAGAAATGAAGGACAACATACAATGAAGTTAACAAACAATGAAAAAATATACACGGACTAACAATCATTATACCCAAGGATAACGGGGGAAGGAATATGTTAATTTGCCCAATATGCTTTTTCTATGTCTTTTATAGAAGTCAAATATGTCAAAATGTAATTTTGTAAAGTATAAACAGATATGTATAAAAAGATATTTATTAAAATGTAATAAGTAGATTGTTATGCTACTTGAAAAAGAGCATTACAAAGGTGAAAGTTCAACTTTAATTATATGAACAATCCACTACATACATACATAAAGTACATAACTGACAGTGTACAAATCTAATAGTAATGCAACATTTTTAACAGACTAGATATGTGAATAGTTTGGGGGAGGAACTCACGTCTGTCTGAGCACTATGAGGGTTCAAACTCAGGTCTCAAAAACTCGGAGATTAAGCAACAATTACTTATTCTACTCCCTCTTACAGTGTACCTGCTGGCTGATGAGAGTCCTCCTGGGAGTCTCTCGGGAGTTTCTCAGCAAGAAAAATAAGAAGTGCTCGGATATCAGGCTCGCTGCTGTAAAGGAATGTCTGGTAACCGATTTCACCTGAATATCCCAGATCCTAAGAGAATAATAGATTTAAAAATCACAGCACATGATAGGAAATTTCGTGCATTTTGCTAAAAGGACACTATAACTGTCATCTCGTTGAAGTGGTTATAGTGTCTGTAGTCCCATGGTACAGTCATTTCATTCAGAGTTAAACAGTTTTATTTTTTTAACACTAAACAAACTAAAGCAGTCATTCCTCTGTGTTTTGCAGTTGTGGGTAGATGTGATTGGCTGAGAGTGTCAGCTGGCTGATTTCAGCCTATTACAACGCCCATTGCTGGTATGAATCGGTATGGCTAAAAGTAAATGTGTAATCAATGCCTTAGCCATACCTCTAGTCAGGGCTGTGCTATAATTGACCAAGGACCTTTATTTAGTGTTCAACTGTTCAAAAATGGTTTAACATTGAATGGAGGGACAGTGCCAGGGAACTCCAGTCAATATAACCATTCATGAAATAAAATGGTTATTGTCTCCATTGTGTTACAGTGTCCACTTAAGTTATGTCATATATTTTGAGACATCCCAACGCCTGGGTATTACCAGCCATGTAATATATCGAGACATCCCAACGCCTGGGTATTACCAGCCATGTAATATATCGTGACATCCCAACGCCTGGGTATTACCAGCCATGTAATATATCAAGACATCCCAACGCCTGGATATTTCCATCTATGAAATATATTGGCAGACATCCCAAGGCCTTGGCATTCCCAGCTATGTAATTTATTGCCAGACATCCCAACCCCTAGGTATTCCTGGCTATGTAATATATTACCAGACATCCCAACCCCTTGGCATTCCCAGCTATTTCAGATACTGCCAGACATCCCAACCCCTGTGTATTCCCAGCTATTTCAGATACTGCCAGACATCCCAACCCCTGTGTATTCCCAGCTATTTCATATACTGCCAGACATCCCAACCCCTGTGTATTCCCAGCTATTTCATATACTGCCAGACATCCCAACGCCTGGGTATTCCCAGCTATTTCATATATTACCAGACATCCCAACTCCTGGGCATTCCCAAGTAAATTATACATTGAGAGACATCCCACTACAATGCCCACTGTGGCATGTACCTCGCCATCCTCCAACACAAGCATCTTATCAATGTGCACATTTACATCAAGATGTATATAAAACAGCCATGTCCTGTGACAGTGTAGCAGTTTGCCTATCAGTATAGTATCAGATCCCCTGTAATAAATATAACGTATCCCACTCACCTGGCAAGCCTGTGCAAGACTGGTGCCTATTCTGAACCGTGCCGACATACCCGGGGGTAGTGTATGGCTGAGACTTGCCCCTATGGAGGGGTTTATTACACGGAGACATCTCACCACGGCCTCCACAATAAGCTCTGTGTTAAACTGACGCACACTCTGTACGTCTTCTGGAACATCACTGTGTGCAAAAAAATAAGCATCACTGACTTTTTGTAGTAGTCATAGTGAGAACTGTACATTTTTCTACACATTCTCTGAATGCAAATAACAATATTGCAATAGGCAGTTCATACAATTATGTTGCTTACAGTTTTAAGAATTTAAACATGTATTCCTGAACCTATAGTGTTAAAACCACCACCTAGCCCCCTATATACCGCAAAATCTTACCTTTATTGCAGTCTGCAGCTGCTGGCTCTGCCACCACTGATCTGCCTGCTTGACTGACATAATCAGAAGTGGTGTTCTGAGCCAATCACAATGCTTTCACATCAAGGAGGCAGATTAGGGGCAGAGCCAGCACAAGTCAAACACAGCCCTGGCCAATCAGCATTAAATCAATGCAGCTCTATGAGGAAAGTACAGTGTCTCCATGCAGAGGGTGGAGACACTTAATGCCAGTCACACTGCGCAGCACTGCCACAGGAAGCACATCTATCAGCCATATGAAGAATGGCCACTGGAGGTATGCCTAGGCTGTAATGTAAACACAGCATTTTCTCAGAAAATACTTTTCTGCAAAAAGCCAGAAAGAAAAACTACACTAACCAGATCAAATACAATAAGCTGTAGTTGTTCTGGTGACTATAGTGTCCCTTTAAATGACCCCTCTTTTTTTAACAAGATCTTGGCTTCTTAAAAATGTTTTTAAATAAAATTATAATAATAGAATAAAATAACTTCAACATTGTCTGGGTATCCTATGTTTAAACAACATTCATTCATAAATACACTGAATTAACAGCTCTTAAAGGTAGACAGTATTAACCAATTAAATGAATTTCATTGCCCTTCACAGATATTGGGCTAGACCCAAATTTAGCACTACACCAGTTACTGAGTAATAATGCAGGGAGGACAGGCAAAAATAAATAAATGGAAACGGTCAGTGACTTATGTTATTTTATATAACAGATGGTTCAGAAACATGTCAACCCAAGGAATACAATACAGCATGTGTTTTCCAGTCCCACTGTCAGTTTGAGAAACTAAGTATTTTCTTTCAAATGCATGCTATTTTTTTTTTTTATTTAAATTTTTTTAAGATCACTTTTTTTTCTTCTCTGGAAATTGCACCATTGAATTAAGCAATGTAAATGACCTATAACTTGTGCTATTCTTTTTACACTTGTGATGCTACATGTTCTCTTAAGACAGAAAAGCATCAATGGCAGCAGGGAGCCAACATGGAGGTATCAGTTCCAGGACAGAGCAGTGTCGATTTCCACATGTATTTGCATTTTTCAGAGCTCATACACACATAAATGGGGTATGTAAACATATTACAATTCTAAGACGTGAGATATGGGGAGTAAATAAAGCCTGGAGTGTCCCTTTATTTTTTTGTTGAGTTTTCAAATAAACGTAAGCACAAATGTTAAAGGTTCTCAAATGGACAAAAAATATTGTACATAGCAATCAATGTGATCACTGTACATTTGGGCGACTGTCGTCTTTGGTAGCCGATGATGTTTACAAATGTGTAACTTAAAATAAGGTGTGAACAATACAAGCACTACGTAACAGAGTACTTCGTGAGAGGCAAATGAGACTAAAAGGGTGAAAGAAACTGGTAACCCAGGGCCATGGGAGAACAATGATGACTGCTGGCCTAACAATGCCACAATGAGCCAAAGCTTCATAGGTAAGTGAGTAGTTGGGAAATGTCAGGCAAGAAGGCTGTAGTCAGCCATTGGGCCCAGGTACCCTGGTAGACCTGTGCCTTACTCTGGGCAAAAAGGATCAACTCCACCAGCAGCCTTAGCTTATTCGTCTTGGTAAACCCTAGGTGGGGGAGGAGATAAGTCTTGTTTCAAGAACAGCAAAACCACTTCTTTGGCAACGTTTAAGATTTGCATGGTGAGAGATTCTTTTTATATCATGAGGTTGGAGTAACCGTGTGCTGCAGGAAAAAAGGAGCTGGAATGAAGGGTGGGGGAAATTTCTGTAATATAGTGTGTATTTTCCTCCAGTATGGTACAATAAGTGGGAATTCCCACCAAATATGTAGAAAGGTGCCATTGGCAGAGTGGCACCACCAACATAGGCCATCAAGGTCTGTGTAAATTGCCTTCAGTAGTTGTGGAGTTCTGTACCAAATTGTAAGTACCTCCTAGGCCGTTTCCTTGGACTTACTGGCTAGGGTATGTCAGTTTTCAGGCCTTTCAACATGGGTCACTAAGGCTCCCTTTTACGTATGATAGACGTCAGACAGACGGTTCCCTGGTCATTCATAGCTTAGGGCACAGAGATGCACTAAAACGCAGACCTTATATCTCTGAGCAGAGGTGAGAGTTTCACCTATTGTGGTTTCCCATTTGCTCACGAATTAGTTGAGGTGAATGAGGCGAGTGTTGTTTCAAATGGAGGATACAGTACATGTAGCAGACACCGAGTGGTAGTGGATTGGGGTTGTAACAGAGGAGTTCAAAAGGTGTGTGTTCCCTATGCAATTCTGTGGTACAGTGGGTATAAACCTCTTCAGCTGTTCGTACCTAAAGCAGTGCAGAATAGTAGCCACCGTGTCAGTTAAGAGGGCTTGCAGGGATTTTAACTATGGTGTTTTCGTTTCAAATAGAATGAGTAACAAAGGTATTATCACATTTTCCCCCTAGGGCCACATGGCTATAGCCAGGAACTAATCTGTCTTTACAAATATAGGAACGAGGTAACATTTTAAACTAACAAATAATTCTTTTTCAACAGGTCTTGGACATTCAAATGTAATACAGATGTTGCCAATCTTGTATTTAGTTATTAATGTTTGTCACATTCCAGAGAGGAAGTGGAACCAAAATCAACAATATAAATGAGGTAGAGTTCACATCTACTATGTTACAAGGAGCATAGAAAATAAGAGGAAGTACATATCACATGTTGTAGAATGGCTGAGTGAGTGGGATTGTGAAACCTGATCATTAGTAGAAGTAGGCATATCACAAGACAAGTCAACAAGAATGCACTAGGAATGTCCCATTAGGTATAAATAAAGGGGTGCAGGATAAAATCAGTTTTCACTTGTAAATAAAGGGGTTCAAATGAAGGGGTGCAGGGTGAATTATGTTCATGGATCTGAAGGTATGTGAAGTGGAGCGGGGTTAAAGGGACATTCTGGACATCGAAAGCACTTTAACTTATTTAAATTCTTTATGTGCAAAGAATGTGTCCTTTTTTTCAGTTTACAAAATGTACAGATTTTAATACCAATTGGCACTTTCATAAATTAACCTTGTTACACCACCCTGGCTGTCAATCCGACAACTGGTCCTGCTACTTCCTGGTTTGATTAATTTAGTGAAACTAAGCTCAAGAGGCAGCAATTGCCCAGAGTACCTGCCTTGTAAAGACTTCTCGTTGAGCTGCATTGGGAAGTCTGTGATTGGACAGCCACAGAAAGTCTGAGCGGGTTAGAAGGGGATTACTTACAAAGGCTGCAGACAAGAGATCTGTGATTTTTCCAAGCTGTTCTAGCTATACCCCCAATGAAAATAAAAAATAATAGCATGCATGTTTTCATTGGGGGTATATCTACTAAACAGTGATTTTTAGTTTATTTTCTATTTTCTAGCATTGGGCAATGGAATATCCCTTTACGCATGTTCTGCGATCTGGTAGAACATGAAGGGGTGCATAGGGGAAGCATGTTCAATTACTTGGTGGTAAATAAAAATGTGCAAGATTAAGCATGATCCCATGAGGCGCAAATGGGTGCAGCGTCAAGTATTTAAACCAGTCTGGTAAATGAAGGTGTGTAGCATAGTGATCTGATAAATGTTTGCAGGTGGTGCATCAATAGTTTTCTGGTAAATAAATAGATGCAAAATATGGAAAACAATGTAGATCAAAAGTCAATATTTTACATTGGGCAGGAAACTCATTGCATGGCCGATAAAAGGATAATATGGAACTAAAAATAACATAGAAAAATGTCATATGACATGATTTGTGAAGGAGAGAAGAAAGAGTTAATTGAACTGGTGTAAGGAGAATCATGTTAGAAAAGACATGTTGAAAGGAGGAGACATGTGAAATGTCATGTGATCTCTTACACTGTGGAATGGAGAGAGGCATGTCACTGGACGGGATACATCATGGAATGTACAGGGCATAGCACTGGATGGGATACATCATGGAATGCAGAGACATGTCACTGGATGTTATATTATAAAACGCAGAGACATATCACTGGATGTCATTATAAAATACAGAGACATATCACTGGATGTCATACCTTCTACAATGCACAGGTCATGTCACTGGATGTGCTATAATATAAAATACACAGGGCATGTCAATGGATGGGATACATCATGGAATGCAGAGACATGTCACTGGATGTCATATATTATAAAATACACAGAGACATGTCACTGGATGTGATATTATAAAATACACAGGGCATGTCACTGGATTTGATATATTATAAAATACACAGGGCATGTCACTGGATGTGATATATTATAAAATGCACAGGGCATGTCACTGGATGTGATATATTATAAAATACACAGGGCATGTCACTGGATGTTATATATTATAAAATACACAGGGCATGTCACTGTATATCATATATTATAAAATACACAGGGCATGTCACTGTATATCATATATTATAAAATACACAGGGCATGTCACTGGATATCATATATCATGGGATGCAGAGACATGTCACTAGACGTGATAAATTATACAATGCACAAGGCGTCACTGGATGTGATAAAATCTAAAACACACAGGGCATGTCACTGAATGTCATATTCTAAAATACAGACATGTCACTGGATGTCATACATCATGGAATGCAGACACATGTCACTGGATGTGATAAAATATAAAATTCACAGGGCATGTCACTGGATGTAATATATTCTAAAATACAGACATGTCACTGGATGTGATACAATATAAAATACATAGGGCATGTCACTGGATGAGATAAAATATAAAATTCACAGGGCATGTCACTGGATGAGATAAAATAAAATTCACAGGGCATGTCACTGGATGAGATAAAATATAAAATCCACAGGGCATGTCACTGGATGTTATATATTCTAAAATACAGACATGTCACTGGATGGGATATATTCTAAAATACAGACATGTCACTGGATGGGATTTATTCTAAAATACAGACATGTCACTGGATGGGATATATTCTAAAATACAGACATGTCACTGGATGTGATATAATGTAAAATACACAGGGCATGTCACTGGATGTGATATAATGTAAAATACACAGGGCATGTCACTGGATGTGATATAATATAAAATTCACAGGGCATGTCACTGGATGTGATATAATGTAAAATACACAGGGCATGTCACTGGATGGGATATAATATAAAATTCACAGGGCATGTCACTGGATGGGATATAATGTAAAATACACAGGGCATGTCACTGGATGGGATATAATATAACATTCACAGAGCATGTCACTGGATGGGATATAATATAAAATACACAGGGCATGTCACTGGATGGGATATAATGTAAAATACACAGGGCATGTCACTGGATGGGATATAATATAACATTCACAGAGCATGTCACTGGATGGGATATAATATAACATTCACAGAGCATGTCACTGGATGGGATATAATATAAAATACACAGGGCATGTCACTGGATGGGATATAATATAAAATACACAGGGCATGTCACTGGATGGGATATAATATAAAATACACAGGGCATGTCACTGGATGGGATATAATATAAAATACACAGGGCATGTCACTGGATGGGATATAATATAAAATTCACAGGGCATGTCACTGGATGGGATATAATATAAAATACACAGGGCATGTCACTGGATGGGATATAATATAACATTCACAGGGCATGTCACTGGATGGGATATAATATAACATTCACAGAGCATGTCACTGGATGGGATATAATATAAAATACACAGGGCATGTCACTGGATGTGATAACACATGATGGAATTCAGGGGGGAAGTCACATGACCATGTACCCCTGGAAGGAGGGAGGGGGGTCACACAGATAGTACTATGTATGTATGTACTTACGTGCCACAGGTCCGCAAACTGTGAATTAGGATCCGATCCACTTCCTCCATGTCCAGCCTGCACCCCTGCCCTGTGTGTAGCCTGTGTACCTGTACTCCCTGGCTGTATGTGGCAATTCATCTATAGAGGAGTTTGTATAATACTGTCTGTGTGCTCAGCCTGTGTGCATAATACTAGTGTCTGTTTATCTCTGTGCCCGGTGTCATTCTCTGTACATAGCCTGTCTTTTACACTTAACTACAGCACACAGGAAATCGTTCACCTCCGGACTACACGCCCCACAATGCAATGGGCGCGTTACTAGGCCAACTTCCCAGCTGCAGCTGCTGGGATGCCCCTGAGTTGCCTGGTGACCGGAAGAAACCATCCGCCCATCACCCCTCGCGGTGCACGCCGGGAAATGTAGTGCGGAATCGAACACAGGCAAAAAGAATGTAGAGGGTACCAGTTTGATCAATGAGCAGGTCACTGGGCACCCAGATATTGTTTTGACTATATAAATCTCTATTTCCAAAAATATTTATGTATACCCATATCTATGTATTCAAAATACTATGCATAGGTTTCCAGGGCAACAGGGTTATTTATTAAAGTGAGAATTCAAAGTAAATGTCAAATTTAAGGCAAAAATAGCCGGACTGGAAAAATTCTCTTTAGTCAGCTATGATTTCAGGGCTACTTTGGCCTAAAACTTGAAATTACCCTTGAATTTTCACTGTAGTAAATAACCCTGCATGTTTTCCTGCACATGCATAACTTTTTAATGCTGTTATTATTATCGCCATCTATACAGTGCCATCAGATTCCATAGCGCTTTACAATATTATGAGAGGGGGGATATAAATAGGACAATTACAAGAAACTTACAGGAACGATGGGTTGAAGAGGACCTAGCTCAAACAAGCTTACTGTCTATAGGAGGTGGGATATAAAACTCATTAGAACAGAAATAGCAATCAAATAAGGTGGGAGAGAAGCAGAGCTGGAGGAGAGAGTAGAGTGCTACCCTTTAGGAGAGAACAAGAGACAGGTATGTGAGGTTACTCTGGGAGGCCATAAGCTTTCCTAAAGAGATGGGTTTTAAGGCACTTCTTAAACGATTGAAGACTAGGGGAGAGTCTGATGGCGGTAGGCAGGCTATTCCATAGGAAGGGAGTCGCCCACGAGAAGTCCTGCAAGCGTGAGTTTGCCGTATGGGTGCGAGCAGTGGACAGGAGAAGCTTCAGCGGCAGCAATCATTACAGATTCTAGAGTGGCAATACGGCTTTTAGGAAGACCAATCACGAGAGGGTTACAATAATCCATGCAGGAAATTACTAGAGCATGGACAAGCTCCTTTTTAAAGATGTTTTTAAGGCTATGTTTTTAAGATGTTATCTACAGGATTTAGCAACATACTGGATGTGAGGCTCAAAGGTGAGGCCAGAGTCAAGTATGACGCCAAGACAGCACGCTTGCAAGGATGGACTTATGTGGGTACTACTAACTTGAAGGGAGAGCGAAAGAAGAGGATCAGTATTAGGAGGAGGAAAGACAAGGAGCTCTGTTTTAGAGGGATTGAGTTTCAGAAAGCGTGAGAACATCTAGTCAGAGCTGGAAGATAGGCTAGCAGTGACACGTTGTAGGACGGCAGGAGAGAAGTCTGGGGAGGAGAGATATACCTGGGTGTCATCAGCGTACAGGTGGTAGTGGAATCCAAATGAGATAATAAGTTTGCCAAGAGAGGCAGTATAAAGAGAAAATAGAAGGAGACCAAGGACAGAGCCTTGGGGGACTCCAACCGAGACAGGACAAGGGGAGGAGGTATCATTAGGAAAGGAGACACTGAATGAGCGTTGGGAGAGATAAGAGGAAAACCACGAGAGGACAGAGTCACAGAGACCTAGTGATTGAAGAGTTTGAAGAAGGAGAGCATGATCAATGGTGTCAAAGGCAGCAGAGAGGTCAAGAAGAATTAGTATGGAGTAGTGGCCTTTGGATTTAGCTGCAATTAGGTTGGTAGTAGCTTTGATAAGAGCAGTCTCAGTAGAGTGGAGAGGGCGGAAGCCAGATTGAAGAGGGTCAAGGAGAGAGTTGGAATTGAGGAAGTGAGACACACGAGCACGGGCAAAGACATGTTTTTCCAGAAGCTTTGAGGAAAATGGGAACAGGGATATGGGATGATAGAGGGGGAGGACGGGTCAAGAGATGTTTTTTTCAGGATAGGTACTACAGTGGCATGTTTATGGTCAGCAGGGACAACGCCAGAAGAGAGAGAGCAGTTGAAGATGTGTGTTAATGAAGGCACAAGACAAGGGGAGAGAGATCTGTTAAGCAGTGCATGAAAGGAGTTGACTTAGCAAATGCAGCGTTCACTCTTGCATGGTGGAAATAAGCACTAAATAAGTTGGCTTACGACCTCTCACAATAAGAAGTTGTACCTTTTTGTTGAGCGTTTGACAGTTACATGCATCCCTTGGGGGCCCGTGGTCCTTCTGACACATGATATTCTATAATAGTCATGATATCAAAGTATTGATGCCTAGCCCCTTGTGCTATAGGGGTTCAGTGTCCATGCCTTTAGTGGGGTTATGGCAGTTATACCTGCATCCATGTGAGTCTGTGATGGGGTTTATGTGAGATCATGCACAGGGTCCAGTATGGAGGATTTCTGGTCTGGTCCAAATTCCTGGTCAGTATCTGTGGGGGGTGGGGAAGACATCCGAATGGTGACCGTTATCGTGTTGTGTGGACTGGATGTATTTTTTTATTTTTTTTTATTTTAAATAAAGTATGGAGTAATGTTTTACTAATTTTTGTTTTTTTTGGAATTCTTTATTTATAGTTTATTTTGTATATTCAGGTTTGTGGGGTATGGGTTACAGAAGAAAAAGTGGAGGGGAGGGTAATGCACAGTTTTACATTTTCTTTCGTACAGTCACATATTGGATATGCAGGTGTAATAATACATTCCGTTAAATTGGTCTTTTTTGTGTGGCATTGTATATTTGGTATTTCTATTGCGGAATTGTGATGGGGTGGGTTGGTGCCTGGTATGCGTTTCAGGGTTCTCTTTTAATGTGTGCCTGAGGTTGTTTGTCATCCGTGGATGGGTGTTTTCTCCTGTTAGGCGGTTGAGTTCCCCGGGGGGATTTGTTTCATGGTAATGCTATTCCTGTTGTTGGTGGGCCTATGTGGTGTTGTTATCCAGGTCTCTGGTGAAGGGGACTTTCTGCGTCGGGTTTGTGATGGCTATTTGTCTGTTGTGAGTGTGTATTTGTGGTTCAGTGGGTGGGCATTGTTAGACCGGTACCCGGATCTTTGTTGGACTATCTGTGGTTATGTGCCTGTGTTAGTCCTGTCTGCTAGTGGTTTGCTGTTGTCTTTCATTTGTATTGTGGCTGCATGGCTGTGGTCTGTTTCCTGGTGAATCTGTGCAGGGGTTGATATGGGGGGGAGGTGGGTGGTTATATGGGGGGGAATAGGTTGGGGGTTGAGTGGTGAAAGGAGGGTAGGAGTGGGTTAGGTGGGGGTGTTAACCCTGATAGGTAGGAGGGTGGGAGGGGGTATTTTGGGCTAAAGGATTGCTGTGTTAAGTGTGCTGTCTTCGGTGGGTCTGTTCCCTGTTCGCCTCTCATTTGTTGTGACTTGAGAGTGTGTTTTCGGTGTGGGCTGTGTTTGTGTTTACCAGGGTAGGGAGGTGTCTCCTTCCAACCATGGCTCCCATATTTTGTGGAAGTGCGTGGGCGTGTCGTGGATTTGGGATGTGAGCCTATCAATGTGTATGCTATCCTGAATTTTTGGGGTAATGGTTTTTTGTAATGGTATGCGGGTGGTGGACTAGACTTCTGCTATCGCTCATCTTGTTGCTAGGGCAATACGGGCGCACAGTTTGTTTTCTGCTCTAGTGAAGGTCTCTAGTGGTTTTGAAAGTAGGAGGGCCCAGGGGTCTAGTGGGTAAGGTTTGTGTAGGTGTTTTATCAGTGAAGTGACGCTAGTCCATAGAGGTTTTATTCTGGGGCAGGTCCACCAGCAGTGGAGGAATGTCCCGCTTTCTCCACATAGTTTCCAGCATGTGGGGGCTAAACACACCTCCAGAGGCTGTTACACTGACAGCCACTAGATGGTGCGTCAGCTGTGAGAACCGAGTGAGACTTGGTTTTCAATGTTCGATGTCCTCACACATTGTATGAAACCGTCGAAGTTCAATCAATGCTTCTCAAAGAGAAGCATTGAAGCCAATGCTTCTCTATGAGAATCATTGATTGAACTTTAATGGCTTCATACAATGTGTGAGGACATCGAACATTGTAAAGCATTTGACTGGAGGAGCGCGGAATGCGATTCTTGTCAACAACGCATCTCTATAAGAAGCATTGGTTTGGCCAAGAAGTCGGAAGACATCAGCATGCTTCTTGGTGAAAAAGGAAGTGGAGGGAGTCTCGCCGCTGGAAAAAAGTAAGTATATCTTTATGTAGCTTTCAGTTTATAATTGTAAAATGTGGTGTGCTGAGGAGCAATTCTATAGAAAAGAAAGAATACGTATTCCGGTAAAGATTTACTGTAACATTTTCAGCATACAAATTTTCAGGGACCAAAAAGGATTAATAATGTGAAACAAACGCTCACTGTTTCCTGGCTAGAAAACAGTTTTAACATTGGCTGGAACACAGTTTTAAAGTGGCTCTGTCACTTCTGAGTATTGAAAAAAAATCTTTATGAAATGGAATTTCAGTTTACTCAATAAAGAATTAGAGGGCACATAGTGATGGTTCAAGGCTGATTTATTATTAGGCAACACGCAACATTTTGGCTCGTTGAAATAATAACTAAATCCAAAAATACAATAAGACTTTTTCTTATGGACAAACCATAGTCATCAACAAACCTTACACTTCAACTTTTGTCCAATGCCAGCAGCCGTCACAAGTGATAGCTGTGGGATACAGCTCATTATGTATCTATGAAATATAACACTGTTGCAGCTCCTGGCATGTGAAGTGCCAGGAGCTGAAGAAGGTCCCCAGGATGAAGATGGCGGCGGCCACAAGGGACAGCTTCAGGTAACTAAACTTACCTTTGACGGTACCCCTGGCCACCTGCACCCGGCCACTGGACCCTTATCAAAGTTTGCAAAGACCCCCAATAGTATCAGTTTCTCCCTGTTGTCTCTTGTCTTAGAGGTAGGGCTGTCTAAACACATGGGCACACTTGGCAGTTGCCGTTGGTCCCAAAAGTATAGACCCCATAGACTTGCCAACGTTTCAGTATATTAATTTGGGAGATTTATTCAGAACCTTCAAACGCTCTTTATTAAACGTTTAGATGGAATAATCACATCAGTACCAGCTGTTATCTGAACATGCAATCCTGCTGTTGCAAGTTACATATCTTGACCTTGACGAAAGCAACGTACACGTGCTAATTGTACATAATTAAGACAAAATCAGCACACATAATTTGATGAAGTTGTAAAGCTAAAATGAAGTTCTACGAATATTTTTAACAGTTCTTGTCAGTTGCCTCCCCCTACTACCTGCTAAACGTTTGTGTGGATTAATCTCTGCTGTGTAGCATGTTTTTAATGTTTAAAAACTGATTTTGTACATTTAAATTTCTGTGAGTGCCTGTGTAGGCAGGGCCCCAGTGCACGGCTTTGTCTTGGGACCTATAATACTGTTAAGACAACCCTGCTTCGAGGGGCTTTCCTGCATCAGTATAATTGTTGCCCAGAATCAGGGACGTACAGTTGCAAGAAAAAGTATGTGAACCCTTTGGAATGATATGGATTTCTGCACAAATTGGTCATAAAATGTGATCTGATCATCATCTAAGTCACAACAATAGACAATCACAGTCTGCTTAAACTAATAACACACAAAGAATGAAATGTTGCCATGTTTTTATTGAACACACTGTAACGGATCACCTGGCACCCCGACTGGGTACCTCCGTTAAAGGATGCTCCTAGCACTTCCTGAGGACTCCAAGAACTGCAGCAGACACCAAAACCACCGAACCGTAGGAGCATATGAATGCTCTCAAGCATATGAATGTTGTATACAGCCGAATAGGAAAAACCATGCGAATAGGTTTACACTCTTAGCAGTCAAACTGGAACAGCATACAATAAATCCTCCCCCAATAATGAGACGACACTTCACTTTGAGGGTTAAGCAGGAACTGACTGGACTGGCACATACAGCCTCTTTTATTCCCAATCCACAAACTTAGTACTGCCCACAGGGTTTTACAGAACAACCAATAACACACGTACATTACAGAAAGACACTCCCACACAAAATCCTCCCCTCTGCCTGTGATACAATTACCTTACACAATGGGTAATCTAATTATCACAGACAGAGAAATACAGTTTCATAAAACACATCACAGGGACCCCAAAATATGCAATAACCCCTGCCTAGGGCAGGACAAAACCAGGATACACCACTGCCCAGAATGTCCAAGTTCTTTCAAGAGAGCTACAAATGAAACTACCTACCCTGTCCCAATGAATTGAACACATGGTTACCACCTATACCATAAACCCATCAAAGTCACTGATTATTTACTTTTTTTTTTTTCTGTGAAATTGGCAAAAAGATACAAAGGGGCCATATCTTTTATCAATGAACTGTAATGTGGGCCTAAAATGTCATTTTGCTAATTATCCACTATTCCAGTTTTACTCAGTGAACATGCATCCATGGATTGAGAACTGAATTGCAAAAGATAAGCTAAAACAGTTGATTGGAAAAATTCTTCAACTTGGGTATTTTAGACTATATTTAGCAATTTGGCTTTCAACTGCACACAATTCATTGTTTAGTAAATAATCACCAAGTGGCAGACTCAAGAGGGCTTAATCAGAGAAGGCTGTGCTACATTGAGTCTGTTTCTGAAATGATTAGGATATACTAGACTGCCTTAGGTTCAGCTTGGCACATTGAACTTTACAGAAAGTATAACTGTCAGATGACTCTTTTCTAAAATACCAATTCCCTGTTCAATTCCTAATTTAAAAAAAATATCCCAACTGTATTAACTCCATATTACGCACCATGCTTTCTATATAATAAATATATTGTCAGCCCAATGACTCTGAAAATGACCCTGTGTTCACATCATCCTCTGTGTATAACGCTCTGTTCCTCTACTGTGTAAAATCATTTTGTCCATCAAATGTTATATATAATCTATATATTTATCATATATATCTCTATACGACCAACTGTCCATATATAAATGTCATAGGGCTTTGTATTCTCTGTAAACATTAAGCCTGGTCCCTCCCCCACCTGTTTTAAAGGCTCAGCATTCAATCTGTGGTAATCCTCTGATGGTCGGGGGGGGGTGGGGGGGAAATCAGTCATCCCAGCAGGACCTGGGCACTGTCTGACATGGCATAGCACAACATGGAGAGATAACTGGCTCCTTATACTATCCCCCAGGTAAAAGGCCCTCATAGCCTGTTCCCATCACCCCTTCTCCCCACTCTGATCCTCACTTTTACTTTCAAATTATTCCGGACAATCTCTATCATTCTAGCTCTGCATCTGTGCACTGATTAATCTCTCTCTATCAATCTTCCTCTCTCTAGCAGTGGAGCCAGGGTGAAAAAAAGTATTTGGAATGCTGCGGGCCGTCAAGAAAACGGGTTAAGAACTATAAAATTCATGAGTTTATCAAATTCCAATAACCCCACTCTGTGAAGATGATGTCAGAAACAGTGGAAGATGACAAAGGTATGTCTTGGATGCTCGCATAATTGTATTTTGATGAAGGTACATATCGAGATTTGGTAGGGGTATGATTGTATTTTAGTGTGGGTGTAGACTAATGGTAAAGAAGGTTATGACTTTTATGGATGAGGGTATGACTTTATTTTGGCTAGGCGACATTTGTGGTGGGTGAGGGTAGGATTGTATTTTTAGAGAAGCTATATTGGTGGTGGATGTGTATAGGGCTTTTGTTGGTGAGCATAATTGAATTTTGGTGAGGGTATATTGGTGCTGAATAAGGGTATGTCATTTGTGGGTGAAGCTTTGACTGTACATGGGCAAGGGTATATTGGTGGTGGGTGTGTTGTTCATTGATTGGAGTATGACTGTGTTTTGGGTAGGGTATTATGGAGAAGTATATGCATGTGCCATTTGTGTACGGGGATATGATTGTATTTTGATGAGCTTACATTGGTAGTAGGAGAGGTTATGCATTATGTGGCTGAGGGCATTGCGGCTCACACAATTGGATAATTTCCAGATCGTATAATCTGTATAAACTGTATCTAAGTGAGCCCAAATATATTGTTTGTGTATATTTTTTTTAACCAAAGGGCATGCCATTGAGGTTTCCTTAAACCTTTGCCCATTCTCATATTCATTGGACAAAAAAATCAAATTCTACAACAATATAGTTAAAGGAACACTATAGTGTTAGAAATACAAATGTGTATTTCTAATGCAATAGAAATTTCTAATGCAAAACTTACTGTAACCACCCCGACCCACCCTGAGTTCATGAAAACTTAGCCTTTCTCCCATGCTGCGGTGCACTCTCCATGGCTGGGCCCACCTCCATGGCTGAGATCATCAATGATCATCAGTTGCAAGATTAAAACTACGAGGACAGGGCACCCAGACCAATTTATTGAGACAAAGTGGTCTTGATGCCTATAGTGACCCTTTAACTTGTTTTAACCAATGCATAAGCAAAAAAATAGAGAAATATTTTACTCTAGAAGGACTGCTTAATTATTTTACAATGACTAGTGACACATATATATGATAAGAACAGAGCTGGTAGCTTTTTACTTCCTCTCCATCACTCTGTACATGCTATAGAGGGAGAGTCTTACAGCTAACGATCATTCAAAAGTTTACCAGATGCAGCTCACCATCCCCCTGCACAAAGCACAGTAATATTTTTATAGTATGTGCATGCTTTCGCCTTGCACAGCTAAGGGGTTAATTTCTGAATGTGCAGTATTTCAAAGCAAAACCCTGCACATACAGACTTCAGGCACCCTCACCACTTTAAATCATTGAAGTGGTCATGGTGTTTGGAATTATCTATTAAAGGCACACTATAGTCACCCAGATCACGTCAGCTCAATGAAGTGGTCTGGATGCCAGGTCCCCCAGGTTTTAACCCTTCAGATGTAAACATAGCAGTTTCAGAGAAACTGCCATGTTTACATTGCAGGGTTAATTCAGCCTCTATTGGCTGTCTTTCTGACAGCCGCTAGAGGCGCTTCTGCGACGCGCATGCGTATTCCTTCCACTCGGGAGCTGACGTCGGCGGGGGAGAAGAGGTCAGGCTGTATTAAAGTAAGTAGCTGTAGGGGTTTTAACCCCTTCAGCGCCAAGGGAGGGCGGCACTGAGGGCGGGGAGACACTAAGGGTTGTATAGTGTCAGGAAAACTAGTTTGTTTTCCTGACACTATAGTGATCCTTTAATGATGTCACTGTGCCTGCACTCAGCCATACTCTATATAATGTGTACAGTGCACTGCATGTTGGGATATAGCTCTTAACTTTATATCCTGAGATGCGCTGCTGCCTTTTCATACCCCGATACTCCTAATTAATACTGTCGCTCACTCTTTCTTAGTGTAGTACAAAGGTAGGAAACCTTCGGCACTCCAAATGTTGTGGACTACATCTCCCATAATGCTCTTACAGCCATAATATTGGCAAAGTATCATGGGAGATATAGTCTAAAACATCTCGAATCTGCTGAAGGTTACACTCCCGTGGTCTAGTATATCTGTTAAATATTATTGGTCTAAAGGGTATACCTGTGATGTACTGCAGCTCACCTTTTATTACCCATTATACCTGTGATATATTGCAGCTTACCTATTTTTCCTTTGGCATATGTAAGGTATATTGCAGTTCACTTCTTATTACCTCTGTAAATCTGGGATTAATTTTAGCTCACCTTGTAATACCCCAGCATACATGTGATAAATTGTAGATCATCTTTTAATACCCTAGTGTACCTGGGATATATTGTAGCTCACCTCGTATTACCCCAGTATACCTGTAATACATTGTAGCTACTCGGTATATCTGTGATATATTGTAGCTCATGTCTTACATACCCTGGTTGTAACGGACCGTTTCAGCACAAAAGGGGCGATCGTCCCCTTTCCGAGATGCAGGCACAGCTACTGTAGAACACCAAACTCCCGAACCGCAAATAAGGGAATGCTCCAATCTCCCGAACTGCATACAATATAACATTCCAAACTCACGAACTGGAACCATACGAATAGCTGCTAGCAGACAAATAGGAAAAGCATCCAAGCGGCTTATACTCCTAGCAATCAGTCTCTATCAGCATTCAGTAAATCACCCCCAAAGACGAGACAAGGCTCCGTGTTGAGTGTCAAGCAGTGGTCTGTTTAATGAGGGCTACCTGCCCAGTATTTATGCAGGTCTCCCACCTGGTGGACACTCCCTTAGGGGACCAAATGGGAGACTGTGACAAAAGACAGACAAGTATCAATTTAGGACACACAGACACATTGTATTCCCACAATGCATCCTGGCTTCCTCCCCTCTGTCCTGGAGATAATTGAGAAGTAATTCAATTATCTCCCAGAACAAAGGCAAATCGCCATTATGCACGTGGGGATACTAAAACAAGAATTACTATTAAAATACACTATGTAAGACACGTTACAATAAAACTATACATTTAACATATCCCCAGATAGCTCAGGTCTGAGCGCACATTATTAAGTGAATGTCGCTCAGACCACACGAATACAGTTCAATCGCCATGGAGCCAAAGTCTTTACAAAGTCAGTTCTCATACGAATGAGCTCCATGGGATTCCTATCTGGGGTATAATACAGTCAGTTACAGCTACCGAATACCGGGCCGTTCGTGTACTTCCACCGAACAAGAAGGGAGGTCAGTGGCTTCAGCGGTGTTCGCGACAAACTGTGTCCGTTTTTAGTTCCATGAGTTAGGCGTCGAACACCGCTGTGCGTATGCATGTTTAAAATGGCCGCGACCTCGTGTTTGTTATACGAATGGCGGCCACCCAGCATTCGTTAATTAAGCTGCGGTTAACCGCAGCTTCTGGGAGGCTAATTGCCGGCACACTCCAGCTCCCAGGTGGTCCAGTCATTCGTGCGGTTGTTCGGTTGATTGAATCTGATTGAGTCTTTTAACATGGGACCATAATCCAAAGGTAACAGGCGAGCAACCAGGCTTCTCCAATGCAATGTGGCGAGATTGCTCTCGTCACACTGGTATATCTTTCTTTGATATATTGTAGCTCATGTTTTATTGCTGTAGGAAATACTGTACCTGTAATATTATGTTGCAAGGCCTATGTAACAGAGCTCCCTGTACCCCTGGCTGAGTACCTCCGTTAAGGATCGCTTTCTAGCTGGAACAGGGGACAAACCGCAGCACTCTTGCAAACAGTCGCCATGGCTTGACTGGGGTCCTGGAACTGCTCCCTCCTGGAGCCGAATGGGGGACTCGCTCTAGACATCCCCAGGCACTGGTTGACAGTCCTGGGGGCTCTAGTCCTTACAAGGACTTTCCCCATTGAATCCTCTACACTGGAACAGTGATTAAAGAGTAGCCCTTTCTCCTCCCAGTAACCAGACGACACATAGTTCTGGGAGTACAAGCTGGAATACGTCTATTGGCAGCCACAACTGGCCTTATATGCAGGTCCCAATGCAAGGGGCATTCCCCCATGGACCTGAGAGTAGACTACAATAAAAACATACACACGAGTACATTGGCTCTCAGGTCAAGGACTCTCCCAAACAAGATAATCCTTCCCCTGTGCCTGGGAGATAATTGAGACAAGCACTGTATTAAACTCAATTATCTCCAGACACAAAAAACACACATTTCCCAAACACCCAAATAGTACCTTAAAAATACATAAAACCCACAAAAGTTACATCCCCTGATAGCCCCAATCTGGGTGACCACCAAGATCAGTTCTGGGGTTCAGGAATTTCCTGAAAGTTATAATTTGACTGACCGCACGCATGGTCCTAGGCAGGGCCGCCATCATGGAGTGACAACCATGACAGTTGTCACGGGCCCGGTGGTCCTGGGGCGCCCGGACTGCACAGGTAATCTTCTGCTTGTCCGGGCCCCCCGCCCTCCAATGTGCATTTATATATAGTGAGTACTGCTATATATATATATGCCCCTGCGGGCTCTGCTGACTTCCAAGCGGGGCCCGGGATATACTTACCTCCCATTCCGGCACTCTCGAAAAGCCGCGGCTGTAAAGCGTTGCCGCGGGTTGCCGTGACAACGCTTGCGGCACACAATGCATGCCGGGCTCGCTACAGAAGTAGAGCTGGAGAGGGAAGGTACAGACTGCTGAGGCCCTCTATGCTGGCCTAACCAGTCCAGCTGAGCCACCCGTCAACTATGGAATCCAGTGTCTCCCCTCCCTGACTATAGGTAAGAGTCAGGGAGGGGGGAATACATTTAAAAAAAAATTTAATAAAAATGTAACCGCAAAAAAAAATACCCCCCAGGACACACACTATCAAACAGATATAAAGCATCCACTACACACATACCATCCACCACATAAACACACATATCATCCACTACACACACATGTCATTCACTGCACACATACATATCATCCACTACACACACATATCATCCACTACACACACATATCATCCACTACACACACATATCATTCACTGCACACACACATATCATCCACTACACACACATATCATCCACTGCACACACACAGCATCCACTACACACACCCATCACCCACTACACACACCCATCACCCACTACACACACACAGCATCCACTACACACACAAGCATCCACTACACACACCCATCACCCACTACACACACACAGCATTCACTACACACACACATCATCTACGGCACACACACACACACACATATCATCCACTACACACACATATCCTCCACTGCACACACACATATCCTCCACTGCACACACACATATCATCCACTACACACACATATCATCCTCTAAACACACACATATCATCCTCTACACACACACATATCATCCTCTACACACACACATATCATCCACTGCACACACATATCATCCACTACACACACATATCATCCACTACACACACATATCATCCTCTACACACACACATATCATCCTCTACACACACACATATCATCCACTGAATTGAACAAACTATCGAACATAGTCGATGTTCTTACCCTGGAGCTTGTTTCTCTTGTTTGTGGGAATGTTGCCACTGAACAGTGTCTTTCTAAGTGTTGTAGAACAGAATGCAGGTGATCATGGAAGTCCAGAGGTGTTCGGGAGTTTCAGTGTCCGAAAATAGTTCCATGAACTCGACAACCATGCGGCCACCCAGACGAACACTTAGAACACTGTGGTGGAAATTGCTAAAAAGTATCAGTTAGGCTTAACAAGCTCCAGGGTGGTCTCCGAATCATGCGGCTGTTTGGTTATCAAACCATAAAGTCCAAATACACGAACTGAGACTTTTACATCATAATTTACAGGGTCCATAGTCTGTGGGCAGGAGGCTGGCAAGCAGGTTCCTCCAGGAGCTCGTGGCAAACTCACTTGGAAAGGGGAGTTTGTCACAGCCTATATCTGTGATATGACAGGCAGGGCCGCCATCAGGGGGTAACAACCATAACGGGGCCCTACATGTAGCGGCGAAACGGCCGCCGGTGCAGTTGCACCGATGCCCGCACGCTGATGTGCCACCCAATGGACCCCATATTTGGTGCAACTATCTGCCACCCTGTATCAAATCAGGGAAGGTTTGTAATTGCACCTTCCAGTTATTTGTTGCACTTTGATCCATTGTTTTATATTCTATTCTTTTTTACTTTTTATTATTATTATTATTATTATTTCTATTTTTACTCTGTCTTTTAGTAATTTATCCCTTATTATTGATCCATTATTTATTTGTAAGACTCAGCCCAGATTTGCACAATTGTGTGGTCACATCTCTTAAAGGTACAGTACCTACTTTGAGCAGAACCTCAGTAGTATTTATTCCACTATCTACCTCTAAGCCATTGATATTAGCTAGCTCCTGGATTATTTGCACCATCCTTCTGAGTGTTTGTCCCTGTCATTTTCCATATAGCTTTTGGTGAACCCTTATTGTTCCAGTTTGCAGCTACCTACTCCTAGTCTTATTCCCTCTCCTCTGTGTGTTACATTAGGTATACCAGATTCTCCTTCTCTATATCTGTGATATATTGAAGTCTCCCTCTTAACACTCAGTATACTTGTGACATATTGTAGCTCCCCTGTAATACTGCATTATATATGTTTGCCTCTTTTTACCCAGGTATACTTGGGATATAGTGTAATTCACCCCTTATTACCCTGGTCACTGCTCTGTAAATAAACCCTTGTGCCTCTATCTCCATTTGTCCGCACCTTTCACTGAACATTTAGATAGCTTTAGGGTAATATTGGGGGGAATTAGCCAGTAGAGGAAATACTCCACTGCCAATATAAGCTGTGTAATCCAGCACTCATGATAGGATAAGAGTGCTGGACTAAGCCCAGTGTATTTTACTTATCAATGACACACAAAAAGGTTACCAGTAGAACTGAAATCAGTTGGGTCCGATGAAAAACCGTGTTCTTGGATAGAACACTGTCTTAAAGATAGAGTGCAGAGCGTAGTTGTAAATGGAAAATTTAGAAAATGGACAAAAGTGGTAATTGCAGTGCCTTGAAGTGATCTTGAAGTGGACATTGAAAGTCATTTGTTGGTTTTTGCAGATGACACACAACTAGGTAAGAAAATACAGTCTAAACCTGATATTATTTTTCTACCAAGGGATTTGGATAAATTAGGGGCTGGGCAGGCAAGTGGCAGATGAGATTCAATACAGATGAATGCAAAGTCATTCATTTTGGAATAAGGAACCCAAAAGCCACTTATACATTAAATGGGGTGGAGTTATGGATAACATTAAATTAAAAGGACTTAGGAACAATTAGAGATGACAAAAGCTAGTAAGGTACTTTCATGTATTATAAGGGGTATTGATTTACATGATCAAAATATAATTTTGCCTTTTTATAAATCAATGGTAAGACCCCACCTTGAATACGTAGTATAATTTTGGGCAACAGTTTTAAAGAAGGATGTTGCAGAACAAGAAAAAAAAGGGCTACAAAATTAATAAGGGAAATTTTTAAACTAGTGGTAGGGGGGGAGGGTCAAAGCAATCTAGAAAATGGAGATAGGATGGAGAGGAGATGGGCTTTAGCTCAGAACAAAGGGGGTGGAGATGGGGGGAGGGGAAAACTCAGAACAGAGGAGGTATGTAATATTGATAATTCACAAAAAGTACAAAAGACTCATGATAATATTAAATGTATGCTTACTAATGCAAGGAGCCTATATAACAAAATGGGGGAACTAGAGGCAATAGCATACAGTAAACAATATGATATAATAGGCATAACAGAAACATGGTGGGATGAGACACATGACTGGGCAGTTAATTTAAATGGGTACACGTTATTTAGGAAGGATAGGAGAAACAAGAAGGGTGGTGGGGTATGTTTATATGTCAAGCATGAGTTAAAGTCAAATCTTAGGCATGTGGAGTGTGACGAGGAAAAGGTGAAAGCTTTATGGGTAGATATCTGCTTGGGGCAAACAAAGGGAAATCAATTATTGGTTGGGATATGTTATAAACCACCTAATGTAAATATTAATGAGGAAGAACAGCTGTTAGAGCAAATTGAGAAAGCTGCAAATCGAGGTAACACGTTAATTATTGGAGATTTTAATTATCCAGACATAAATTGGGAAAGAGGGACTAGTACTTCAGCAACGGGAATCAGGTTTTTGAATGTGTTAAATTACACCTTTATGTCACAACTGGTACAAGCACCAACTAGAAAGGATGCTTGTCTGGAGCTTGTCATAACAAACAATGTTGATCTTTTAACCAACATTCAAGTAGGGGAGCATTTGGGGAATAGTGATCACAATATGGTACATTTTGAAATAAACTCAAAAAAGCAAAAGCAGGTGGGGTATACTAAAACATATAATTTTAAAAAAGCCAATTTCAATAAGATTAGGGCAGCTGTACAACATATCGACTGGCATAAAATCCTTAGTGATAAAAACACTGAGGATAAATGGAAACTATTCAAACATATATTAGAAAGGTACATTTCTCAGTATGTACCATTGGGTAATAAATATAAAAGAAACAAATTAAAACCACTGTGGCTTAGTAGAGAAGTAAAACAAGAGATTAAAAATAAGAAAAGGGCATTTAAAGCATTTAAATCAGACAAATCAAAGGCATCCTATTTAAGATATAAGGAAGCCAATAACACTTGCAAAAAGGCAATTAAAGTGGCTAAACTAGAAAATGTGAAATTGATAGCTAAAGAATGCAAAACCAACCCCCAAAATTTTTTCAAGTACATCAATTCTAAAAAAAACAAAAAATGAAAGTGTAGGTACACTTGAAACAGAGTTGGGTTTATTAGCTAATGAAGACCAGGACAAAGCAGAAATTTTAAATAACTATTTTTCTTCAGTATATATTAATGATGATCCTATGGCAAGAGATATGCAAATGTTTGCTGCAAAAAACTTGCAAATAACTTGTGATTTGGATAACTCGAGACAAGGTGCTACAGCTATTAAAGAAAAATAATGTAAATAAAGCTCCGGGCCTGACGGTATTCACCCACGAGTACTTAAGGAGCTAAGTAGGGAAATAAGTGAACCTCTGTATTTAATTTTTCAAGATTCTTTTGTTTCAGGTGTTGTACTGGAGGTTTGGAGGAAGGCAGATGTTGTTCCTATATTTAAAAAGGGTTCAAAATCCTTGCCTGGAAATTATAGACCTGTGAGCTTAACTTCTGTAACTGGGAAAATATTTGAAGGGCTATTAAGGGATAATATTCAGGAATTCATTGGGAAGAACTTTGTTATTAGCAATAATCAGCATGGTTTTATGAAACATAGGTCATGCCAAACTAACCTAATTGCATTCTACGAAGAAGTAAGTAGAAGTATAAATCAGGGTGTTGCAGTGGATGTGATCTACTTGGACTTTGCCAAGGCATTTGATACGGTTCCTCACAATAGGTTAGTCTTCAAACTAAAAGAAATTGGTCTAGATGAATATTCCTGTCCTTGGGTAGAACATTGGCTTAAGGACAGAGTACAACGAGTTGTAATTAATGGTAAATTTTCAGGTTGGACAAAAGTGGTAAGTGGTGTCCCTCAGGGTTCTGTTTTGGGACCACTTCTATTTAACATATTTATAAATGATCTTGAAATAGGCATTGAAAGCCATGTATCAGTGTTTGTAGATGACACAAAACTTTGTAAAGTAATAAAATTTGAGCAGGATATTGCTTTGCTGCAGAGAGATTTGGATAGATTGGGGGACTGGGCACTAAAATGGCAGATTAAATTTAACAGAGAAATGCAAAGTTATGCACTTCGGGGTTAAGAATGCACAAGCAACTTACACACTAAATAGTAGTGAATTAGGGATAACCACACACGAGAAGGATTTGGGAATTGTTATAGACAACAAATTAGGCAGCAATATGCAATGTCAATCTGCAGTTCCTAAGGCCAGTAAGATTTTGTCATGTATAAATAGGGGCATAAATTCTCGGGATGAAAATATAATTTTGCCTCTTTATAAATCGCTGGTAAGACCACACCTTGAATATGCTGTGCAATTTTGGGCGCCTGTTCTAAAGAAGGATATCATGGCACTGGAGAGGGTCCAGAGACGAGCTACAAAATTGATAAAAGGAATGGAGCATTTTAGTTATGAAGAAAGGTTAAAAAAATTAAATCTGCTTAGTTTGGAAAAACGGCGCCTGAGAGGGGATATGATAACTTTATACAAATATATTCGGGGCCAGTACAAACCTTTATCTGGAAATCTATTCATAAACAGGGTTATACATAGGACACGAGGTCACACATTTAGGCTGGAAGAAAGGAGATTTCATCTAAGGCAAAGAAAAGGTTTTTTTACAGTAAGAACAATAAGGATATGGAATTCTCTGCCTGAAGAGGTGGTTTTGTCAGAGTCCATACAGATGTTTAAACTGAAATTGGATAAATACTTACAAAAACATAACATACAGGGATATAATTTCTAATTAGTGGGGTAATAGCTGCTTGATCCAAGGAGACATCTGACTGCTATTTTGGGGTCAAGAAGGAATTTTTTTCCTAGTTTGTGGCAAAATTGGAAGTGCTTCAGACCAGGTTTTTGCCTTCTTTTGGATCAACAGCAACAACATTTGTGAGGAAGGCTGAACTTGATGGACGCAAGTCTCTTTTCAGCTATGTAACTATGTAACTATGAAATGGAAAACATTAGTTATAAAGAAAGACTAGAAAAACGTAATTTTCTTTTTGTAGAAAAAGACAACTCAGAGGGAATATGATATCACTATACAAATATATACAGGGTCAGTACAAACCACTATCTGCTAACCTGTTCATTAACTGGAATATACAACAGAAGAGGTCACTCATTGAGACTGGAAGAAAGGCGTTTTCACTTACAGCTGAGGAAATTGTTCTTTATATTAAGAACAATAAAGATGGGGAATTTGCTACCTAAAGAGGTTGAACAGAATATTCAAGGATATAATTGATATACATGTAGACAGTTTGCTGATCCAAGGAGAAATCTGATTGCCATTAAGGAGTCAGGAAGGATTCCCCCCCCTCCCTTTAGAAATAATTATTATTATTTTTTGCTTTTTTTTTGGATCAACAACATAAATGAATGGGTTTCAAGGTTGAACTTTGGTCTTTTTTCAACCTAGATTACTATGTAGCTATGTATCGATGTAATTCAGCGCTGCGGAATCTGTGTGCTCTTTATAAATAGCAATAATAATAATAAATAAATTCTGAGGAAACGCACCCACAGATGCATAGCATCTACTGTAGTGGCTTTGGTGCTTAGAGTGCCTATTTAATGATAACTGCTAAATCAGTGGTTCCCAAACCAGTCTTCATGGCCCACCAAAAATCTGGGATTTATGCATTTCCTTGGTTTATTCGATTGGAGATACTGACAAAACCTTGACTGTTGGTGGGCCATAAGGACTGGTTTGGGAACCACTTTGCTAGATTCTTAATGTCTGTACACACTGCCTGTGTCAATTACATTTCTTGCCTTAAAAACCTTTTCTTACTTGCCCATTATTCTGATTGTAGGCCCAGTTCCTCCGTACTCCAGTGAGGAGGCAGAACCCTTCATGGAAGGTGCTGAGGCGGTGCTGTCCTGTTGGCGGTATTCCATGGACGGAGTGGTGATCAATGGCACAGATACTCTAAATTCTACCACCAGCTCTCAGGCTCACAAGAAGAGGCAGCATTATAGCAAACACAAGAACCAGGGAGGAAGTGGAGTACACAGAAACCCCAGGGCGCTCTTTTGCTTACATCTTAACAATCCCATTAGAAGGGCAAGCATCAGCATTGTGGAATGGAAGTATCCTTCAGAAAAATCAAATTAATGGCAGATACGTAACTTATTTTGAAAATATATGTATTTATGGTTATTACCAAATAAGGGTGTGTTTTTGTTTTGTTTTGTTGGCAGTTGCAAAAAGTATTGCTATGTAAACAGGTGTATATGGCTAATTCTGAGGTAAAATGTCACCATTATATCAGTGTAAGCATTCTTAGCTTATATTTTAGTTTAAAGGAGAACTGTGAAGTTTAGAAAAAATTAGATGTAATATATCCTCTTTGTATTTTGTTTTGTAATACTAACAGGGTTATTCACTAAAGAGAATTTGACATTTAAGGCCAGAGAAATCGAACTAAAAGCCACAGCTGACTTCAGTTTGGCTATTTTAACCTTAAATTTGAAATTCACTTTGAATTCTTACTTTAGTGAATAACCTTGATTTTGAGAAAATTCTTCTTTGGACTGCAACTTCTGGCTTGCTTTCTGTCTATGGCAGGGGTTCCCAATTCATTTTTCATGTGGAACCCTTTGACATAGTGTACCAACATCGTGGAACCCGCCCAAAAAATATTGTGCCATAACGCAAACCTTTTAATTAGCAGAGTGTCTTTTATAGCAAATTTGTTTTTCTGCTATACATACACTAATTTCTACAGATAGTAAGCAGATTGTAGTACATAGGAGCAGATGTGCCTTTTTGTTTTAAGTTGGTGTATGTATGTAATTTTAGCTTCTTAATACAGGGGTGTGTTTGTATGTAATGTTTGCATTTGTGTGCAGGGGTGTGCTTGGATGTAATGTTGGTTTTTAAAGGACCACTATAGGCACCCAGACCACTTCAGCTTAATGAAGTGGTCTGGGTGCCAGGTCCAGCTAGGTTTAACCCTTTTTATTATAAACATAGCAGTTTCAGAGAAACTGCTATGTTTATGTTAGGGTTAATCCAGCCTCTAGTGGCTGTCTCATTGACAGCCGCTAGAGGGCTTCCGCGCTTCTCACTGTGATTTTCACAGTGACAAGATGCCAGCGTCCATAGGAAAGCATTGAAAATGCTTTCCTATGGACTGGCTGAATGCACGCGCGGATCTTGCCGCGCATGCGCATTCAGCCGGTGATGGAAGAAGAGGGAGGAGAGGAAGAGGAGAGCTCCCCGTCCGGCGCTGGAGAAAGAGGTAAGTTTAACCCCTTCCCCTCCATCCAGCCCGGTGAGAGGGGGTCCCTGAGGGTGGGGGCACCCTCAGGGCACTATAGTGCCAGGAAAACGAGTATGTTTTCCTGGCACTATAGTGGTCCTATAACCCCTTAAGGACCAAACTTCTGGAATAAAAGGGAATCATGACATGTCACACATGTCATGTGTCCTTAAGGGGTTAAACATGGATAGACATTTGTGAGTAGTATTGTTGTTTGAATTCATTTTTTTTGTGTGTAATGTTTATGTTTGCATGGGGGGTGTTTGTATGTTGTGTTAGTGTTTGATTTGCGCGCATGCCCAGTTAAACACTGGGGCATTCACTATTGTCTGAAATTTGGACGGGAATTTCGTCAGAAAGACTATTGAATATAAATTTCAGACGAACACACAAGCACCGATTATTGGTGTTCATTTGTTCGTTCAGTTTACTACCAGTGAGCAGCAACCTCCTTGTAATATGTAAAAATGGAAGCGGCAGTGAGCAGTGCTCCCCAACACTTTCTAAGCCTCCCATGTACTCCCTCACTCTATGGGGTCAATATGACAACCACAATAGCCTAAGGGAGATTAAAATCTCCAAAATGCCCCTACTCACTGTTCTAAAAAATAAGCTCCCCACCCCCATGAATCAATTAATGGGGGACCTAGCATAGGCCTATTGTGTCCCCCTCTGCAGCCCCCACCCATGAACAGCGGATGGGGGCCCTAAGTAACAAAAGGAGGGGGGACCTATCGCCCCCCCCTCCCCCAGCTTCCCTCACTGGCGATGGGTGGGGGCTAAAGGTAAAAAACTCCACCCCACAGGTGACTAGGGGCCCCAAAGCCCCTAGTCACCCCCCACCCTAATAAAATTAAACACTACCTACCCCCCTCACCCTAAAAATAGTGAGGGAGAACAAAAAACTAAAAAAAAACAGTTTACCTTATAATTTATTAGTTATTTTTAAGAATGAGTAAATTCTCCTCTAATCAGGGATGAACTGAATGTCTGGGGCCTGTTTCTATAATCAGATGTACTTTGTGCATCTATATATCAGCTATACCTTGATAATTTTTAATTCTATTCTGCAGGTTTGTCAGGGTTTTTTTTTTGCACTCCTAAGTAATGCCATTTAAGTGATCTTTGGTCAGGAGCAAGCACCTACCCAACCAATGTCAGTTCACATTGCAATGATATCAGCCATCATAGTTGGACTTTCATGCTTTGTTAATTCCTTAGAACAGGTTTCCCCAAACTCCGGCCCTCTAGATGTTGCTGAACTACAATTCCTATGATTCTATGAATGAAATAGATCATAGCTGAGAATCATGGGAGTTGTAGTTCAGCAACATCTGGAGGGCTGGAGTTTGGGGAAGCCTGCCTTAGAATGTACTACTGTGTAAAGGAGGGTGGTGTTTGGTCGGCCAATTGTGTGCTTCTGACCAAAGGTCACTTAAATGGCAGTGCTCAGGGTTGAATCTGTGGAGCACCTGAGAAGAAATTATCAAAGTACGATGTTTCTAAAATTGATGCAAAGTACTAAAAGTGGGGCAATCACTATGGTAACCAATGGAACCAGCGGGCAGAATCCATTGGTAACTCTTCCTCGTTTGCATCTTTGCACCAGTTTGCACAACATGATACTTTGATAAATCTCCCCCCCTGCACTTAGAATCTGTCAGGAATTCAGAAAATCAGCTGAAACACGTTTTCTTCCTTAAACTAATTTATTTCAGACCATTTGATATTCTCATCCTGATGACGATTTTTGCTAACTGTGTAGCTTTGGGGGTTTATATACCTTTCCCTGAAGATGACTCCAACATCGCGAATCATAATCTGGTGAGTTAAAGTGCCTCAGGCAAGGAGAGATCGAGAGAAACCAGTATAAATAAATCCAGGCAGAGTGGTAGAATTAAAATGGAATGGTCACATCCTAGGATTTTTAATATTATGTTATGCATCTAAGAAATATGCATTTGTGAGGTGCGCAAAATAATATTAATTGTAGAAATCTGCACATATTTATCTTTCAACTGGGTGCCTCCTTTTACCTCCAAGGCAATCATTCTTACAAACATTGTCCTATGCATCTGATATTCAGAAAGCACACAAAGAAGATAAATTATACAATGTTTCTATTTATATTGTTCAGAAATCTGTCTAAATCTGTGTTAGTGAGCACTTCTCCTTTGCCGAGATAATCCATCCACCTCACAGGTGTGGCATATCAAGATGCTGATTAGACACAGGTGTGCCTTAGGCTGGCCACAATAAAAGGCCACTTTAAAATGTGCAGTTTAATCACACAGCACAATGCCACAGATTGGCAGTACATCCAACCAGCCTCACAACTGCAGACCACGTGTAACCACACCAGCCCAGGACCTCCACATCCAGCATCTTCACCTCCAAGATCATCTGAGACCAGACACCCGGACAGCTGCTGCAACAATTAGTTTGCATAACCAAAGAATTTCTGCACAAAACTCTCAGAAAACAGGAGGTGGGGCCTGACATCTGAGCTAACCAGACGTGCATGCAGAGAGCTCTGGCAAAAATCAGCATTATTTAGGCAAATATATGCCACAAACTCAGATATAGTAGCCCAGCTTGGCAACACAGCAGTGCTGAATTGAGTGGAGACTCGTGCACACACGCCTGGCTAAATTCTAGAGTGAATATCCCACACTCCACAAATGAGGCTCTCCTGATGACCCGCATCCCCCCTTCTGGACCGGTGGGGGTTATTCCGGTCCCAGCTGGGGAAACTGACAGGCTTACACCCTGAAATCTCTCGACTGGAACGCAGATCGCATGTTGGGCCCAAAATGGCCGCCAAGCACCAACCCCTGCAACTCCACGAAAGCCTAGAAACACGGGCATGGAGAGAGCGATTTGAAGCTCAATTTGACTGCATATGCCGGGACTTATGTTTAAAAATGTGCACACACTCATGCCAATGCTAAGCCTGTATGTATCTATATGAACGCTGTTGTGGCGCTTGACAAAAGCCTGTACTCAAAAACATAAAAATGCGCAATTATCTATGCCACTGTTTAGCCTGTTTATATACACGTGTACCCTTTTCTGGCGTTTGTCGATGTTTTTGTACTCCGCTGCGCAACAAAAATAAAGAATTTAAAAAAAATAATAAACTCTCATAAACTGTCTCAGGGAAGCTCATCTGCATGCTTGTCGTCCTCATCGGGGTCTCGACCTGACTGCAGTTCGTCGTCGTAACCGACTTGAGTGGGCAAATGCTCACATTTGATGGCATCTGGCACTTTGGAGAGGTGTTCTCTTCATGGATGAATCCCGGTTTTCACTGTACAGGGCAGATGGCAGATTGCGTGTATGGCGTCGCGAGCGGTTTGCATTGTGGATTGAGTGGCCCATTGAGGCTGTGGGGTTATGGTATGGGCAGGCGTTTGTTATGGACAACGAACACATGTGCATTTTATTGATGGCATTTTGAATGCACAGAGATACCGGGACAAGATCCTGAGGCCCATTGTTGTGCCATACATCCATGACCATCACCTCATGTTGCAGCATGATAAAGCACGGCCCCATGTTGCAAGGATCTGTAAACAATTCCTAAAAGCTGAAAACATCCCAGTTCTTGCATTGCCAACATACCCACCGGACATGTCACCCATTGAGCATGTTTGGGATGCTCTGTATTGGCGTATATGAGAGCGTGTTCCAGGTCCTGCCAATATCCAGCAACTTCGCACAGCAATTGGAAAGGAGTGGACCAACATTCCACAGGCCACAATCAACAACCTGATCAACTCTATGTGAAGGAGATGTGTTAGATACTGACTGGTTTTCGGCCCGCCCCCAACCCCCACCGGATCACCCCTAATACAGTAAAACTGCACATTTTAGAGTGACCTTTTATTGTGGCCAGTCTAAGGCACACCTGTGCAATAATCATGCTATCTAATCAGCATATTGGTATGCCACACCTGTGAGGTGGATGGATTATCTCAGCAAAGGAGAAGTGCCCACTAACACAGATTTAGACAGATTTGGGAACAATATTTGAAAGAAATAGGCCTTTTGTGTACATAGAAAAAGTCTTAGATCTTTGAGTTCAGCTCATGAAAAATGGGGGCAAAAACAAGTGTTGGGTTTATAATTTTGTTCAGTGTATATATCTGAATATACAGCATTTTACAAAACAAATTAATACTATATATATATATATAGTATTTTATATAGTCATGAATAAATAAATGATTTAAGCTCCAAACAAAAAACATCAGCTAAAGGTATGTCAGTGGGCACCAACATGAAGAAGCATTTAATCACCTTCATCAGTATGTATAAAAGACTGTTTTATTGCCTGCCAAAGTCAGCTTTAGAGTAAATTAAAAACGCATGGAAATTCTTTGTATCACCGACAGGTAAACCCAGTTAAATTATTGTAATTCTTTCCAAAAAAAAGGACATATGGTTTTATTCTTTTCTAATGCTTACTTTAGCTGTAATTGCTTTATATCTCCTGTTGGGAATGTAGCAAACCTTTCAGATTAAGAACCAAAAGATTATATGTGGAAAACATATTTTAATGAAATTGTCATCCGCAGTCCAACAATGCATATATGTTGATCACAAAAAACAATAATGCCAAAGTTTGACAATATGGTGCTTCTACGTACAGTGAATGGTATATATAAAATTGAAATGTAAATACCAGTACAAATGAAACAAAGGCCTTTCGTGTATCATATACATTTCTTGGTTGCTGCTGACATTATTTGAAATAAACATTAATAATAATAATAATAATAAATTCCATTATGTCCATTTAATATACTCGACAAGACTTGATAAGAACTGAAGTGGTTACAGACAAACTCTGACTCAAGCTACTGTTTATTTGCCGTAGGTTTATTAAGGCAGTCCCAATATCATAAAATGCGTAGTCTAGCCGCTGTAATGCCAGAGAATGTCTGTTCTTACTCAGAGTACAGCTGGAATCAACTCCTCTTCTATCTGAATTATATTCTAAACTCCCAGCGGTTACAGCTAATTTTAGATCATGCAAAAGGTAATGAGCTTTAATCCGGTGTACTCAGGGCTTTTCCCTGGAGGAGGGGAAGGGAATCCCATATCTAAAGAGGTTATGTTGTAATTATACAATAAATATGCTGTACAAAACAAATATAAAACATCCTTATGTGTGCAACTAAATATAACACAAACAAGTTAAAAAAAGAAAAAGACAAAACAAAAACGACATAACATGTTTTTGTCCAGTGGTCATGAAAAAGGCTGTTCGGAATAATCGGTCGTTAGCAACTCTCTTTGTATCACTTCAATGAGATACAATGGCGTCATCAACGATTCTACATTCCTAGAAAATGCTTGGAACAATGTATATGCTCTGTTTGAATTCCATTGTATCTTTATGCTGTGTCAAATTAGCTGGATGATAATCTCTACAACAATGGCTCAAAAAACAAAATGTTTGGGCCTGAGATATCCTGAAAATTAAATCCATGTCTGAGTCTGGAGCAATGTACAACCTGTTGTGAGTCTCAGTCGAGCAGTGTCAGGTATAAATCCTTAGATAACCTCTTCTTCCCAGCAGATTAACCTTCTGTGCTATGTCCTAGGAACAAGTCGAATACATCTTCCTCATCATTTTTACCGTGGAGAGCTTCCTGAAGATCATCGCCTATGGGCTGGTCATGCATCCAAGTGCCTACATTAGAAACGGATGGAACTTGCTTGATTTTGTCATCGTCGTCATTGGGTAAAAGATGTCTAAGAGGAATCAGTAGGAAAATATAAAACATTTTAGTACTGTACACATATCAATACATTTTTTAAAGGTATATGTACATAGCTATATTCTAAATTAGTAACTGAGATAAGGTTGTTATAGTGCCCGGATTGTTTCTTTAAGAGAAAAGCAGAGACTAAGCATGATTTGTTTACTGTTTTACTTTAAATGAATGTTCATATTGATATAGTGTTGCGTAAATCCTCAATAATGTCTACAGACAGCCATGTGGCTCTTGGCTAATGTATTCATCAGGCTGTAAAAGGTTGACAGACATAAAGGGGATGATTTAAAAGTGGCTTTGAGAGTGCAGATAGTACCAAGCTTGTAGCTTTATTCACAAAACTGAGAATTGCCAGGAATTCAAAGTGAGTTTAAAATGTTAGACCAAAATAGTAGAAATAGCTGCGTAATTGACCTAATTGACCTTGTTGGTGTAGACAAGGATAAGTAACCCAGCTACACTAGAGAGAACACGCCATCTATTGGCTGCTCTGGATTTGACACTTAAAGCAACATAACTGTATACAGTGTAGTGTTAATGTAGCCAATAGTCTCTGTGTGTTATTTGCCAGTTGTTTATCAATTTTTTGGGGAGAGATTTGAGAAAACCAGGGCTCTCCTTGTCACCCAGCATCCACCATGACGGCTACTGATCTGCACTTGTTACCTTGCTTAGGGTAAACCTGACAGAGTATTCAAAGCAGACTTATTATGCACATTATTGTTAGTGTCAGTTCAGTGGATTTCTTTTGCATGAGGTTCTAGTCAAGTAGAAAATATTGTTACACCTTATCTCTTAACGGTGTAGGCAACTTTTCACACTCCAGGTGGTATGAACTACATCTCCCATAATGCTTACATAAGGATAAGGAGATATCCTTATCTATCAGACAGCCACCAGAGGGACTTCCGTATTCTTAGAACACGAAAAGTGCTTTAAATTACACCGGACGTCCTCACGCTATGCATGAGGACATCCAGCGTCGCCACAATCCCCATACAAAAGCATTCGATGATGCTTTCCCTTGGGGAGGTCTAATGCGTGCTTGCGGCCATTGCCGCGTATGCTCATTAGGTCTCCACCACCAGCTGATGTCTGTGATGGAGGAGTGTGGGCGGAGCCTGACCCAGCGCCGAGGGACATCGGCGCTGGATTCAGGTAAGTCACTGAAGGGGTTTTATCCCCTTCAGCAACATGGAATGGGAGGTGGGAGGGAGGGGACACTGCAGGGTCCTGCAGTGCCAGGAAAATGGATATGTTTTCCTGGCACTGGAGAGTCTCTTTAAGTCCTTTTAGGTGTTGACTTATCTACGTTTACAGTTATGTGTCCACAACTCTGCCTTGACAGGATTGTGATCACTTAAACCTGCGTACTTACAGTAACGTGTAGGACACATTTTCACTGAACAGAACTTTTATTGTAAAAGCATTGTCAAAATGTATTGCGGTGTTGGGATGGTCATTAACAGCTCATTGGCCGTTGTAAACGTATTGATCAATATAAAACAATCAATTGTAATTCATCCCCATTTCTGTAACTTTATGACAACATATTACTTACGCAGAATTCTATGCGTTTTGGAGATAATAACCACTGGGGTTATATGTCATCCTTGATGTTGATTACAGGAAGAGTCTGCTTGTGTAACTAGTTTCTCACTTTTGATTTTCTCTTTAAATTATCTTGCAGGCTTTTTAGTGTCATATTGGAACAGTTTTCTCACAAGCAAGGGGATGCTCATCACATGAGTGGAAAACCTGGAGGGTTTGATGTGAAGGCCCTCCGGGCATTTCGTGTTTTGAGGCCTCTTAGACTCGTGTCTGGAGTCCCAAGTAAGCAGTGAATTGTACCCTTTCTCTAAACACTGAATTTTACTTATAATAAGCACTGAATTGTACGTGTTCTTTTCTTTCGGTCTTTTGCAGTGGCTTATTTGCACATTCTTTACGATATATGTGTTGTCTTGCATACCAAAATGTATACAATATGGGATTTTCCTTCTTTCCAAATGAAGTGAATTAGCATACAAATAGGGAGATTAGGCGGTGGAAAGTCATTACGGGGTCTTTTCACTAAGCTCAAATTAAATCAAACTTGGGGTTTAACCTTAAGCCAGTCCAGCTACTATTTCCTTGAACTCAGCAATTAAACTCAGCAGGATCACCTGACCAGCTTCAAAGTTACATCAATGCCAGTACATATTACAAAATTTACATACCAAACCAACATTTGGCCTTCTTTAGTTTTATATTGTGTGAACAGTTGGCTATATCAAAACATGTTAGGTGACTTTATCAGGGTAATACACTAAAGTGAGAATTAAAAATGACTTTCAAATGAATTTAAAATTTAAGTTCAAAAGAGCCAAACTGAATTAAATCTCTAAGTCAGCTATGCTTTCAGTTCAATTACTCTGGCGTTACATTTTAAATTTACTTTGAATTCACTTTGAATTTTCCTTTTAGTAAATAACCCTGCATGACTGACTGTACTAACTGATTTCTAGGAGAGAGGAACAGACGCATATGGGTCCTAAAAATGAACTGTCCCCCCTAATGAAGTGTACTGGGAGGTATTGAAGTTTCTGTCTTAAACCAGTGTCAAGAACAATCACTCATGGTCCAACAAGAGCTGGTTGGCCAGATATCTTCTGCTTACTGCATTAAAACATATTTTATAAATAGGAAAAGATTAAAGTACACATAGATCTATGTATCATTCTACTAAATGTCACCAGGCAGCATCTCTTGTGTTTTTATTGACAATATATATTTCTACACTACAGGACACAACCATAACTTAAGACTACATAACCAAACTCTGAAGTACATAACTAAAAAGTAGTACTTAAAAATATGTCCTTAACATGCTATCTGCATCTTCCATCAGACTTTAGGGCTCTAAGGATCAGGTTGTGATGATACAAGCGGCCATCTGTTGTTAAAGGTTAACTAAAATAACAATAGCCAGCAGATTCTATTACCGGTAGAGGCGTGAAGATGTCAGATTGCATGATCCAGCTCTGATATGTAGACGTGTGGAGTAGAGGGTTTCTTTTTTTGTATTAATGTATTAATCATTTCACTTTGTCTTCTAGGTTTACATATTGTGTTGAATTCTATCATGAAAGCCATGGTTCCCCTACTGCACATTGCTCTGTTAGTCCTGTTTGTCATCATCATCTATGCAATCATTGGTCTGGAACTGTTCATTGGTCGAATGCACAAGACCTGCTTCTACGTTGACTCTGGTACGTTCCTACGTTAGTAGCCAGCTTTAAGGGAATATAGAGAGAGAATTACATTTTTCTGGTTCTCATCCTCCAATGCAATGTGTGCCTTGACTGTGCCAGGACTGAATTGGGTTGTGATGCATTTGCTAAATCTTTAATATAAATTTAAAATAAAACAAGCATCATATCAAAAAAAGTTAACATAAGTTATAGGTGATTTTCAATGTTTTATTCAGTGGTATAAATTCCAGAGAAGTGACGATTACTCTTTAAGAATTGTAATGTCCAAGATGGCCAACTCCATATCAAGTTGTTATCACTCCTTCATTTATTATAGCTTTCAGATGATAGGCCCACATAAAGGTGGGGCATTCAAGAAGCATACTACAAGGTTTTATTAAAATGAGTTATAGTCTTTGATCACCGTACAATATTTTTGAAGTTCTATCTATCACATGTCGCTTTTCATTATGGCAGACTTAGTTTCAGAGGAAGAGCCAGCGCCCTGTGCTTTCTCCGGACATGGAAGACAGTGTCACCTGAACAACACAGAATGCAGGGGCAAGTGGGAAGGACCCAATGGGGGGATTACAAATTTCGATAATTTCTTCTTTGCAATGCTGACTGTTTTCCAATGTATCACAATGGAGGGATGGACAGATGTCCTTTACTGGGTACGTACCAAAATAATGGAGCAATTTTGGCCAACTACAGTTAAATGCATTGTATGTTTAATTTGTAATTCACCGGGATGAGGGAGGGAAGTAAATAGATTTGTCAAATACAAAGGTAGAGAGTAGAGGCAGGTGCAGAGAGAGTAGGGACAGATGCAGGTAAAGGAGGATAGAGAGAGATACAGGAGAAGGAGGATAAACATAAACATTTGTAGAAAACAGAAAATGTAGAATAGTGATCTTTTGATGGGTAGATGAGGAATACAACATGTGAAGTGCATTCGGAGAAGAAGTGAGAAAATAAAGGCTTGCTGATTTATGGGTGATAAAGAGGAGTTGGGGAATGATGTTAATTGTTTATTTAGTAATGAATCTGAACATTCTCACTTCTCCTGGATGCATGTGGTTTATTTGCTAAACAAGGAACAGTGGTGGAACAAGAACTACATTGCATAATTTACACCAGATCAACTGTAGAGGTTACTAATTTGGCTCAAATTTAGCATTTTGATTTCCAGTTCATCGCAGTTCAAAGTCTCGTAAATAAACCTCAAGTGGTTTTGTAGTTGTTCCTATGCATAGCTCTCTGCCTGATTAATGCATTATGGTCTATCCTTTAAAGCATAATTTATGGAGAATTTATCAGGGAACTGCAAATTTGGATTCATTCACAGCTCTATTGTACCTTTCAAATGACCAAATAATGTTTGTTTTGAGGTGTAAAATTCAGCACAGTACATTCTCCAGGCCTTGCTTAATGCCATTAATTTCTGTGTTTCAGATGCAAGACGCAATGGGTTACGAGCTTCCATGGGTGTATTTTGTCAGTTTGGTTATTTTTGGATCTTTCTTTGTCTTGAACCTTGTGTTGGGTGTGTTGAGTGGGTGAGTTGTTTTTTTTTTTAATTTAAATTTTGTATTAATTATCCATACAAAAACAGGGACACGTTATGTAATTAATAACACTTGCTATACAAAATGTAATCTACAAAGAATACATGTAATAAATTAATACGTAATGACTAGATCATAAACCATCGTACATAATCAATGTGCCCTGTAGGCAAAATACAAATAGACAACAGACTTAGACAAACATTAGACAGACAAAACAAAACAAAAATGGACAAAAGGTTTTTTCATATATCCCTTAAATCAATGGGTGAGTCCCAAGGGGGAGTCCTGGAGGAAGTAGGTCCTGGGTGCAACCCTACATCAGACTGATACGAGTATGGAATAGAAAAGAACCAACCACCATAATCATCCTCTAGAGATTCTCTATTAAATTTAGCCATGAAATCAACACATCTTGGGGAACCTTAGTGATGCATATTTCCATTGTTAGCTGAAATTTGAGCTGTTCCTTAACCGGAGACCAAATTGGAACAATGGGTGATTTCCATTGTCTGGCTATCATATTTTTGCAGTATGTGAGTAACCAAGGGGGTATGATTTCCAAAAACATGTCTGACATTAGGATGTAATAGAAATAGTTCAGTACAAAAATAAAAAGGTTTACTAATTAATGCTTAAATCTTACTCCTGATCATACTCCAGAACAGCTGGATAAGTAAAAATTCGCCTCTATGGTCCCCACATCTCTAGCAGCTGATATGCACCTGATATGAACAAATCTTAGATAATCAAGTACCACCTATTTAAGATCTTGTAGTGGCTCTCCTATAGCTTGAGACAGTGAATGGTTTTATGCACCTCATTTCTATAGTTCCTCCATTCATCACAACTAGTTTGAATATTTAGATCTATGTCCCGTTTCTTAATAATGAGTTTGATAGGTCTATCAGGATCTCTACTAGCCAGTTCTAGACAACCAGCTACTATACTTGTTGGAGTCGTTTTTTTCAATAGCTTTTCCAATACATTTAATTTATTAGATTTTTCATTAGATAAGTGGTTATGCAGGAAACCCTTTATTCTTAGATAGTTAAGATTTCTTTACTATCTAGGTTATATTCAGTGCTCAGTGTGTAGAAGTCTTTCAAATTGTTGTTATTTATTAAATTGCTTATTTTTCAGAGACCACATTTAATCCAATTTTGGGTGTTAAGGTCAACTATATTATAATATAGATGAATTCTAGTAAGGCAAGTAATTATTGTTGAGTTGGTGAATTTATGGACTGTCTCATGGTGACATTACTGTGATATGGTTTTAATCCCGGAAGGGTTTAGGCTGCTCAAGCTCTCTGTAGCCTCCAGGCCAGTAATGGACACAATGTGCATTCAACCTTTTGGCTAAGTGAGCATCATGGGAAATTTAGTTAAATTTAGTTCACAAACTTCTAGGGTGCCAACATTTGCCATTGCTACCTTAGATGGACACCATCTAAGAACTCTGATATATAGAGTACATAAAGTATATACAAAATGCTGTATTTTATCTTTATGAGATATAGTTTGTATTCAATATATGATAGTCCAGCTCTGGTTTTATTCGGGAAATGTTGGCCAGTGACAAATATATTTCAGTGAAAGGAATCCACCACACTAATAGTGATTAGGTTAGCAAAATATGTTTGCCCAGGACATTTTTCTTATTTACTTACTCCCACACGCTACTTACCTCAAAATCCCATTTTCTGTTCAGTGAATTTTCCAAGGAAAGAGAAAAAGCCAAAGCTCGCGGAGACTTTCAGAAGTTGCGGGAGAAACAACAGATGGAAGAAGATCTGAAGGGATATCTTGATTGGATAACGCAGGCTGAGGACATTGAACCAGAGAGAGAAGAGGGAGAAGACAGACATAACCGTGAGTGTCAGAGTACAACTTATTAAATAGGACACTTCTAGTTATGAAGTAAAGATGTTGCACATAGGTCATCTTTTTTGAGTGGTAGCACAACCAGAATTCTAGAACAAAGGGGCCTAGCAGTTAGAATGCATCTCACTGTCTTTAGGTTTCAGATCTTAACTGATAAGATAGCATGAACCATACACCAACCTACCTCTTACCCCATTCTTACTCTAACTGTACACCTATCCTAACCTTACCCTTTAAGAAACTAACCCAGCATTAACCATTACCCGCCACTAACAATCCTATACGAACTCCACCCCTACACCAACCATAATGATAACCCTAACACTAGCTCAGTGGGATTCCACCTACTGACATCAGTACTAACATCAGCAGATGGATTTCCCAGCCGCACTGTAAAGGAGCACTCATTGAGCACTCATCATGCTTTTATTATGAGAGGCAGATCTACTGCATTCATCACTGACAGCAGTGGGGGAAACTGGGAGCCCCTACAAGGATCTTTTCAGAGGTGATGGGTTTCCCCTCTGTTTGGGGGCAAGATGATAATCACCAGGGCTGAACACAATCGCTCAGCCTTGGTGAAATTAATGGATTTAAAGGGCTTTATGCAGCACTCACTTTAAGGGCTACATACAGCTCACTAAATATGGCCCAAGCTGGCAGCGGGCCGCCCCAGGTATCGATTGATACTTGGTTCTCCACATTGCACGTATGGATTTCACCTCGCTTGCACCAAAAGCAAAGGACATTCCATGCCATCCTAACAGCATTAAAGCCTGCTAATTTTAGGATGGCATGGGGCATCTTAATATCGTTAAAGGTTAATTGGTCAAAATGTATGGCCTTGAAAGAACGCTACATGGTGACTGCAGTGGTGGGTGCAGGAATGCCCTGGCACCCCCATGGGTAAGTAGTAAATCTATTTGCAAACTCACTGTTAAGGCTCTCAGCCAAAGTACTGGCCCTGAACTGCGAGGCATGGCTCATTGGAGCTAACAGAAGATCATTGAAGGAGCTCATGGCTTCACAGGAGGATGAGACCAGCACCAGGCAGGTACGTTGGAAAGTTGTTGAACTGTTTGTAAACTGTTTGACTACTTACCCTGGGAGGACACCAAGTCTCTCCTGGAACCATAACCTTTAAAGTGAGCTGTAGTGGATATGGTGCTTGGAGTGATCCTTTAAGCATCATTTGGTAAAACCTATGAAAATGGTAAAATATTTAATATGTTTAAAAGTTAGCTTTTTACCCTCCTTGTCTGCTTGCTCCAATTGGACAAGATTGTTTTCTGTGTTGACTATGGTAATCCCTAATTTTGTTGGTGCGATTCCCTGTGCTTACAAGTATGTACAACCTGACAAATTGCTCTTATGATACATCCTGAACATCATGTTGAATTGTGGCAAGATGAACTTAGTTAGTGGTGGGGTCAGCTCACAAGTGCTGTTAATATCAATGTGGACCTGACCCCAATGAAGGTCGGCTCACTCAAACTGGTTTGTTTGGTAGATGTAAATGTGGTTTTATTTAATTAAACTGCGCACAACACTGAACAATTCATCTTTAACCCTTTAATGACCAGTGGCATGTCAGCATTCTCATGATAAAAAAGACTTTCTAAAACTCTTCTCTTGGAAGGGCTAAACAAATTGTTAAAAAAATGTAGCTGGAATTAATACCTCGAGACTAGTTATGGTGAGGGTTCTGGCTTGGGGTTGGTTATCAGGAGAATAAAGAATATCATTAATCACGCATTTCTTTATCCTGATGCTCAGTTTATGCCTCCAGTCAATGAATGATGTTCAGAGTTGGATAAGTGATATTGTAAAGCATACAATGGGCAGGAGGTGTGCCAGATGTGCCCAGGTATAGCCTAATGCAGTGCCAAAATGTCCTCAATGTCCCATCTTTTTATCTCTTTAGCTACTTTTGCATGAGTTTGGGCTGGCTAGTTACGTTTTCAAAGAAAATCAATGTTTACACTTTGTTATCACTAAAGCAAACAATGTGCATTTTGAACGAACTAACTAATTTACTAACTGACAAGCAACACTTATTCTTGAGTTTTACCTGCATCCCGATCATAAGCTCATCCTGTGGTACCTATCTTGGGCACTACGGGTCTCTGTGAAGTACATTTCCGATGATGCCACACAATGGTGTTCAATTTGTCCCAGTGCATTCATACATTGCCTTTCTAACATGATCTTACTTGCTTCATTTTTTAGCCCATGTTCTAAATGTTCTAGAATGATACCATGGGGCTCCAGCCATCTTCTTCTTGAACCTCTCTGTTTTTAGGAAGAATATCTACAAGTCTTTGATGAGAGGCCAGACTAACGCTAAATGGTGCCTGTTTTTCTGGGTCTTTGTCTGTATGTTTCCAGATATTTTTTTTGCCTCTTGTGGACTGTTTTATCCCTCTCTCATGAAATCATTTCACGTTCCGCATGACTGTGTATTATTTATGTGTATTAACCATTTGTTTGTGAAGTGCAGCGTGTCTGTCTGTCTCTCACTTGCAGTCGTCCATCTATCTCTTACTTACAGGCGTCACTCTGGCTGATTTGACTGGCAGGAGGAGGGGGAGACTTCAATGGTTCATGCATCCTAACCATTCCACAGAGACCCACAGTAACTCTCTTCCTTGTGTGGCCTGTGATTTGTGGTCTTGTTGTATTGTGACTAGTTCTTCCCATTATACTGGGGTCGCCAGGCTGTGTTGACCAGAGTCACCTGCCTCCACCACTCCCAGTGATTTGTGATTCCCCCTAGTAATGTGTTTTGTGCTGTGTTGTCGTGGTTCTTGTGACTAGAGCTAGTTACAGCTAAAATTGTGTGAATATTGACAAAGTGGGGGCAAAATGTCCTCATAGACATTAGAACTTGTTAGTACATGCTGCTGTAGATCTGTAGATGAAAACTCTCAGTGTTTTCATAGGCCAGAGATTAACTGGTATATATGGTTCTGCATGAGGCCCTCTAATGGGCCACACAGCTGAACGTGGCTTTTCTGGCCACTGATGTGCATATGCAGAGGTTTTGGGTCTGAAAGGAACATTTTTATGGCTCACAGGTACAGGTAACCCATCTAACTCAATTGTCTAAATAAATGTTTTTTAGGAGGATATCTATTATTTATAGGAAAACAAAGTTAAGTTACGATTTTCTAACTCATAAATATGATGGTCAAACCTGATGTAAGATTTAAATAACTAATCCGTCCAGCAATAAGAGTTCCTAAAACCACTTGACTAATTATTCATGGCTCCCTCTGAGGATAACATTGTGCAACCCAATAGGACTAAATGGGTTAATATGTCAATGGGGTAAAGCATATATTTTTTTTTCTTCTTCCCATTTTATAGTAATTAGTAACTAACTAACTAATTCTGAAGATTCCCAAATATTTGTTGGAAGTAATATTTCATTATGAAGTATACCAAAAATAAGGAAAGGTTTGGTTTCTGAGGGCTAGGTTTGATACGGTTAGGGAAGGATTGGTACCGGCAGTCAGAATGTTGGCCTTCATCTCCCTCAATGCTTCACTTGAGTTGTAGTTTAATAATAGCTAATATTATTATTATTATTATTATTTATATAGCGCCAACAAATTCCGCAGTGCTTTACAGTGTTGCCCTGCCTCAAACTGGGTAATCAGTACAACTGAGATATCAATTGGCATAAATGATGTCATTTGAATAGATAATAATCTAAAACCAACCACATGGTCCAGGTTAAACTGAACATTGTACAAAGATGTAATTAGTAACAATATTATAAATATTTTGAGAACAAAGACGTGATTGTAAATTGGATTGATATTCGTCAGTGAGAGCGATTTTATGTAGTAAAGATGGAGTTAAAAAAAGAGTTTTAAAAAGTTAGGAAAATTACTTTATTACAGTAAGACAAGGAACATCTTCATATATGTGATGAGTGTGTGAAATTAGGGTTATAGATGCCAGTAGTCAGGAGGCTGGCAGTTACGGCAAAATGATTTTCTAAACAAGATGTAACATAGAACTTATAACTATATCAGGTCCAGGAACATATACAATATGGCAAGTTGCCTATAAAGCTTGGGGTGCCAAATTTCAGACATTTTAAAACTGGTCATGGTCAGTTGATTGACTCTAGAACTTAAATGTCAAATGCAATCTCATGGACTTTGTATAAGCTTTCCAGTTGAGTTTCAAAGGGGATAAAAGAAAAGATAAATATCTTGGCATCAAAACATTTATCCATTAATGGATAAATATTGGGAAAGGATCTGGCAAAGTGCTATAACACAGCTCAAATGTACGTTATGTACATTGGGGGGTGAAGGTTTTTCTTTATGGGTTATTAATCTTGGTGAATAATAATTGAGTCAGTTCTTGTATTCTTTATGCTTTATTGGATTCCCTATTTTATTGTTTTATTGAGAATGTTTTATTGAATTTCCTATTTTATAACCACAATACGTATAAAAGTAGAATTAACTCAAAATAATCTTTCTCCCACTGTTTGTCCACGCCATCTCCAGCAAGCCTTCCTGCCAGCGAGACAACTTCGCTCAACACAGAGAATATAGACGATGAGCATACCAATTGCTGCTCATTATGCATGTGGGTATTTATACAATCTATGAACCCAAAGCTCTGTGCGTGTAACTGTATGCCTAAAACTCATGTGTCTGCAATTGTTATATCTGATTATAAAACTCTGCCACTCAACACACATGCGACAACGTGTGATATACTGTAGAATAGCAGATATTACACGTAAGTCAGTGGCGGATCCAGAGCCTGATCTCGGGAGGGGCACTTGTAGATTATTTAAAGAAATAATCCAGACACAATAACCACTACAGCTCAGTGTAGCGGTTATGGTGTCAATAGTGCCGGGACCCCCTCCCAGAGTAAGTAGTCAAACCATTTAAGAATAGTTTGACAACTTGCCTGAGGTTTGCTGGGAAATGGGGCTGTAGTAGGGCATAGGAGCAGTGGTGTGTGTGAGTGGTGCAATGTGTAAGGGGTGCAGTGTGTGTCTGTGTGAGGGACACAGTGTGTGTGTGAAGGTTGCAGTGTGTGAGTGAGGGCAGCAGTATATGTCAGGGGTGCAGTGTGTGTGTGTTAGGGGGGCAGTGTATGTGTGGGTCAGTATTTGTGTGTGACATTTGCAGTGTGTGTGTGAGGATTGCAGTGTATGTGTGAGTGTGGGGCAATGTGTGTATGGGGGGCAGTGTGTGTGTGTGTGTGTGTCTATGGGGGCGGTGTGTGTGGGGGGGAGCAATGTCTGTGATTATAAAAAAGCCCCATACCCTTCTTATCACACACATTGCCCCCTCACACATACACTCCCCCCATACATACATATTAATTACATTTTTTTATTTATTTAAATGTTTATTGACAATATTTTCGAGGGAGTGGAGTGGGGTACAGAAGTAAAAAAGAGGAGGGGGGAAGGTTGGGGGGTAACAAGGTTGACAGAGGTGGTGCGTAGTGCGTGGTACAGCTTGATAATGCATAAGTAATACACAGCATATAATACATAAGATATGATACATAATATGGTGCGGTACATGGGATACATTATACATGAGTCTTATACTCCATTGCTTGATAATTGTAGTGCTTTGTATAGTGTGTATGCCCTGTCTTCTCCTATGTCATATTGCAATGCCCATTTTAATTACATTTTTTTTTAAAACAACACATTTTATATTAAAATATCAAAAGCCCCCCCCCCCCACAAGTGTTTTTTTTTTATTATTTAAATGTAATTAAAACAAATGTTCGTTATGTCCCCCCTCCCTTCTTACCTTTATTGAGGAGGAGGGGGGACATTTCTCCACCCCTCGTGGTCCAGTGGGGAATCCCTGGTGGTTACAGTGAACTCTAGCCTGCGCTCCAGGGCTAGAGTTCACTCTCGTAAGAATTATCCCCAACTATAAAATGCTGGATCTGCTCACGGTACACGTGAATGTTATTTGGAATTAAAAAAACTCCAGCTTTGTTTGAGAATTACTTCCATTTATGTATTTTCCAGTTCACAATATGGATCTAATGTATAATAAAAATCAAAAAACCGTGGACTGTCTATCTCTTTATCTATCAATTGACTATGAATATCTAGGAACTATGCACTGAACTCATGAATGGTATTTTTAACTTTAAAAAATTTATAATAAAAATTCTGTAGATTCTTCACAGGCGGGTTTTTTTACTACTCAAACTGAGTTAGCGTTTGTCATTTGAATATCAGATTAAATAAAGTACATGCGGTAGCAAGTAACATAAATATAACACTATACCTTAAATTCATATCACTGTTTAATCTCGACCCATTTCTAATGCTATGTTTTCTATCTTCCTAGGAGCAAGATTTGCCAAACTGGATGCTGGTTAGTATTATATAGACATTGGTTTGATACTGTTGCTCAAAATAGCACAATATGGTGTCACTAATAGTAAGCTAGTACTAGTAGCCAATTAGAATTCATTTATAGATCAGAGATAGTCAAATTATGGCTTGATCATAGAGGCAGTGTTTTAATTTTTTTTTATGTATTCATAAGAGCTTGTAGACTAATTCTAGAAAGTGCAAGAGCTAAATCAGGCTTTGTGTACCAGATGTAATATATATTACCATAGGCATTAGGATTCATTCTACTGATCAATAATCCACGTTTTGCAAAGAATTACGGTTGTCGAAATCTATGATCTATATAGGGGATTATATATAAAACACTGTCATATTCTCTTTGCCATTTGCACCAGTTTTGTGTGAATGCACAACTTTCTGATATATAATATTGTTACTCCACATTTATACATTAATGATATTTTTTCCGTCTTTTCTATAATATGCCAAAAGAATCCATCTTTTTGCCACTTTTTATTCCCTTTTCAGATATTTTACTATTTTGTTTTCTTGATGGTTTTACTATAGATTACATTCACTAAGTAAGACAAATTGTTTAATGGAAAAAAAAAGCACAAAACGCGTTGGTAATTTGAAGGTTTGAAGGATTTTCTTTATTCCGTAACCAAAAAGAAAAAGCGATTAAAATTTCTGCATAGAGTTAGGTATATTTTGTTACTGAACTTTAAGGAGAGTGTGACCTATTTCTGTTGTTAAATATTTGGATGTATATAAGGCAAATTCCCCCATCACATTAGGCATCTTAAAATAGGTATCTTAAAATAGGTTTGATAACACCTAAATCGAGATTATGTACAGTGATTACTGAATGTTCTATGATTTACTTTGGATTTTATTCACAAGAAGTAAGTATAATATTTTTCACGAATTTGGTGATGGAGTGCACTTTTGCGTTTTGTCTACATTTCTGCTAAATGGAAGAATTGCGTGTCGGATTGCTCAGAAAAGCCACACATATACATCTGTTACATATTATTGATTTATATTGTATCACACATTTGTGAACCAAAATTAAAAATAAAAATAAAAAATGGAACAGGAAAATAAAGCGATGGAAGGCATAAAAAATAATATTTTGGCAGAAATTAGAGAATAAATAGGTGCAGAGATAAGTGCTGCCTAAAATTGAGCAGAACACTTTTCATTCACAACCCCTCATTTGTCTAAATACTCAATAACAATATAGTTACTAAGACCACTAAATTCCTATATTCAGCAGATATATTTATTAGTATAGCAATAATACTGTATCTCTTTATTCTGTGTGCATAGTCGCAGGTTGAAACGGTGGAATCGGGCTTTCAGACGGAAATGTCGTCTTGCTGTAAAATCCGTCACCTTCTACTGGATGGTTCTAATCCTGGTTTTCCTCAACACTTTGACCATTGCCTCGGAACACTACCGACAGCCGGAATGGTTAACTCAGATACAAGGTGATAGAAAAATTTAATGTAGATGAAAGAAACAGGGACTAGAGGATGATCTAGACACACTTACATTCATTATTATACACCTGTACACAGCTGCTGTAATACTGATGTCCCTTATGCAGCTGATTCTTTTTTTTAAATGGCCTTATAAATAACAAAAAGACCGGAACTTTGTCATATATGCTTATGGACAAATAAGGGTTGTTTGTGCCATTATCTGCCCCTAAAACATCTCCTAGACATTTACTTCCAGCATATCTCCACGGTCTTTGCAACTTCTTTCTGGGTTGTCAGTGAAGAGAAGATGGCCATATGATCAAGTGGATAGAAATGATGTTGTGAAAATTATAGATAGATAATGGTTCACATGGAATTATAGGAAAAGAAGCTCAGAGGACCCATATTGTCTCACCCGTGTTCCATTAAGTAAGTGGTGGTTGATTTATGGACTACATTTATTAATGGTTCCTCATGGTTAAGATTCCCATAATGGAGAACCAGAGCCTACAATTAATAAAGGCTAAGCTTGGCATCCAGATGTATTTGAACTACATTTCCACTGATGCCCTGTCATTCGTACCATATACATCAGTTGGAGTGCCATTGATTAGCCACCAATGTATTAGAATGTGAGAAGTGGTAATGTTTGGTGGTATTGCATGCTACTTGCATTGACAACAGCAAATTACATCGTAAGATTTGTGTTCTTATCTAGGTTATGCCAACAAAGTGCTGCTGTCACTCTTCACCCTGGAAATGCTCCTGAAGTTGTACAGTCTAGGTTTCCATGCCTATTTTATGTCTTTTTTTAACCGGTTCGACTGCTTTGTGGTATGCGGAGGGATTCTGGAGACTGTTCTGGTGGAATTTCACATCATGTCCCCTCTAGGCATTTCCGTCCTACGCTGTGTGCGCCTCCTGAGGATATTTAAGGTCACGAGGTAAGCTGCACATTTTTGCCATTTGTAATAAATAGCAGGCATGTTGACTTTTTCTATTGATTAACTACAGTTCACACAATCCTCTTTAACCTACAGCTCTAGTGGATGTGCTTAATCAACTGTTGGTTGTCTACGTCACTTATACCCAGGTGCATGTAAAACTGAGTTATGTACATGTGCATCTCAAAAAGGCTATTTGCTAAAGTGAAGATACTTATTTAACAAACTACCACAACAAGAGGACATAGTCTTAATTAGAGGGGCAAAGGTTTAAAAACAATATCAGGAAGTATTACTTTACTGAGAGGGTAGTGGAGTCCATGAAATAGCCTTGCAGCCGAAGTGGTAGAGGTTAACGCAGTAAAGGAGTTTAAACATGCGTGGGATAGGCATAAGGCTATCATAGATATAAGACAAGGCCAGGGACTAAGTACAAGTATTTAGAAAATTGGGCACACTAGATGGGCCGAATGGTCCTTATCTGCCGTCACATTCTATGTTTCTATGTTTCATCCGGGATAGCTGACCTGGACTTTCATTGAAAATATACATTTCTTTTGTATTTCTATGTTTATGTACTGAGAAAGTGAAATTTTGTATTGTTTTTGTCTCTTACCTGATGTATCTTTCTATTATTGAAAGTATTGTATATACTCGAGTATAAGCCGAGTTTTTCACCACATTTTGTGTGCTGAAAACCCCCCACTCGGCTTATACTCGAGTCAAGGTCTGTATTATGGCAACTTACATTGCCATAATACAGACCAGGACCGCTGGGCTCATTACAAGCCCGGCGGTCCTGTTGGGGCTGACAGTGAGCTGTTACTTACCTTCCTGCAGCTCCTGTCAGCTCCCTTCAACTCCGTGCAGCTCCTCTGTCAGCTCCGTTCTGCTCCCAGTGTAAGTCTCGCGAGACCCGCAGGTCCCGCGAGACTTAAAATGTAAGCAGAACGGAGCTGACAGAGGAGCTGCACGGAGGAGAAGGGAGCTGACAGAAGTTGCAGGAAGATAAGTAACAGCTCACTGTCAGCACCCCCTGCTGAACAGCCAATGCCACTGGACCACCAGGGATTCAGTATTATTATTGTAATATTATTTTATTGTAATATTATTATATTATTATTTTAATATTATATTATTTTAATAATATTATATTATTATTTTAATATTTGCATTATTTTTTTTTAAATGGTTTTTTGTCCCCCCTCCCTGCTAGTTGCCTGGCCAGGGAGGGGGGACAAAAAAACATTTAAAAAAAAATAATGCAAATATTAAAATAATAATAATATTATTAAACTAATAATAATAAAATAATATTATTAAAATAATAATAATAATAATATAATAATAAAATAATACTATTAAAATAATTTAATATTAAAATAAAAAAATAAAAATAAAAATGCCCTCCCCTTACCCAGTTTACACACACTGCACAAACACACACACTGCATTCACACAAACACACACTGCATTATATACACACTGCATTCATTATATACACACACAACACACAAACACACACTGCATTCATTATATACACACACAAACACACAAACACACACTGCATTCATTATAAACACACAACACACAAACACACACTGCATTCATTATATACACACACAAACACACAAACACACACTCTGCATTCATTCTATACACACACTGTAAATAAATATTCAATTAATGTAATTTTATTGGGATCTAATTTTATTTAGAAATTGACCAGTAGCTGCTGCATTTCCCACCCTAGGCTTATACTCAAGTCAATAAGTTTTCCCTGTTTTTTGTGGTAAAATTAGGGGCCTCGGCTTATATTCGGGTCAGCTTATACTCGAGTATATACGGTACTACACCTGACTGATCCCAAACAAAAACGTAAAACATTACTCATAACATATTGACCCAATACTGAAGGTAACATCTCTGATTGAACTGGAGGCATCGGTTTGTGACTAATATCAAGGCTGTTTGTTTTATTTTGTGTGTCTGAGTAAAGTCATGAAGACTGCAAGATACCACCATACTGACTTAAATCTATCTAAACACCATGGACAGAACCTGTCAGAACGCAAAGTTGGAGATTTCATGATTATACAAAATCTTTCTAAATGTATTTCTATTCATATGCCTTGCTGCCTAAAACATATTATTTTCCAGCTTATAGTTGAATTCTTCTTCCAGAGTGGCTGTTTACAATGTAGTTTTTTTTGTTTGTTTGTTTTTGAACTTTTTATTTAGAATTCGTGGAGACATCATGAAGTAGGTTGCATGCCCAAATAGTTCTCCATGTAATAATTTTCATAGAAGGTAGTCCAAAACGGTCTACTAATAAGATATTATTAATTTCTCAGGCATATTTCTCAGTTACTATCCATTGATAGGCTTCACCTGATGCTGTTAGCCTATCCCTGGCCTCCAAGCCGGAGACAGAGGAGATAAAACAGAGACTAGGAGGATCCTTGACATATGGAACACTTTGGGGTTCATCTGCTCGTAAAAACTTTAAAACAACTTCCAGGACCTCTAGGCACCAAAACAACTTAATTGAGAAATTGACTGGAGTTGTACATTGTTTCTTTAAGTCTGTTTTGGCTAGAAGCCAGGCTTATCTGAAAAAAGTCCATGTACAGTGAATGGTTTAAACCAGCTAAGAGTGTGTTTTTAAACAGACTCATGCTTTTGCATTATGTCAGATTGTGTGCAATCACACACGTTCTTGGTTAACTCCATGATCTTTGGCCAGATAAGTGGGGTTCCTGATCAAAGAAGAGCAAGGGTAAGGCAGGAGATGCTCTAAAAAAGATATTTACTTGTATGTAGACATTGAAAAGTAAGATACACAGAGGCAATAATACATGTAATATTTCATTTCAAATAAAATACGATGACTGTTTTTCTTCGTGATAATTCTTTACCTCCTTAATCGTTTTCTAATTTTCTCTACAGACATTGGGCATCCTTAAGTAATCTGGTGGCATCCTTACTGAACTCCATGAAGTCCATAGCTTCACTGCTACTTCTGCTTTTCCTCTTCATCATCATCTTCTCCTTGCTGGGCATGCAGCTTTTTGGTGGGAAATTTAACTTTGATGAGACCCAGACCAAGAGAAGCACATTTGACACCTTTCCCCAGGCCTTGCTTACTGTATTTCAGGTGATTATCTTGTTTCCTAACAGACCCAAACCAGGGAGGAGGAGGACATGCAGTGTTTCCACACCGTCACCATAGAGCACAAGTAAACCCGTTACAAGATGGCCAACCTCACACTTAAACCATATGCAATGTTATCTACTGTAGTTAAAAGTTGTATAGCATGACAGCATATCCTTTTGAGATGTCCATTTGAGGAGTAGTGTAATTTGGTGTCAATGTAATGTTTAATATTTTAGATGAGTTGAGAAACCTGTTTGGGCCTCTTTGGCTTTGTAATCTAGCTGTTTCAGACCTTTAATGTCAAATAATTAAATCTAAATTGAATTTATAACATTAAAGGAATATTATGCTGTATGAACATTTTTTATATGTTTATTGGGTTTTCTCAAACTATATCTACCATTTTCTTGTTCTTGGTTTGGCTATGTGACATCACTAAGATCCTGACTGGTGAGGACTGGAATGCCGTGATGTATGACGGAATCATGGCTTATGGAGGGCCCTTTTTCCCTGGAATGCTTGTTTGCATTTATTTTATTATCCTCTTCATATGCGGCAATTGTATCCTTTCATTGTTTGGCTGTTGAGTAAATTGCAAGCCTGTCCACAGAACAAGGAGGATGAGAGAGTGAATATATCAGCGATAATGAATCCAGTATCTGAATTGATCACATAAATAAAATTAAGCTCAGCAGACAATACGTTTGTTCACTACAAACCATTCCACACACTATTTGTTTATGCTTTTTAAATTTTGAGGAGCACACCTCCTCACAGAGAAGGAGTAGGCAACCTTCGGCACTCCAGATGCTGTGGACTGCATCTCCCATAATGCTATTACAGCCATAATGCTGGCAAAGCACGAGGGGAGATGTAGTCCACAATATCTGGAATGCAAAAGGTTGCCTAACCCTCTTCTAGAGCTTGAGATTAATATTCACAGAATTTAAATCTTCTGATTTATTGATGTTCATTTTGCCACCATTTTTCCATGCCTCTGTTGACAGTATTTAGACTCTAGATCAGAAAAATAGTGAATCTAAATGAAGTATTATTAATTCAGTTACATTTCAGCTAGAAACATATTTACTTTAACAAAATGTTTTATTGCTGCCAAATGAATGATGGAACAGCAGATGCTAATAATTATTAGTTTCCTAGCTTGATCAAATAGAGCCAAGAAATAGGGGAACGGTGTCTGGGGAAAACAGGCGAAATGCGACTGATAATAAGATGCACAAAAGTATGATATTTAACTGTAAAAATATAGTGATAAAATATAAGATTATAGAATCAGCAATTGACCATGCAGTTATACAGTTCATGAACAAATGGAGATGGAAGGTGTAGACATGGTGGTATAAGTCCTTCTTTTGTGTTGTTAGGTATCAAGGAGACTTAAGTAAATAAAATAAAAAATGTTAGTACAACAACTTCAGCAACAACCTGCATTGCCATTTCCCAGCATTTGTGTAATTGTGAGATTTCAGTTGTTTGTCTGAGTCATACATTGGTTAGAACATCATGGGTCGTCATTTATAGATCCCAGAGGAGCAAGATCTTGACTATCAACTTATTTACAGAAGTAATCATACCTACGTATTTCGCCTAGTCCATGCCACACAGGTGGAATAATTTCTGTTGGATTAGGGATACAGTTTGGAAACTGGCAGTATCAAATGTAAAAGGAGATAGGATTAGGAACAGCTTGGCCTTCTTGGATGCTGCCTTCCCAAACAGACCGACTGTATCAACTTTTATCATGTCTTCCATATAGTGAACCTTCCACCATGTCTTCCCAGTATGGTAATATATTATATTACACCATGCACTATAACTTGGGATACCACATCCACCATGTTTTCCGGGACACATATCATTTATATATATTGACAAGCAACATACAGAAAGTGCTGCACTGCAGTATGTAGAAGTCAAATGTAGTAAACCAGGTGGTGGTGTGTATTCAGAGATTTGTTTTCCTGATCGTTCTGTGCAGATATCTTACTGAATGTCTTCTTGGCTATCGCTGTGGACAATCTAGCTGATGGAGATAATATCAACAGCAAAGATAGAAAGTGAGAATTGTGATGCATTAATGGGATACTATAGCCACCAAAACTATTTTAGCTTGCAGGTTCGCCGTCCACCCACAGAGAAACTGCTTAACTGTAACCAGATATATGACAAATTGCTTTGCTTTGGATATAGAGCCTTAGCTATGTCTCAATGGTACTTTACTTTTTAACAGGGTGCTATGTTTTTTTTTTTGTTTTTTTTTTAATTCTTTATTTTTGCTGTGCATGCACATGCAATCAGATTTACAATGCCATGGTAATAACAAGAAACATCACAGAAACGTATAGTGACATGGCACATCAAAAGATTGCACAGTTTTTTAGTTTAAGTAAATAAGAACATCAGAATATACAAACGTGTACCTGTTAGATAAAATATAAGACAGGTGTAGGAAAGCCTAGAAATTGTGCCTAGTATTAAATTACAACTATGCTTAGAGACAAGCAGGGCCCACTAGACACAGGGATTATAGATAGGTACAAAAGCAAGTAAACATGCTAGACTGGTGTACATTGAGATGAGATAAAAATAGGTAAACTTCAAAGCAGAGTGGAGACATGAGTCCACCGTAAAACATTTGAGTCAGGATGATGCTCATTCTGGCGATTTCACCTCTATGAACCAGAAGACAGCCAGGACCCTTTTGCTTCTTTAACCCCTTAAGGACCAAACTTCTGGAATAAAAGGGAATCATGACATGTCACACATGTCATGTGTCCTTAAGGGGTTAACCGATATCGGATTTGTAGAGAGACAAGGTGGGCTCTTGACAGGAGGTATCTTGAAGGCTTGTGTACTCGCTGTGGAAGCACCAGTTGCAGTCCCACGTCTGAGCGCCACAGACATACCCATTGGTAAGGTCTGCCATCTTGTTGAGCTGTTGAGAACATAGTCCCATTGCTTTGTGCCCAGGCCTTGCTCCTCATTGCCACATGCTCTGTCCCGAGCTTTTCAGGTCTTAGGAGATCAACTGCCTGAGTTCCCCTGCTGTACTGAGGGGGTACTCAGCTGACCCTGCAGGGCGCAGGAAGTCTCCAAGTACGGAGCAGACTGGCGTGGGCTGGTTTGGTGAGTTTGAGATTTGGTGGTGCTTGATGGCACTGCTGCCATTCCTCCAGAGTAGCCCAGAATCTTGCAAAGATTAAGTCGAGCCGGGCCAGAGAAGTTGAGATGTGGGCCTCAGCTAAGAGAGTGTCTGTGCCCGAGAACAGCAGGTGTTTGATGTAGCGGTAGGTAAGCTCCTATGACCAGGATAATCCACTCCGGTCACAATCGGTGGGGGAGGGGGGGAGGATATTCACTTCAGTTAGCAAGATTCAGCATCCGGTTGCAAGATGGCAGTATGGACCAGAAAGGTTCCAAATCGGGTATCAATCGGTCCACCTCGGTCCCCACTATCTGGTGTGCAGTATATTGCGGTAAAATCTGCTGACTGGCTCAAGATTATAGTGAAATCATCATGAGGAGCCCAGAAGCTCTTCCAACTTGCGTCTACTCAGTTAGCCAGTCAGGCTCCACACCTGGGACGCTATGTTAAGCTCGCACAGTCCACAAAGCTATACCTTACCCTCTTAGCATGCTTGACTCGCTGTAGACTAGGCACTGGATACCTATATGTATAATTGTTCCAGAAGGAACTCCATGATATATTCTACACTGTATTTTAAGTTATATTTCATGTCACATTTAAGACTATGTACAATGCTCAAGTGTTGCTACTTCCTTGTCTGTGTCCCTCCAAGTCAATGGTGCTACCATCTGCTCTACCTGTAAGGCTCACTGCCTAGGTGTTCTCTTTGACTCCAACCTCTCCTTCACCCCTCATGTACAATCAATCGCCAAATCCTGCCGCTTCCATCTCAAAAACATTGCGCGCATCCGACCCTATTTAACACCTGATACGGCAAAGGTGCTTGTCCATGCTGCTGTCCTCTTTTGCCTTGACTACTGTAATCCGCTTCTCAGTGGTCTTACGTGTTCCCAACTTACCCCGTTATAGTCTATAATGAATGTGGTGGCGAGGCTCATGTTCCTGTCTGCCCGCACCTCCCATGCCTCCCCCTGTGTCAGTCCCTCCATTGGCTTCCCGTAAGACATAGGGCTCAATTTAAGATCCTGACATTTGCTTGAAAATCTCTACACAATGCTGCTCCCACCTCCTTATCCTCACTAATACATAAATATGTCCTGTCTAGGCCCCTACACTTGCCGGAGACCTACGTCTAACCTCTGTTCATACTCCTACCTCTGATGCTCGCCTTAAAGATTTCTCTGAGGGCTGCACCGTTCCTATGGAACGCCCTTCCCCTCTCTGTTAGACTCTCTCCCAATCTCCACTCCTTCAAAAAATATTTGAAAATTTACTTCTTTATTAAACTGTGAACAGCTTTCCCTCCCCCCACCCTGATTTCTCTCCTGAAACTGTCTTCAAAATAAAACACTAAGCCTTCAATGAATACTATTCTACCAACCTACCTGTCTACCCTACCCTTATATATTGTGTCACTATGCCCCACTCCCTCTAACATGTAAGCTCATTGAGCTTGATCCCTCTGTTCCTGTGCGTCCAACTTGTCTGGTTACAGATATGTGTCTGTTAGTCCACCCATTGTGCAGCGCTACGGAACTTGTTGGCGCTTTATAAATAATAATAATAATAATAATAATGCTTATTTTCTATGGTATCCCCCGGGATTAACTGATGACTAACCACAGTCTTTATATAATCTTACTTGGGTACTGATGTGTTTGTTACTTCTGTATCTTATGACACTTTGAAAACCAATACAAATTGTTAAATTGAAAAAAATACAACTTTAGCTTAATAAATCAGTTTTGGTGTATAGATCATGTCCCTGCAGTCTCCCTGCTGAATTTTCTGACACTTAGGAGTTTTGTTTTACTTTTGTTTCTGTTTATGCAGCCCTAGCCACACCTCCGCTGGCTCTGATTCACACAGCCTGCATAAAAATATAGTTTAATTTTCCATCAGATCTTAAACCGTCTGGGGACCCCTGACAGTACCATTGTCACTGAGGGTCCAGTGGCTGGGAGGGGCAGGCAAAGCTGACTTTTAGTTACCAGAACCTGTCCCTCCCAAGCGCCACCATTGTCTTCGATGCGTGAGAGTTCAGTATTGGGGTTTATGGAGAAACCCGCAAGACTCCATTCCTCCAGAGAAAAAAGCTAATCTCCTTGCAGCCGTCACTGGTGACTGCTGGGGAAAATGACACAGCTTGAAGGTGTTAGCTCTGCCTAGCGTTAAGCAGCGTCAGGTGGAGGAAAAATACTGAGACAAAGCAGTCCCTACTTTGTCTCAGTATATCTTTTGACTGGGATGGAATTTCAGTGAGGGGGTGGGTTGATAAGAAATTCTAAATTTAACAGAATGTGGGGAGATGTGGCTAGGGCTGTATAAGCAAAGTGATTTAACTCCTAGAGAATTGAACTGAATGAGACTGTAGGGGCATGATCTATACACTGCTTCATTAATCTAAAGTTGTCTTGGCTTATAGTGTCCCTTTAAGCTTGAGAAATGTTTCCATAAAAGCTGAATTGGTAGGGAGGAATAAACATGTTTCTTGGCTTTGAGCACTGATTAGCTCCATTGTTTATTGAATTTTTGATCATACTGTTGAGTTAAACCCCCACTAATTGCAAGCAGAATTTAGTATTCAGTTGAACTCAGCATTGTGTAATATACATGGCAAACCTCTATTGATTCTGGCAGTCAGTGAGTATTGGATCTTTTACTTTTTGGGTTATAATCCTAGAATTATCAATTTATGTCCACTTACAAGTAAAATTGGGTTTTAATGAAATTACCACATTGTATACAAATTTGCATCATAGCTGAAGTGCTCATCTAAACATTCCAGTATTTACAGAGATACAGTTTTCAGCATTGAGCATTGAAAATTTACATTAATATTTGGTTTTCTTCAGGGGAGGAAAGAAAACAGGAAAGAAAGAAGAAGATTCAGTGAAGGTAATGTCCGGAATTTTGTACACACATGACAGTTGGTCCATGACAAATTAACTGATACAGCACAAACTAACTTTTGGCAGGAGGCATCTGAGTAAATAGCGTTGCCTATGTTTGCCGAAAGAATTTTAACAGGATTCAAATGAATGCAGAGCATTCCATTTTACTATTATAGACTAGACTTAGAGTCAAACCATAGAGAGAATGGGAACCAGGAATAGAGAACAAACTCATATCAACTTGTTAGTTTCTCCTCTCTAGTCCAGTCTACCAAACACTCTTATTACATAGCATGAATTATATTGCTACCTCGACAAAGGCTAGTAGTAGCTCATTTCCGGGCATTTGTCCTTAACCATATTTAGTTAGTAGCTCTACAGGAAGCAAGTTGGTGTGACAAGACTTATTACTGATGTTGGCTCCACCAATAACCACTGATGGTCAATCCTTGTTTCTTCTAGTATCTGTGGGTTATGTTTCCCACCAATGCTCAGCCAGCTATGAGTATCATGGAGACCACAATAGTGTAAGGTCCACTTTAGCCCTTGACTTATAGATAGCCCTGGCCATTCTCCACTAGACATGTGCAATTTGTTTCGGTCCGAATATGAATTCGGCCGAATTTCGGGCAATTCGGACATTCGGGTACTTCCGAATGTCCGAATAGCCAAAGTGCCGAGGTCCCGAAGTTCCAAAATTACTGAATTTCCGAATTGTCGAAGTGCCGAACTTCCGAAGTTGCCGAAGTTCTGAAGCACAGTATTGCCTAAGTACTAATATACTTACCCAGTGGAAGAATGAAGAATGTTACACTGTATACAATTTTAAATAAAAAGTATACAAACGTAGCCAGGCTTCTGCTGTAAGCATTTGCAACACTTACAACAATCAAGTTACACATATTCATATAAAATGTAAGTTACTTAGCCAGTCAATGTAATGACAGGAATGAATAAGTAGATAACTCCCTAATTCCCACGGTATTAGAGAGCTATCTACTAAAAGGCTGAAAGACCTGAATTGGTCTTTCAGCCAAATTTACTAATACTAAGTAAAGATTACTTAGTATTAGTAAATTATGCCCCGACTTGCTATACCGCGAGTAAGGGCATGTATATTAAACAGTGAGCAGCCTGTGGTGGATTAGGTAGCCAATCAGAGTGTTATGAGTCAAATTACACAGCGTGGGAAAATTCCAAAGAACTTTCCCACGCTGTGTAAAATGACACACAGCACTCTGATTGGTGGATTTCAAACCAACCAATCAGAGTGCTGTGACAGCTAAATGTAGAGACTTACCTGTCAGTCTCTTCATTTACCTGTCAGAGCACTCTGATTGGATGGCTTAAACCCACCAATCAGAGTGCTCTGAGCCTAATTGCAGGGCGGGGGAAGGCTTTATAAGCCTTTCCCCGCTGTGCAGAGCTCAGTCTGCGCGGAGCCCTCCAAGATGGATTTTTTTTTTGCGCTCTTTTTTTTTAGTGCGTCGGTTATTATGGCTTTTTATTTGGCCTTTTTTGGGGCTGAAAAAATAAGATTTTAGAAGATAGAAAACATCAAATGGTAAGTTTTATTTAATTTTTTAACAGGTTTAGCTAATGGTCTCTCCTCACTATTTTTAGGGTGAAGGGGGTAGGTAGGGGTTAATTTTTTTGGGAGGGGGGTGACTAGGGGTTTGGGGACCCCTAGTCACCTGGGGAGGGGGGGTAATTTTTTATTTAGGGCCCCCACCCGCCGCTCAGGGGTGGGGGCCAGGGGCAAGGACATTAGGTCCCCCCCTAATTAGTATTTAGGGCCCCCACCCACCGCTCAGGGGTGGGGGCCAACGGGGAGGACATTAGGCCCCCCCTTAATTAGTTTTTAGGGCCTCCACCCACCGCTCGGGTGGAGGCCAGGGGGAGGACACTAGGTCCCCCCCAATTAGTTTTTAGGGCCCGCACCCACCACTCAGGGGTGGGGGCCAAGGGGGAGGACATTAGGTCTCCCCCCTCATTCTAATTTAGGGCCCCCACCCACTGCTCAGGGGTGGGTGCCGGGGGGAGAGGACATTAGTTCCACCCCAAATTGGTTTTTAGGGCCCCCACCCACCACACAGGGGTGGGGGCCAGAGGGGAGGACATTAGGTCCTCACCCCATTTTCTAATTTAGGGCCCCCACCCACTGCTCAGGGGTGGGGGCCGGGGGGAGGACAATAGGTCCCCCCCCATTATTTTACTTTAGGGCCCCCAACCGCCACTCAGGAGTGGGGGCCGAGGGCAGGAGAATAGGTCCCCCCCCATTATTTTACTATAGGGCCCCCACCCGCCGCTCAGGGGTGGGGGCCAGGGGGGAGGACAATAGGTCCCCCCCACCATTATTTTACTTTAGGGCCCCCACCCGCCGCTCAGGAGTGGGGGCTGGGGGGGAGGGCAATAGGCCTGCCCTTTAGTTAAAAAGCCCCCACTCCCACGTCACAGGTGGGGGCTCGGGAGGGGGGACCCTTTTTTTTATTTTTTATTTTTAACAGTGAGCAGCCACTGGCTGCTCACTGTTTACTAGAGATGCCCCAACTCATGGTATAGCGAGTAGGGGCATAATTTACTAATACTAAGTAATCTTTTTTTACTAATTTACTAATACTAAGTAATCTTTACTTAGTATTAGTAAATTTGGCTGAAAGACCAATTTAGGTCTTTCAGCCTTTTGGTAGCTAACTCCCTAATACCATGGGAATTAGGGAGTTATCTACCAAGCGGCTGCAAGAGAAGTTCCGAAGTGCTGAAGTGCCGAAGTTGCCGAAGTATCGAAGTGCCGAGGTCCCGAAGTTCCGAATTGCTGAAGTCACGAATTTCGGAGTGCCGAACTGAACCGAAAAATGTTCCCATGCACATGCCTATTCTCCACCCTATACCTATCCTACCAACAACACAATCAGTGCTATTGTTATTATTACTATAAACATTATATTGTCTCTTAGATAGTTGGGATGAAAATACTACCTGCAATGTGCCATGTGTTGCTTAGAGCAACTGGACTCGACTTCTACAAAAAAGTTCTGACTTCAGCTTCTGCCAAATAAATCTCTGATACATCTTATATTACATTTTTACTTTTTTGGATTTCAATTTAGCCTTACTTATTCCAGTTGTGAGTGTTATGTACAGAGAGTCAGATTTACTAACAGGCACACTCGTGTGTTATAAGGCATAACCATTTGATACATTCCTGCACACATTTCATTTTACAAACGGATTTGTGTATTTATGAGTATAAACTGCTTAAGAAAGTTAGTTTACAATCTGAAAGAGAAAAATTAAACAAAAAGTGACAAAATAATTTAAATTTGATGGCTGGAGAATTTAAGGGGCATCACGGAATAATAATGTTTGTGTTGTGAACAATTAAGAGTTAGTAAAATAATTTGTATGAAATTAGATTTTGTTCCAAACAAGTAGAAAATCATTCTCTATAATGTAAAACGGATGAAGAACATCAGTGGTGATAAACAGTGATATTTAAAAGGTTAATCAAGTCTCCACTTATTTTGCATAACCTGCTGTATTTATCTTACAGGTTCCTTGCGAGGAAGAGAAAGAAGAAGAGGAATGTAGTGATGTGTGTAAGTCTAGCTCTGAACGAAATGCATGATGATATTCTAAAGGTCTTATACCTTGAATGTTGGTTGGCCTCTATTTTCTACATAGATTTGGCATTAATTGGAAATACAGACAAATTCTTCAAGTTTATTAAATGGAACGGTGGATTAGATGACCTTTTGCTGTATGGATCTTGCATAAAAGGATATGCAGAGATATTATTTGCATATGTTCATTGATTGTTGAGTTAGGTAATAGTATGTCATTGTCATACCTCCTCTTAGCCCTCATTGTGCTCCTCCTCTTCCCTCAGCCAATGCCGAATCTCCTCTGTTCAGTTCCGTGTCCCGGCATTCGGCTTATGCCAGATCCACACACGGCACTAGGGAGAGTGTGCACTGACATCATGATCTGTATAGTTCTGTCAATGTATGGTTTATGAATCTGCCATACAGTGGCTGACATAGTAATGCTCTCTATTTTAACTATAACAGAGTTTTCATGTATGATTCTGTCTTATAAGTAGATATGGGGATATGGGGTGATTCACTGGTCATCTCTTTTAAGGGATGGCACTATTACCATTCCATCTTATTAAATGTTTCATAATGCTTTAAGTCCCCAAATTTGTGTTAAACCATTTTCAAATAGTGTTACACTGAATGAGGGTGTGTGGCCTCCCATGGGCTGGCCCCTACTGGAGGTATGGCTAAGACAGAGATTACACACTTTCTTCTAGACATACCAATTCATACCAGCAATGGCTCCTGTGATAGCCTGAAATTGGTCAACTGACACTTTTAAGCTCCTAGCAGCACAGAGGGGATAGACTGTTGGGGATTCCCATTTGGAAAAAAAGCATTAGAAACAATTTATCACTGACTTTAAGGACAGTGCCAAGTGGACTATAGACACTATAACCACTTCAATGAGATAAACCGGTTATATTGCTTACAGTGTGCCTTTAACATGACAGTGCTCTGCAGGTTGAATTTACCTTCTCTCTGCATCTCACAGCTGAGGAAGAGGAAGATGAAGAGGGAAGTCTCCCGGACTCACATCTTGATAAACTTGCTGAGTTTGCCCCAAAGGAGAAAGTCCTTCCAATACCAGATGGCAGCTCCTTCTTCATTCTGAGTAATACCAACCCGTGAGGATCTCTGCACTGCGCCCTCTCCTATTGCTCTTTGATTCCACCATTTTATCCTCGCTCTCTCCTTATTGCTGGTTATTTTATGTCTTGTTTTACTCCTTCTCTGTTTCTCTCGTTAAAAGCTAGATTATAAATATCCTCTCCTGTTAAAGATCCCCTGACTTATATTATCAAATGTAGTCTTTAGAGGTATAGAGGTAATAACTGTTTCTTTCAATTAATAAAAAAACAACTAGTTTCTTAATATCCCTCTGTCTGTAATCTAGGCTCACTTCTGCTGCAAACACTCCACTGTTAGAATAGATTGCAAGCTCTTGAAATCTAAAATCTATTGTAAGAATTGATCATTTCATACGACATGGTTTTTCAGATTTCATCAGTCTTAGTCATTTATTAATGTGTCTGACAGGTCAACACATCCCTGTGGCCATTAAAACTGTCCATAAAAAGATGCCCTTGATATTACAGGTGTGAGTTTTACAAGCCAGGACAGATTATTGCACATGTCTACCCAGGGCTCTGCTGAATGAGATTGATAGACTAGTAAGGATAAAACCTTTATGAGAACCCATCTCTTCTTTCCCTTCTCAACATCTACCTTTAGCTACCTCCTCTCTCTCACTGAACATATAATTTCTGTCTTATTATTTCAAAACCTATCCTATTTTTTAATTCTCCAAAATATCACCTTTCCACAGACTCCGTGTTGGATGTCACCGGCTGATTCACCATCACATCTTCACCAATCTTATTCTGGTCTTCATCATCCTCAGCAGCATTTCCCTAGCAGCAGAGGACCCCATTCGAGCCCACTCCTTTCGAAATCATGTGAGTTCAAACGTACCACACCTGCATAGCGTAAAGGGTTATGTGAAGAATGAAGGGGGGTGGGCGGTAGGATTGGTAAACGTGCCTAAGGTCCTCTAGGATCTTAATCCTTCTTTGCTGCAATTTCTAAGGCCTTCACTTTATTATCATGCATAAAAGGAGATATTAATTAACTGGCAAAAATATAATTGTGTCTAATTGTAAGACCACACCTTATATACATGGTGCAATTTTGGGGACCTGATTTAAAGGAGGATGTTATGGAACGTGAAAGAGTTTAGAGGCAAATGAAAAAACTAATTAGTGGAATGGAAGATAATATTTATGAAGATAGGCTAGAAAACTTACACTTGCTTACTTTAGAAAACAAAGCGATTTAGACGAAAAAGGACATTATGCAAACGTATATAGGGCCTTTGCAAACAGCTCCCTGGTAATTTGTTTAGAATTAAAGGGAAATTCACCTAGACTAGAGGTTCTGTACAATAAGAACAATAAAGATGTAGAGTTGTTGCCCTCTTTTTGATCCACAGCAGTAATACATATATGTAAAAAGATGAACTTGATAGATATTTTTTTCCAGCTTTTATTACTATTTAACTATCTAACTATGGCCCTGATTTAATTCTGTGAAATGATCACAATCTGTTAGAAAACGTTTGCCTACGGAAGTCATCATTAAAGTCTATGGGAATTTTTGTAGATACATAATTTGAAAAGTTTTTCTAACAGATTGTGACCCCCTTGTCTTACATGTTGCCTGTGTTTGCAGATTCTGGGATATTTTGACTATGCTTTCACTTCAATCTTCACAGTGGAGATATTACTGAAGGTGACAAGACTAAGTGAACCAACCCTCTTCTCCTCTCCTCATCGCTGATTCCGTTAGTGTCCCTTTTCCCTTCCTGCAGACCATTTCTTCTTAGTTCCCAATTGCCACATCTGCCAATCCTCGTCTTTCCATTCTATTTATTTCCAATGAAAGATAGATAAATGTTTCTAAGCAGAGGGATATACTAACATTGCACTGTTAATTATAGATTAGCATTTAGTATATTTTTGTATGTGTGGTGTTTGTGTTATCAGTGTAAGTGCATTTTATTAAAATATTTTTTTTATGGGCCACTCATTTAGTTTGTAGTATCTTTTTAGTAGGGTTAGGGGTAGGGTTTGGTGCAGGGTTATGTGTAGGCTTAGGGTTAAGGAATTGGCGATTTGCCAAAGTCCCGAAATGCCGAATTCCCGCATTATGGAAGTGCCAAACCGATGCCGAAGTCCCGAATTGCCGAATTTCAAAAGTGCCGAACCAAATTTTTTGCCCATGCACATCCCTAGTACTCTTTTTTTCTTCTTTGCATCTTATTATCTCAGTAGCGAAATGTTTTGTATTTTTGTTTTCTTATCTTGCAATCGTTCTGCTTTTGCCATGGCACACATTTCTCTAACAACCTATCTCTTGTTTCGCCCCCAACTTTTACTTCCATTCTTTAAATTTGGCTTACTCCAGATGACTGCATATGGTGCTTTTTTACACAAGGGCTCCTTCTGCAGAAACTGGTTCAATCTTCTGGACCTGCTTGTGGTTAGCGTGTCCCTCATCTCCTTTGGAATTCAGTGAGTCAATAACTTCTTTTAGGCTCTTGATTTTCTACCAAGAATCAAAGAACAATGTTATGTTCTCCCTTTTCTTGTAGAATAAACCTCAGCCCTGTATGTGTAATCAGCTGATGCTATTGTGTTTCTGACCATATATATGTTTCTATCTTATAGCTCCAGTGCCATCTCTGTTGTAAAAATTCTGCGTGTGCTGAGGGTTCTGCGTCCACTAAGGGCCATCAATAGAGCCAAAGGGTTGAAGGTAAAAAACAAAAATTAAACAAAATAAAAAGTGGAATCCACACTGGAAATAGCTTTGCGTCCCCGTGTTCATGATTGTTTACAATATGTAGTTGTATGACAAAATTTGTCTCAATGGCAGGGATAGGCAACCATAGGTCCTCAAATTGTTGTACACTGTTACATTTAGGATGACTGTTTTTGTTCAGTTGATAATTTTCTCCTCTCTCCATAGCATGTGGTTCAGTGTGTCTTTGTTGCCATCCGAACAATTGGTAATATTATGATAGTAACCACCCTGCTGCAGTTCATGTTTGCCTGTATTGGGGTTCAGCTTTTCAAGGTGAGGCCGCCAAATATATTTCTCAATTCCTGACTTAGCTGTGATATACATGCAATTTCAAGTGAATTTCTATATAATTGGAAAGGCTTAAAACATCTGCATCTTTGCAGACTTACTGATGGTTATAATTTTGTCTTTAGTGTTCTGCAGCTGTGTGACTCTGGTTGTAATGTTGTGTAGCATTGTGGTTCTGTTGCATGTTTTAATGTTATGTGGCTGTGGGTTTCTGGTGTAAGATGTAATTCTAAATGGCTGTGTGTTCTGGTGTATTTTGTGCTCTTATGTGGCTGTAAGTTTCCAGTATGTGCTGTAATTGTTATGTGTCTGTGTGGTTCTGGTGGGTGCTGTAATTGTTGTGTCTGTGTGGTTCTGGTGTGTGCTGTAATTGTTATGTGTCTGTGTGGTGTTGGTGTGTGCGGTAGTTGTTTTGTGCCTGTATGGTTCTGGTGTGTGCTGTAATTATTATGTGTCTGTGTGGTTCCGGTGTGTGCTGTAATTGTTTTGTGCCTGTATAGTTCTAGTGTGTGCTGTAATTGTTGTCTGTGTGGTTCTGATGTGTGCAGTCGTTGTTTTGTGCCTATATGGTTCTGGTGTGTGCTGTAATTGTTTTGTGCCTGTATAGTTCTAATGTGTTCTGTAATTGTTGGGTCTGTGTGGTTCTGGTGTGTATTGTAATGTTGTGATGTTTTGATGTGTGTTGCAATGTGGCTGCGTGGTTCTGGTGTATGATGTAATTCTACAGGGCTGTGTGTTCTGGTGTGTGTTGTAGTGTTTTAGTAGATTCCTCATCCTTCTAATTCCCCTGGAGGTGGTCACACATTAATCCTAATATTTCTATTCAGGGAAAGTTTTACAGCTGCACTGATGAGGCAAAACACAGCCCAGAAGACTGCAAGTAAGGAGCCTTAACACCAAATGTACACACAGACACACTAATACACTGTTCTTATATGTGAAAACAGTTCTACCACAACTGCGTGTATGTTTTGTGTAAGCAAGGTACATGAGTGCTTTTTAAAAATAAACAAATAAATTTATGTGTATACACATTGTACGTAAATTTCTCACTATCACACATCTATCAACAACTCTTCCGAATCCTTTGTCCATGGATAATGACTTTGTTTTGTTTTTGTAATAGGGGAACATTCATTGTGTATAAGGACGGGGATGTCACTCATCCCATGGTGCGTGAGAGAATCTGGCATAACAGCGACTTCAACTTCGATAATGTCTTGTCTGGCATGATGGCACTTTTCACCGTGTCCACATTCGAGGGTTGGCCAGCGTGAGTCTAGCAGAGAAGATAGTGGACATGCTTTTAGTGCCGTTGGAATAGTCATTGTATGTTAGATCTTGAGAAAACATATAGCATTGAAAGGATTATATTGTATACACATTATATATATGAACCTGCAGATATACCATGTGAGTTACTGTATACTGGACTATATTCTCACATTATGGAGAGCACATTCTTCTGATTATAACTCACAATACCCCTCAACCTGTTCTGGTATCTGTATCTAATGTGATGGGAATGTTTAAACCTCCTTTATTACACAGTGTGTTTAATTTAGAATTTCTCAGCTCCTTCTCCTCTAGCTCTAGCTCTAGCTTGCCAGACCCTGCAGGAGCCTCCTATGTGTTAATAAAGTTCCATTAACAGAGCAGGAGATAATACAATGTCTCAATTAAATACCCTGGGCTGTAAGATCTGATTAAAAAAGAAAAACCATTTTATAATGGAAGCTGTGTGAGTCATAGCAAAGGGAAATGCTTCTAGTGCTGCGTAAAAAAACAACTTATAAATGGCAGAGAATTAGGCTGTGAGACTGCAGGGGTATGATTAAGCAGGTTTGGTGCTTAGAGTATCCCCTTAATTTCCTAACATTGTTATTTGATGGTTCAATGCATTAAGATATTTGACAGTTCCAGGAATATAAATATTTAACCGTTCCAGATATAGCGTTATTATGTGGTTCCAGGGCTAGAGGTATAGAGCTTATTGATGGTTCCTCACATAAGCGTTATTTAATGGATCAGAGCTATTTGATGGTGCCAAGCATATAACTATTTATTCTTTCAATGCAAAGAGTGATCCATGCATAGAGCTTTTTGATGTTTCAATGTATAGAACTATTTGATGTTTCCCTGTATAGAGCTATATGATAGTTCTTGTATAGAGCTATTTGATGGTTCCAGATATTTAACTATTTGATGGTTCCATGTATAGAGCTATTCGATGGTTCCCGGTATAGATCTATTTGATGGTTCCATATATAGAGTGATTTGATTGTTCCATGCATAGAGCTATTTGATGGTTCCAGGTATAGAACGATTTGACGGTTCCTTGTATAGAGCTCTTTGATGGTTCCAGGCATAGATCTATATGATTAGACACATATTTTGACACAGATATAGATCTGCCTGGTAATTATGGTGCTATGAATGTGATCCTGACTTTTTTAATTCACTGCTTCCAGGCTGCTATACAAAGCCATTGATGCCAACGGGGAGAACGTGGGACCTATTTACAATTACCGGGTGGAAATTTCTATCTTCTTTATTGTCTACATCATAATTATCGCCTTCTTCATGATGAATATCTTCGTGGGCTTTGTTATCATCACTTTCAGGGCACAAGGGGAACAGGAGTACAAGAATTGTGAGCTGGACAAGAATCAGGTGACTCATCCAAACTGGGCTTTAAACATGTATTCCCATGTGTACCCCTTCCCCAAACATCAAAGTGGCATATTGAGCAGGTAACTTGGACATATGCATGAGGGCATACAGGGGAAAAAAGGACTGTTGGAATTCCCCAATTCCTAGTGGCAAGAACCCTAATAGACAAGCTTGCTGTGTATGGTTAGTGACAGCTTAGCCAAGGGTCCTACACTTGACTGATCCTTTTAAGGAAGCCCCTCATTTCTCCATCATCAGAATACACCGCACAGTCTATACCTTTTTTATTATGTAAGGTAAAATTGTAATTGCAACCATAGGCTACATAGTTATGATGAATAATAAGATCCAGCTGAATCCATCATATAATAAAAAAATCGACAAAAGTAGAAATGCATGTATAAGGACTCCCATATACTTAGGGGCAACTATTAAATACGAAAAAAAATATTTTATTTAAGAATACTTGGGAAAGTGGGAAAACCAAATTTAAACTATTTCCAATTGTGCTCCACAAAGGATAAAATCCTTCCTAAGTTCAAACTAGCAGTCAAATATCTCTTTGGATGAACAAGCTGTTACCACACACATTAACAGAATATTTAGTTTTTCCATAAAAAGCTTCAAGAATTCACAAATTTATATTTTTTACTGCGCAGAACATGTGTGTGCCTAGGGGATCCAGAGTTTGTATGTCAGGAATGTAGTGTGTATAGGTGGTGCAGTGTATGTGTGTAGAGGATCTTGTGTGTAAAAGGCCCAGATTGTGTATAGGATATTGTGTGTTTGTGTGTGTGTGTATATAGGGTAAGGGATCTAGCGTGTATCGGGAGAGTAATGTGTGTAGTGGTGCAGTGTGAGGGATGCTGTAGTATATATATATATATATATATATATATATATATATACATACGTTTGGACGTATTGTATGTTTGAGAGGCGCAGTGTGTTGGACGTGCTGTGTGTATGTGTGAAGGGTGCAGCATGTGTGTGAGGGGTGCAGCGTGTGTGTAAGAGGGGTGCTGTGTGTGTGAGGGTGTTTTTATCTGCCGTCACATTCTATGTTTCTAATTTTCTTTGTCTGTTAACTCACTGAGGGTTACATATATATATTATATATATATATGTGTGTGTGTGTTGTTGTATGTGTGTCTGAGGGTGCTGTGTGTGTGTCTGAGGGTGATGTGTGTGTCTGAGGGTGATATGTGTGTATGAGGGTGCTGTGTTTGTGGGTGCTGTGTGTTTGTGAGGGTGCTGTTAGTGTGAGTGTGCTGTTAGTGTGCTGTTTGTGCGTGTGTGTGAGGGTGCTGTTAGTGTGATTGGGCTGTGTGTGTGTGAGAGGGTGCTGTTAGTGTGAGTGTGCTGTGTGTGTGTGAATATGTTTATTTAACCTCTTAAGGACACATGACATGTGTGACATGTCATGATTCCCTTTTATTCCAGAAATTTGGTCCTTAAGGGGTTAAATATGTATTAAATTTTTTTTTTATATATTCTCCCCTCTTATCTTTAGCCTGGGAGGGGGGGGGGAAGCCGTGCTGCCATGGAGGGGGCCATCCCTGGTGGGCCTGTAGGACCAGAGTTTACTTTCGCGAGAGCTGAGCGTTGCCGTGGTAACCGATCTCCCCACCGGGCGAGATCGTGTTCGGATAGCGCCGGCTCTGCATGAGCCGACAGGGAAAATCCTGTGATCTCCCCTGATGGCCAGTCCGGACCTGTCCCGCTGCCAATTTGCTTAGTTTAAAGTATCCTCCAACCATCTAGCTAGAGATAGATTAAGGTTGCCCTGGGCCCTAGGCAGGATGCCAGATTAGGGTTCCTCATGGAGCCTGTTACCATAGCACATGGGACAGGTTGTATCTCAGAAAATACTACATAAGATGTCCTCATAATAAGCTTAATGCATATTTTAGATGGAATATGAAAGTTCAAAACATATGCATGCCAATGGGCCACTGCACTGTAAACCATTCCCTACCTCAGAGGAAATCCATGAGAATTCTCAGTTTATTTGCTGGGGCATCCTTTTACTCACAAGTTTTGCAATTCACTGCAAAACTGCTTATTGCATTGTTATTCCATTTGGTACCCCAAACATTGACCCCCTGATCTTCTCACCTCCTGATTTTGTCTGCCAAACATTGACCATGGTATCTTCTTACTGTGTGAGTATTGTAAGCACTGTGTGAGACATTACTATTATTTTTGTTCCCTGTATTTCTCCCCAGCGTCAGTGTGTAGAATACGCTTTGAAGGCTCAGCCCTTGCGCAGATACATTCCCAAGCAGAAATACCAATACAAGGTCTGGTACATGGTGAACTCTACTGGCTTCGAATACATCATGTTTGTTCTTATCCTTCTCAACACGATCGCACTTGCCATGCAGGTAAAATGCCGTTTGTATGCCTGTATATAGCAATACATGATAGACCCACTAATATGTGAAAAATGTATCCATCAACAGGAATCCAATGTTTAAAATGAACTGAAAAACCATATGTGATACCACACTCAAAATATAATGCAAAAAAACTTTATATTTATTTCACAAATTTTTAATTAGATATAGGTACTGCAATAGCAAGTGGTCATTTGCTCAACAGCGGAGCTGTTGCATACCTATATTGTTCACTTTCAAAATAGTAAGCAAAGGCACAATTGCATAACCAAAAGATAAGGAATAAATCACAAGGTGCATCGAAGTATACATATATTCAAAGTCCCAGCGTGTACACACTAAAAGAAACTAAAAAATCTTAATCCAAATGCCATGGTTCAAAGGAAGTCCCGTAATAGACAGCTCTCACCCCTCTCAGTAGGAATGTCCTCTTTAAATGTGCAGTCCAATATGTCTGGGCCCAGACATCCCTCACAGCAGCTTCCAGACACACAACGCTCAGACATCCCCTGCAAACTCCAGACATACCTTGAGGTTTGCAGCCTAGTCGAGCAAAGGGTGAGGTGAACGGCCGTGGCCTTACCTTTCTGCCACTTGCCACGTCGGAAGCGATGGCTGCGGGTCCTGTCCCCCCCCCTTCTCCCTTTTGACCGGCGGGGGTTATAACTGACTGCCCCACTTACCTCCGACATCCACAGGCGGCAGCTATTGTGTGGGCTCAGACCGCTACGCTTCCCATCAAAATGGTGGACGGACCAAACATGTTGCCATCTGAACCAGCCTTACTTGCTGAATTGGAACAACGCCTGGATGAGATTTTTACCCGCTTCTGGGCGCCACTCGAGGCGCGATACAAGGTTGCACTGGCACGGAGCTGGGAGGGAACACGAGATGAGCCTGTGGCGCAGGCACCCCCTTCGGGCGCAAGTACCCAACAAGCTACAGCTCCACGCAGACATGGCCCACCTAGGCTGAGGGCCAACAGGGGAAATCACCCACACCATCGGCCACGAAGGCAGAAGACCCTTCGCTGCAGGCGGCGTCAGAACACCTAGGGCTTTTGTCACATCCCATCCAGGAAGGACTTGGACTCTGCCACGAGCCCCCGAGTCCGTGGTCTCAAAGTGTGCGCCCTCCACACAGCCTGGGGCTGGAAGGATACCACATAGTGCCCTGGTAACTCCTCAGGGCTGCACTTGCCTGTTTCCGAGTCTTGGTGTGGGCAGAGCATCCTAACCTGGGGCCGGGACTGATAACATGTTGCCAGCCAATAATATAACCTACCGCCATGATCCTGCCTGTATATTGCATTTCTGCCATAAGCACAACCTACCAATGCCTACTCTTGCATACACATGATTATGCAAGCACCATAATTGTCTGAGTTTACCTAGCCCAGTTTCCTACAGTTGCAGGGAGGTGGGATTCAGTGGTTATCCTATCTTATACACCTAGTGAGGGGCACAACATGCAGACTCTTACCTAAGCACATAAATATCAATACTGTTATATGCTACTCGCACATGTGTTAAACAGCCACTACGCCTTACTTGCTAAGTCAGTCTACAGAGTTGATGACAATCTTGGGAGCCCTGCCTTCTCTTACTCTTAATGCAGTTTTTTTTTGTTATTTTCATTTTTTTTCAATTCTTTATTTTTGCGAGTTTTTGCATACAGTATAACATATTTCAGTGAGCAACAGGTTAAAGATTCTAACAGTACTTGCATACATTTGTCACCAAGCTGGGCCTACTCAGTTTTTAGTATTTTAGGGGCTTATGCACCCAGGCTGCCCTATAGGTGGTCCTAGGGCGTGTGGTTTGGGGGTGCTGGAGTTGGGCTGCATGCGCCTTGTGGCTAATTTGCTTCGCAGCTTGACACATAAGCTTTAATAGGGTGCTTAACTATGGTGTGTATAGGTATTGAGCTTTCTCAAAGCTGGGTCTATGTGTTCGCTTAGTAGTGCTGGTCCGGGAAATTGGGGTCATGCGCTGTATAGTCAGGGGTCTGCTAATTTTGCGCAGTGGTTTCGCTTAATAACCGTGTGCTGGGGGGACGACTTGGTATCTTTAAGTTAGAGCTACATCTAAGGCTTACGGAGCAAGTAAAATAAAAATATTGGCATTATATATAAACATTATTCAACATTAGTGGGGAACGACAGTTATTGAACTTTGTGAGGAGTATTGTGTGTAGGATGATGCACAGGTAAGTTCAGTCCCCAAGTTCAAGGTGGCAGTTCCACTGCCGCATGTGCTTCCCCTCTGGGCACAAATGGGGTGATGTTGGCTATGTTCCAAGCCGGGTGGCCTCCCGTCGGCGTCTTTGTCGCTGTCAGGCCGAGGGCTTGCAGGAAGGTTGACGCCTCGTTAGGGTGCGATATTGTGTGGGTCTTCCCCACTTTGTCAGCGAGTAATTGGCTTTGTCCTCTAAGTTGGCAAGCTGAGCCTGATGGTCGGCGCACTGCTTCTGCAGGGCACCAATGGCTGCATCTGTGGCTGACTGTGCAAGCTTGTGTTCTCTTCCACTGTGTCCATGCGTGTGGTAAGGGTGGAGACTGCCTCTTTAATTGGCGCCAGGTCTGCCTTGAACATAGCTTGGATCTCTGACATTGCAGGCTGTTTTGTTTACATATGCACAACAAAAATAAAGTTTTACAAAAAAAAGAAACATTTGTGAAATAAATATAAAGTTTTTTTGCATCATATTTTGAGTGTGGTATCACATATATATTTTTATATATCTATCTAAGGTGTATTTGTGGGCTACCTGGATACCAGCACCACTATAGATGGGAGAGTGCCAATACATATGGTAATATTTTAAAATGAACTGGGCTTTACGCCACCATGAACACTGACCAACGCAGTCTTCCTTCACTGTAGCAATACAACAGAACAAAGTTCAGCAACTTTATTAGCAATAATCCAAGCAAGGAAATCTCTCAAAATGCAATTATTTTTATTATAACACTTATGGAGTTAAAATAAAATTCCAGGTTGCTCAGCTCACAAAATTTAGTGAAAAGGGTAACCACAAGACACTCTGTATGTGTTTTCAATTATACAGTGCTTTGTCAAGGATGAAAGGCGCATACAGTGTACAGAGGTTGTCTTTAGCGCTGTCTCTTGTTATCTTAGCTTTGTGGAATTTGATTTTAACCAACATGTGGGATCATAAAATGTTCAGATTTTCAAAGTGTGCGGTTATTTTATAGCTATAACAACAGATAAGGAGGTCAGCGCAAAAAGTATGTTAACAGGAAAGGGGCTAAAATATAATAATTATGGCATGTGTGCATCAGTCTGTGTATTTATGTGTGTGTCAGTGTATCTATATGTATATAGATGTGTGAATGTTTCAGTGCGTGTATATTTATGTATGTGAGTATGTGTGAATGTGTCAGTGTGTGTGTATATGTTTGTCTCTCAAAGTATATGTGTATCTGTGTAAGTATGTATGTATGTATGTATGTGGCAGTGTATGCATATACGTGTATATTCCTGCAATCTTATGCAAACATTATATACAAATGCACCCCTGCATTCAAATACCAACACTACAAACAAATGTAAACCTGCATTTAAAAGCCAACACTACATACAGACACACCCCTACACTCTAATCCAAGCCATATACACAAGTACACCACTGCATTCCAATGACAATAGTACAAACAAATACACCCCTACATGCACACAAACATATTCCTTTCAAAAACATGCTTACAGGGGGGGCGGGGCCTGACAGTGATGGCGACTGGATGCATTGCTCAGGTGTCTCCGACTTGGTTTGAGCCTCCTTGGCACTCTGATTCAGTTGACCGGCTCGGGGGAAGCTTCCAGCGGTCATTGACTTTGGTCTCAGCTGAGACTCGCCGAGTGAGAGGCCTGGTTAGCACTGCGGCAGGGAGAGGCGGACGATCTCCCAGCCCGACACGTGCTGACTCACCATACAGCTAATGCTAGCTGTGCTTCCCCCTTTTGGACCAGTGGGGGTGATCCCGGTCCCCACCCTAGGGGTCCCTGCTCTCTGAGGGAAACAGGTAGGACTGCCATGACACATGACAATACTGAGAGCAACATAGCTACAATGGTGGAGACCACGTGTTCCTCAAAGCACCAAGGAGTGTGGTCCAGAGTAATGTCTCGGTTAGATGCTCTCTTCGATCAATTCTAGGACACACTAAAACTAGGTTCCTTTAGACGACCCCTCAAGCCCAACTACCATGCTTATCTGCAAAGTTCATCAAGGGCCCCAGTAGCCAGCGAGTGGCAGCAGATTCAATGACTGCATGCCTCAGGAGGCGCAGACCGAATCGACAAGTTCCAAGGAAAGCAAGTCACTAATCTGTTCGCAATATGCGATCCGAATGTTTAAAATGTAGATCCTCAAATGTTTTAAAACTACAGCTTCCATGATGCTTTACAGTGAGGAAAAAAGTATTCGATCCCCTGCTGATCTTGAATGTTTGTCCACTGACAAAGAATTCTGTCTTCTGTCTCTCACTGTTAAAATACACCTACCATTAAAATTATAGACTGATCATTTCTTTGTCAATGGACAAATGTTCAAAATCATCAGGGGATCAAAGGTTGCCTATCCCTGGTATAGAGTGAGTGCAACAATGTATGTTTGTTGCAGTGTGAGTAGTATGTGTAGCTGTGTGTGTTTGTGTAACAGTGTGGATAGTTGCAGTATGTATCAAATAGAATATTAAAAAAAATAAAAAATAAATGAAAGGAGCTATCCCATTCCTCCCCCGGGGTGGGCATAACCCACAATGTAAATAGTGTGTGGCAGGCACTCCAAAACAAATTTCAAATTTTGGTGCCAGGCTGTGGTCACTGGTCACCTGGATCCACAGTTATAGGAAACATAAAAAATTCAGGTGGTTTATAAAGCCATCAAAGTGAAATGGCCTTTAATTGGAATTAATTGCTGAGTGCTGAGGTCCTTTATCTTATGTTCGTTCATAACCCACAAAGACATTAATAATCAGCCAAAAATTAAACAAAAAGGAAAACGAGGAGGAGGGGAATTGGATCATACTTAGATAATGTACCCCTACTCCTTATATATTGAGTGCTTTCTCTAATAATTATGACAGCTCTTAGAATGTACTCTTGATGCATATATGGACTTCCAATGTCCTTACTTCACTGATTGGTGCATACTGTCCTTTTGCCAGGAACCCTCTTTTTTTTAATACATCTTGTAATGTTCTTGACAAAGAAGATTAAATATAGATTCCTGGCACAAGGACATTGTGCATTGAAAGTCCAGATTGGAGACTACGAAATTTGGAATTCCATTGTTGGCCATGCTATTCTATTTAGTATTCATTTCTACTGTGATCGCTTGGGTACCGTAGAAATAACTGACATACATATATATTGAAATGTTGTAATTACTTTCCCTTTTATTATGTATGTATTCTTTGTTTTTGTGTTTTTTTCCCCAGCATTATGAACAGTCAAAGCCATTTAATTATGCTATGGATATCTTAAACATGGTGTTCACTGGACTCTTCACAGTGGAAATGGTTCTGAAACTTATTGCATTCAGACCCAAGGTCAGTTTGTGTTGTTTTTCTCTATTTTGGTCTGTTCCTGCTCAATGTATTTATCTCCACTCTTTTCCTGTCCTGTGTCTTACTCGTTCTCTAATCAGACTAACGGAAAAGGGAGCAGTTTTGCAGAAATTTGTTAAAGGGATTATCACTTTAAAAAAAAAAAAAGAGATTTTTTAACACAAGATAATTATTTTATTAATAAATACATTTTTGTTTTATAAAATATGGGCATTCCTGATAATATTTCAAACACATTCTTGAAATACAATGTAAAAGGAAGGAAGCAACCTGCGACATGAATACCCCAAAAAATGAAAACCAAAAAAGAATTTCTCTCTCTCGAAAAATTGTCAAAAAAATAAAACAAAAACAAAAAGTCTGTTGGAATATCTGCAATATGCCTGAATGAAATTTGAAAGGTTTATTCAAACATTGGGCCATAATCGCCTAACTGAAATGATAACTAAGTTGGAGAATATACAGTGATCAGCCACAACATTAAAACCACTGACAGGTGAAGTGAATAACATTGATTGTGTCGTTACAATAGCACCTATCAAGGGGTGGGATACAGTAAAGTAGAGAGGGCACTGGTGCAAGAATATTTTGGGCCCCCGCTATATCGCAAGGAGAGCCAAAAAGGTAGATTCCCATTTGTCGTACAACTCCCATAATGCTTTGCCAGCCAGGGATCTACCATTTGCCCTTCCTTGCATGGTTAGATCTAGTACTGAGCAGTTTTTGTGTGTTCGAATGTAAGCATGTTTTGTATGGAGTATATGTGTTTGGATGTAGGGGTGTATTTTTGTGTACTTTTGTCATTTGAAAGCAGTGATTTACTTGTGGGGTGTTTGCCTTTGAATGTAGGTGTGGGTCTGTATGTAGTTTTGACATTTGACTGCAGGGGTGTCTTTGTTTGTGTATGTAGTGTTGGAGTTTGAATGCTGAGATGTAAGCACATATACATATGCACTACCACACACACACACACTGAAACATACACACACATATAAACACACAGACACACATGCAGGAACAGACACATACAGATCCACAGGTACAGACATGCAGATACACACACTGGCACACATACAGATACACAGACACACATGCTAACACACATGCAGATACACACACACAAAGATACACACAATGGCACTCAAATACAAACACTGACATACATATGCACACACTGACTCACAGGTACACAGACATGTAGATAGATACACAGACACACAAACAAACATACAGATACACAGATAGACACACAAATACACAGATAGGTACAGACACACAAACAGATACACAGATAGACACACAGGCACACAGATAGATACACAGATACACATACAGACACACACACAGTTAAATACATAGGCACACAAACGTGCAAATTTATAGCCACCCTCATGTTTCCTACCTTTTGGGTGCAGGAGGCTGGCTTTCATGGGGTCCAGTCCAGACTTTTGAGAGTCAGAAAAAAACAATACAGAATATAACAAAGGGACAAACTGCACCCACACAGTGTCATTTATAAATCCAATACCGATATAAATTAATATAGTTACATATACTTCTTTGAAGTCAGTTAGTGCAAAGTAACCTTGATTGGTAATATAACCTCAAAAGACAAGAAAGAGTAACAAATAGTGCAATATGTCACTTATATTGGCCGTGCTTGTGAAACGGTGTATAGAGTACTAACTCACACTTTACTGAGCTTCTCAGAGCTCAGCTTTGTGTCGCCTGGACGGTACAATCCCGTCTTAAGATATGTGGAGCTTTGTTATAGTTGACGTCCAATATATATAAGGGAAATAAAACAGGAAAAGGCTTATGGTGCAGTATATTATTACACAATGTGAATGATAAAAGTGGTATCCTACTTAAAATTTCCAGAGCAATGACTTGCTCTGATTGGAGGAGCGTTGGTGGTATTATCCCAACCTGGGATTTGCAGGATATGAATAGACCAGAAAATATGATGACAAGTTAAAATATAAAAATATATTTTTTTAAAAGGTAATATATACAGTATGTCACAAAAGTGAGTACACCCCTCACATTTTGGTAAATATTTTATTATATCTTTTCATGTGACAACACTATAGAAATTACACTCTGCTACAATGTAAAGTAGTAAGTGTACAGCCTGTATAACAGTGTAAATTTGCTCTCCCCTCAAAATAACTCCACACACAGCCATTAATGTCTAAACCGTTGGCAACAAAAGTGAGTAGACCCCTAAGTGGAAATGTCCAAATTGGGCCCAATTAGCCATTTCCCCTCCCCGGTGTCATGTGACTCATTAGTGTTACAAGGTCTCAGGTGTGAATGGGGAGCAGGTGTGTTAAATTTGGTGTGTTAAATTTGGTGTTATCGCTTTCACACTCTCTCAGACTGGTCACTGTACAAGTTCAATATGGCACCTCATTGCAAAGAACTCTCTGAGGATCTGAAAAAAAATCTGAAAAAAAATTGTTGCTCTACATAAAGATGGCCGAGGCTATAAGAAGATTGCCAAGACCCTGAAACTGAGCTGCAGCACGGTGGGCAAGACCATACAGCGGTTTCACTCAGGTTCCTCTCAGAACAGGCCTCGCCATGGTCGACCAAAGAAGTTGAGTGCACGTGCTCAGCATCATATCCAGAGGTTGTCTTTGGACATATGAGTGCTGCCAGCATTGCTGCAGAGGTTGAAGGGGTGGGGGGTCAGCCTGTCAGTGCTCGGAGCATACGCCGCACACTGCATCAAATTAGTCTGCATGGCCCCTGTCCCAGAAGGAAGCCTCTTCTAAAGATGATGCACAAGAAAGCCCTCAAGCAGTTTACTGAAGACAAGCAGACTAAGGACATGGATTACTGGAACCATGTCCTGTGGTCTGATGAGACCAAGATAAACGTATTTGGTTCAGATGGTGTCAAGCATATGTGGCGGCAACCAGGTGAGGAGTACAAAGACAAGTGTGTCTTGCCTACAGTCAAGCGTGGGAGTGTCATGGTCTGTGCCTGTATAAGTGCTGCTGGCACTGGGGAGCTACAGTTCATTGAGGGAACCACGAATGCCAACATGTACTCTGACATACTGAAGCAGAGCATGATTTATTTTTGCTTCCTTCTGGCTTCTTTCACCCTTTCTCGTGTCTGCTTTTGTCCTATTCTTTTTCTGCCTTAATCCTGCTATATCTGTGTTTTCATCCTGTACGGACTTTCACTCTGTTTAATTTCTGCATCCACCCAGCTCTTTCAGCCTCTGATTTGCTCTTGTCCTGATCAACTGTTTCGGGTTTCACCAAGGAAGGGCTGGCAACCTTTGGCCTTGGGGGCGAGTGGCAAATTGCCATTTTTTGCACAAAAACCTTACAGATCTCTGTGTAGATGGTTCTGCTCATACTGTGCTGATGATTTATGGGTTTGAGGTGCGATGTCTGACATCATACACCCTGCAACCTCCAATATTGTGTCCTGTGCAGCATGAAGAAGCATTCACAGAGACTTGTACATGACTATGATACAGACTCTGTTTCCTGTCACCCTTTAGACATCGATGTCTCATCTCACCCCACAGCTACTTGCAAACACCTCCACACCATACACACTAATCATAGACTGACAGCCGGGTATCCTGGGATATATCCCCGTAGGAGAGTCATTGCTGGAGATCACTGAGATTATAGGCCACCAGCCCGAGCACAAACCCACCCTTTCACCTACTTCTATACTTGCTGTCCTTTATGTTACTCTGCTTTTACCCTTTTAGATGATTTTATTCTGTTCTGTCTCTGCATTCACCGTGTTCTATATTAGCTTTCCATCTGTTTAATCCCTGCTCTTACACTTTTTTTCTCTCTCCAAATATATTCAGATCTGTCTCTGCTTTCATCCTATTCTTTCTATCATTACTGTTATTCTGTTCTTTCTGCTTTGGTTTTGTTCTTTGTGTCCCTGCTTTCTTTCGGCGGTAGGGGTCGATTGTCGCACACTTTCTTCTCTGCTTCTTCTTTTATCTAGCCTTCTCAGTTGATTCCTGCTTTTTCTTCCTTTTTTTCTATCGGTTTCTCTGTAATGTGTCTTACCTAGATGTACTGTGATTTATCTCTCTTTTCCACGCAGCATTACTTCTGTGATGCTTGGAACACGTTTGATGCCCTCATCGTTGTTGGCAGCCTGGTGGATATTGCAGTCACGGAGGTCAATGTAAGTCCACATTTGGTAGTAATGAAAACATGCATTGTTATCGTTATGAGTAAAGTGAGCTATTCCATCTTATTTCTGGTAGTGTAATATGTATTACCATTTAACATGATAGGCTTGACAAGCCTCATGAATCATTTTATACAGTTTTCATCTACTCAAAAATGCACTTTTCCAAAAAGGGTTGCAGCAATTAATCAAAATAAAAGTAAATTAATAATCATGCTTTGCATAACCCATGCTCTTAAACTCCCACTACTGGTATCAGCTCAAATAAATAAACAAAAAAAGGTTTGCGGGTAGATTTTTTTTTTTTTTTTTTAATTCTATTTTGACTATTTATTTAATTCACACTAGGTTTTGTATCTTTTTATTGCTTGATGAAGTGTACATTGTTAGACACAAGGCTGTCATATATAGCAAATCTAGCAATTTTATTAAACGTAACCCAATACACTACGTTTTTAGAATTATAGAATTTTCAAAGACCCCTGACGGTTACATCACTGTTGGCCGGGAGAGGGGCAGGAAAAAGGTGAGTTCTACTTACCTGAACCTGTCCCTCGCGGGTGCCAACATCTTCTTCTTGCAGTTCCTCTTCGCCAGGAGCACGCCCAAGACGTCACTTCTGTACATGCTCAAGAGAAGAGCATTGTGGCCTATGGATCCTCCATAGATAGGGCCAATTTTCCTGCAGCCATCACTGGTGACGGCTGGGGTATTAACACTTCTTGACAGCGGTAGTGCCGCCCAGTGTCTGAGAAAGTCAGGCGTACAAATATATATAGGACAAAGTAGTCCCTGTTTTGTCTTATCTTTTTAGTTAGAAATAGATGAAAAAACTAGAAAGAGAAAGACAGAGAAGGAAAGAGGAATCGATTGGGAAAATTGCCTCTGGATTACAGGTAGGTATGGAGTAACAGTGCCACTTTAAAGGATCACTATAGGGTCAGGAACACAAACATGTATTCCAGGCCCTATAGTGTTAAAACCACTATCTAGCCCCCCTGGGCCCATCATGCCTCCATAAATATAGTAAAAAAATCTTACTGTATTCAAGCCTGAAACTGTAACTCTGCATGCTGTTAGACTCAGAAAAACAAGCATTCTGCTGACATCATTAGAAGTGGTGGCCTGGTCCAATCACAGTGCTTCCCCATAGGATTGGCTGAGACTGACAAGGAGGCAAATCAGGGGCAGAGCCAGCATGATTCAAACACAGCCCTGGCCAATCAGCATCTCCTTGTAGAGATGAATTGAATCAATGAATCTCTATGAGGAAAGTTCAGTGTCTGCATGCAGAGGGAGGAGACAATGAATGTTTGGATGCATTTTAGGCAGCCATGACCCAGGAATGATCTCTAACAGCCATCTGAGGAGTGGCCAGTGAAGTTATCACTAGGCTGTAATGTAAACACTGCATTTTCTATGAAAAGACAGTGTTTACAGCAAAAAGCCTGAAGGTAATGATTCTACTCACCAGAACAAATTCAATAAGCGGTAGTTCTTCTGGTGACTATAGTGTCCCTTAAACGTGAATCTTTAGTTTAAATATCTCAATAACAACAATCAGTTAGCATCTATCTGATTCACTGTCACAATGCCGGTATTACCACTTTGTTTCAACGGGGTGCTTTTTTATACAGTTTTAACTTTATAGGAGAGATAGGTAACGTCACTACAAATGTTGTGGATTACAACTCTCATGATGTTCAGCCATCTAAAGTGATTAGATGGGCACCATGGAGGTGGTAGTACATTTCCTCTAACACACCAAAGGGTACCTATCAAATTACAATATTTTATGTAGAGCCAACATACTGTGTAATGGGCAGGGACAGCGTGTAGGTGCGGCAATCACACAGTAAAGTGCTCTGTAATGTGTGAGCTGGGAAATCCCTCTGCTGATGTCAGTACTGACAGCAGCAGTGGGAATGCCACTAAGTTAGGGGTAAGATTAGTGTAAGATTAGAGTTAAGGTTACCTTTCTGTTTCTTCATTCCTAGTGTAGGGTAATGGTTAAAGGGTTACTGTAATCACCATGACCACTTCTGCTTAGAACACTACACAAACTAAGGCATTTGCACTAATCAATTAATCTATTTTGAGTTTTTTTTTCCCTTTAATTGCACTTGAAGTGTCAATTATTATTAGCAAAACAGTGAACAAGTGTGCGTGCTTTTTCCCATTTCCCCCCCCCATATTTAAAATTGTATTCATACTTAATGTTGTGTTTGATATACTTGTAGGGCATTAAAAGAAAGCCATTTCTATTCTCTAATAAAACAATATATAATATGTATGAGTACACGGAAATTATGGTGGAACGAACACATAGCACAAATTCTAAGTTTTGTTTTTGTTCATAAGTTGGACAATTGACTCCTTCCTTAAGGTGTTAAACAATGTCTAGATACTTTACTGGAAAATTTAGTGTTTTACGATATAATAGATAATATATAAGTAGCCTGTGTAATAGACTCAGACGTTTGTTTGTTTTTTTCTGTTTCGTGGCAAAACTGGGAATCTCTTCAAAGTGGGTTTATTGCTAGTATTTCGGCTTATATTACTATATCATAAGGTAATCGTTTAGAGAGACAGTAAGAAGCAAAAGAACAGAAATACAATCCTGCCCCGACAGGTATCTCATATTATAGAGATTATTGTGCAGTTGCCCCACCTATACTTCCCAATGTTATGTCTCACATAGCTGAGCTGACTCTGTGACATGCATTCACAGGCAAGTCACATTCAGCCAAACGCACATTAACAGGTGAGCTAGCATGCATATCCTAATTAGTTAATCTAGAACTGACCCACAGACAAACTAACATTGTCCTGCAGGAAAACTGAACTTTAACATCATGTGTACCTATAACTAAATCAATTACATGTATAGCCCTGTAACATGTTGTTTCTAAAGTTTAATGGCTCTCTTTTGGATAGTAAACTGAATATATTGTTTGCTTGTCTGTGAGCAGCTTCAAAATACCAATATAATACTATAACAATCATAATCAAACTTAGGGTTCATTGCTCCTTGTATTGTTCTCGTATTGTTTTTCTTGTTAAAAGTAACCGCCTGCGTTGCAGCAGTTAATACAAGTTGTCCCATCATATGGTAAATTATGACTCCACTAGGTTCATTCAAAATAGAGATAAAATGCTGTCTAGGATATAGGGGGACAGGTGAAAGCATCTTCGCAATAATCACAAAGTATTAAACATTTACTTAGGAACAACAACAACAAAACCAGTATCATTATTAAAATCAGGGAATGTTCACGCAGGCTTTCAGGCTGAATACGTAAGCCCGGTGATTCTTTTTCTTGTATGTTGTTCGTTTGTTTGTACAAATTTAATAAACCTTCATCTTGAAAATGTAAATACAATAAAATGTCTTCTGTAAAGTGTCTCATACAATGTATAGGGTCTGACATGTCTGGAAAGGTTTGTCGCAGATGTTATTGAAAAACCTATCCCTGTTTCTTTGTCAAATGCATACGTGGAACCATCGTCATCATCTTCATCTTCATCATGACATTATGGTCCATTCCATCTCCTTCTTCGGTCTGTCTGTTATATGTAGAATGGATGGCATGTTGGAGAGGTATGTAGTAACATGCAGAGGTACCTTTTTATGGAGAGACAATGAGACTCTAATTTCATTGTACACTTTATTGCTATCCAATGTAAATTATTTTAATGCCCCTCTGTCACTTGCAAATAGATGGATGTAGGGCACTTATTACTCGATAAGTTGTCTATAGCAAAAATATACAGCCACCAATGCTAAGATTTATTCCCCAAAGCAAGACATTTACATCTATTACCCTTTCTGTTTATTCATTTACTTATATTTCCTTTTGGTTCTTCGCCTTCTCAACAGAGTTCGGAGGATAGCTCCAGAATTTCCATTACCTTTTTCCGGCTCTTCCGTGTTATGCGTTTGGTAAAACTGCTCAGTAAAGGAGAAGGTATTAGGACATTACTGTGGACATTCATCAAATCCTTTCAGGTAAAGTATTTAAGAAAACTCCTGAAAAAATGAGGGCAGAAGGGCATATGGGTAAACTTTCTGGGTTTAGACTGGAAACTCTAGCATTAACTGTTCACTGCTATTTCTCCAGTTAAAGCCCCTCTACTCTGCGGGTGGGGGGAGGGAGAGGGCGTAGGGGTAGTTTAACTTATTACCAACCTAGCTCTTTTACTGGCTCACCAATTTTTAGTCAAGGCCAACATTTTAATTTGTGGGGGACACTTCTTTTCTAACCCCAAATAAGGAACAGGAAGACCTCAAAGCCCAGATATTCCCACCATTCACATAATGTGCTGTTTTGTCACTTGACATACCAGTACAGCAGCCACGTTGGGCTTATATGCTGTGAGCCCAATGATGGCTGGTCTTTGGTGGCCTAGCATGACATCAAAATTAAATGTACACATCATGTACACTCAGAAAAAAGTAGATATACCAGAGTAAAGTTGACTGTATTAGAAAAATCCTGGGTCCCGCATTTTAGTACTGTAAATCTGAAATTCTAAGATAAATTCCCATTTTAGTTAGTAGGCCATCAACTTGGAACTGCTCCGGTAACATGGCTCTTGAGACAAAAGTCCTAAATCTCTTAAGTGATTGGGAATGATGATGACATGTGATCATTGTCAACTGGAAAGCCTGAAGTTAGACCTTTAAAACCTATCGGATAACTTGCACCTGACTTTTTAAATGTTTCACCTCTATCTTTCTGTCTTTTCTTCCAGGCTTTGCCATATGTAGCCCTGCTCATCGCTATGATATTTTTTATCTATGCTGTAATTGGCATGCAGGTAAGCTATATTTGTGCAAGTCCTGTAAACTGTGACATTTAAATAATGGCAGAGATGTTTGAGTGCTACATCTACCAGAGTTCTCACACACCCAAAAGCATATAAGGCAACTTGAGGAACATGCACCAAAATGGTCACGTTGTCTGAACTGCCTAGCACTGTCCATGTAATTGCTGCAATGAATGATGATCAAGAGATCTCAAGAGATCACCAATGGTACAGATGTCTCTCTTCTGAAATTTCTCTATTGCATTGGTGTAGAATGAGAACATTGAAACATGACATTACATACATCCATCATTAAATGGATCAAGAAATATTGGAAGCATAGAGATGGGAGACTGGTCAAACATTCCTTGTAGACCATTACACTTTACAAAAGAAAATGTTGTGTGTAGGTCTCTACTTACTGGGTTACTCAGTTGCCACGTCAATAAGGGTATTCACTCAAGCGTGAATTGTTGGGAATTCAGTTCAGTGAATTGAAATTGAATTTTAAATTTTAGGGCTCGGTTGACAAATTAAAAAGATTCTCCAAGTCAGCTATGTTTTCATCTAAACTATTTTGACCTAAGATTTTAATTATACTTTGAATTCACAGTGATTTACCAACAATTCAATCTAATTCTTTCCATATATATATATATATCCATGAATTGCGAGAATAAAAATAACTGTTTTGTATTTCTATGTGTAGACATTTGGTAAAATTGCTATGCAAGATGGGACTCAGATCAACAGAAATAACAACTTCCAAACTTTTCCCCAAGCCGTACTGCTCCTTTTCCGGTATGTATGACCTCCGCAGGATGGTATTATATTGTGTGCATACTATAATATTGTACTATAATATTGTAAGGTTTTATTTACTAAACCGTGAATTACGAACTGAATTTTAAAATTTAGGCTAATAGCTGATTTGGACAAAAGTATCTTACTTGACTACAATTATAGCTTTTGCAATTCAATTCTCAATTCTTTAGAATTCACTGTTCACTCTAAAGAGACAATAAGCAATAACCATTCTGTCTGCAGTCTATTTGTGATAAAAATGTTCTATTCTAAATACATCTATATATCCTCCAACATCTTTACACATACCATCTCCGCTTGTTATGTGAATCTACTACTCTCCTATAAAAAGGAAAAATAAAATACTATACAACTAGAAGTGTCCCTCAAAACAACACTTCTAAGATATCTCATACAATAGCATACAAAGTATATATAAATAGCACACACGCATAATTATACAAATAGACACTAGAAAAACATGGCAAACGTAAATGGATTGGTGTTTGCAAAGTTAAACGTTTACAAATTGCCCTCCTAGGTGTGCTACTGGGGAGGCTTGGCAGGAGATCATGTTGGCCAGTCTGCCCGGCAAGAGATGTGACATTGAATCTGACTTTGCTCCTGATGAGGAATTTACCTGCGGGAGTAACTTCGCCATTGTGTATTTCATCAGCTTCTTCATGCTCTGCGCCTTTCTGGTGAGTATGGAAAATAAGGGATTTTAAGACTTTTTGTGCGTTTACATTAATACAGTACAATAAAAAAAAAGAAAGAAAAAAGAGAGAGAGAAAAGATACTAGCAGCATTATCACCACTCATGTGGACATTCTGTGGTGAAATGCAGATTAAATTAATAGGTTTTTTTTAAGGGAGGGAACTTTATTTTAATACCCATGAGTGGTATATTTTATGGTAGTGTATTTTAGTGTGGGTCCTAGAGTCCTGAGAAATCTTGGTGTACCTCCACTGGTCCATAGTTATGTCTGTGGTTCAAGATTTTGCTGGCAATCATTTTTCTGTGATTGCCGACATGCAGTAAAACTATTTCTTCTGTCCAGATCATAAACTTGTTTGTGGCTGTCATCATGGATAACTTTGATTACCTCACAAGGGATTGGTCCATCCTTGGCCCCCATCATCTGGATGAGTTTAAGAGAATCTGGTCTGAGTATGACCCAGAAGCCAAGTAAGTACCATCACAAAAACCTCTGCCATTATTTTTGCTAGCTTACAATGCCACCTATCAGTTTAACATTATCAATATATCTAATCATTGTTAACACCTTTTGACATTAACTTATAATTACCTGCAGTGTATTAACTCAGAATCCCCCCCCTTGCATTGTATCATCGCTACTCAAAGAGATTCTAGAACCATTACCTTGCGATCCTCGCAGTGCTACAAACTAATATTTGTTACTATTACAATTTTCCTGTAATCAACATTTCTTCTCTTTCTCATTACAACACCCCATTTCTTTGACAATTATATCCAGCATGAGCATATCACTCTCATCCCATTTCAACCCCCCCATCACTCTAATTGACATCACCGCCCTGTTGTCCACAGGTCTTTTATCTCCAGGCATTCGTTCACAAACACCATCATCTCAGGATCTTCATATGATAATGGTTGCCTTTATGATACAGATGAGAGATTAATAGCAATTTGCATTATGTTCCCAGGGGCCGTATCAAACACTTGGACGTAGTTACCTTACTGCGCAGGATTCAGCCTCCTCTTGGGTTTGGCAAACTTTGCCCACATCGTGTAGCGTGTAAGGTGAGAGTTGTAGAACAAACTGTGTGGTGTAAATCACCTCTGTCCTGGTCTTCTAAGTCACTGGTTTTGTTTCAATCCCTTCACTTTGCTCCCTATAGTAAGTGCAGATGAACTTGAGAGACTATTTATGGTCCCCTTTATTTGTCAGGTGGCCACCAAGTCCACCCTGCTTCTTGCTAACTGCCAGGTTAGATGGGTACCATGTTAGCTTCTGATTTCTGGCCCCTTGTTCCTAAACCCATTGTCCCAGGGCAATCCATACCCCAGAACCCTTACACCAAGGCCGTCCTTCAAATCGTTTTTGACAATGGGTATTCCAGGGTCGTTTTCTATGTCATTTGCATTGCTTTTACTGAGCTGTCTCCATTGTATGATTTGGTTACACCAGTTTGCAGTTCTTTCACGTAATCGGTAAAGCATTGAGTCCTTGCCTATGTGTTCATCCCTTGCTTTTCCAGTAGAGTCTTCGGTTCTACTTATGCTCTTTTGTTTTATGTTGACCATCCTAGTCCTTGCTGCTGGAACTATTAGTTATCCTTTTGTTCTGATTAACAAGCCTCCTAATCTTTGCTTTACTGAGTCTTCTCTTATTTGACCTGTTTTGCCTATGGTAGGTTATGTCAATATTCAACCATTATTTTTTGTATCACTTGTGTGACCTCTCCTAAAAAAAACTCTGGTTATCTGCCTGGTGATTCCCATGTTAACCCTTTCCTTGCTGGTGTTCTCTTGCACTCATGCTAATGTGTTACAAGTCACAAGAATAGTTCAATCTATTTGTTATACCTCATACTTATCTACCTTTCCATTAGAATATCACCAGGGGCGGGGTTTGCAGCCTAAGTCAGTGATGAACTAAAATAAATATATAGAATTCCACATGTATAAAGAACTTGGAGAGTTGGATTTTCCCCTTTGTGTTTTCAATTTGAAAAATTATCTTAACCCCTTAAGGACCAAACTTCTGGAATAAAAGGGAATCATGACATGTCACACATGTCATGTGTCCTTAAGGGGTTAAATATAGTCAGGTTCTCTACTCTGCATTTTAGAAAATGGATTCCTGAACAGCATTTCAGCTACTTGAATATAACTTACTGTTTCAATAAAAGCATGACTGTCTCTGTGTTCTCTCTATTTACTGGAGGAGAATTTATGTAAATAGTAAATAAGTTTATGGCATGTATTATATATATTATAGTATTTATCATGCAGGCGCAGCCTAATATACTGGCCCGGCAAGGAGATCAAAATATCTTTCTTACTGGCAATCTGTTGCCTCTCTGTGAGGCTGTGACAAAGTGTGGGGAATATGACTTTAAATGACAATTCTTGTTGTTATTATAAAAATCCTGCATGCATGTAATGAAAATATCCCTCTGCCATATTTATGCATCTTCAGTCGGACTGAGGGAGAATCCAACCGTTAGGCCCCTGCCTCACTCCCTGCACAGAGCAGTGATGTGATCAGCCATCGCCCTTTGTGGTCTGCCCGGTGCTAATTCTGACCGCATTGGTAATTCTCAGATTTACTTTTGCCAAATGCGGTCAAAATTCGCTCAGTCTGACTCATCCTGTAATATTAGTCCAAATGAGGAAATCGATGTTTTTCTAAAATTATCCGAACCAATATAAAGCACCAGAATCGCAAATTATCATTTACTTGCTATTTGCCACCATCAGCAGGCAAATAGTTCTTCAAATGATCATTCACCTGCAAATAGCAGTAACGTTAAAATATAACATTAACGAACCGCACAATAATACAATGCATGTAGATGTATTCACTAAACTCTGAATTGTAGCAAATTTATATTCAAATTGCAAAATTAAGGCTAAAATATCAAAATTGGGGCTATAGTGGATTTGAAAAATATCTCCAAATCAGCTATGCTTGCCTTGAATTGTCAATTTAATTTTAATTTGACACAATTTGTAGTTTGGTTAATAACACTGACAGTCATTGTAGATCCGTTTTTAAAAATAAATTATATATATATTTAAAGGGACACTATAGTCACCTGAACAACTTTAGCTTAATGAAGCAGTTTTGGTGTATAGAACATGCCCCTGCAGCCTCACTGCTCAATCCTCTGCCATTTAGGAGTTAAATCCCTTTGTTTATGAACCCTAGTCACACCTCCCTGCATGTGACTTGCACAGCCTTCCATAAACACTTCCTGTAAAGAGAGCCCTATTTAGGCTTTCTTTATTGCAAGTTCTGTTTAATTAAGATTTTCTTATCCCCTGCTATGTTAATAGCTTGCTAGACCCTGCAAGAGCCTCCTGTATGTGATTAAAGTTCAATTTAGAGATTGAGATACAATTATTTAAGGTAAATTACCTCTGTTTGAAAGTGAAACCAGTTTTTTTTTTCATGCAGACTCTGTCAATCATAGCCAGGGGAGGTGTGGCTAGGGCTGCATAAACAGAAACAACGTGATTTAACTCCTAAATGACAGTGAATTGAGCAGTGAAATTGCAGGGGAATGATCTATACACTAAAACTGCTTTATTCCGCTAAAGTAATTTAGGGGACTATAGTGTTCCTTTAAATGTCCATTGCCAAGTCTTCTGAAAGGCTATTGCGAGGCTTAGTGTATTAGCTAATGCCCTCAGCCTATTACGGGGGCATGGCTAAGCGGAGAAGGGAGGACACCAATGGACAGTGGTGTCGGGTGCTAGAGTACCAACTTCAGGTTGCAAAATAATTTATATCCTGAAGGTAAGACTGCATCCAGACACTCCTACTACCATAACAACTTATACTTCACTTGTTACTAGGGTGTGAGTGCTGCTCCAAGTATTTAAAAAAATATAAACTTTATACAAAGTTAAAAATTACAGAAGGAAAGAATTCTGTGTGCACACCCTAATGAAGTGTGCAGCATAAACCCATGTTACATGGTGTTATCTCTGTGTTACTATAATATCTTTGTTATTGTCATGTATAACTTGTTGTAGCCATAAAGTGCTAACACGAATTAATAATGATGCAGGTTTTAGCACTTTGCATTATCTGGGTGGGAATGCCAGTCATGAATTATTAATGTTTTTCCTTTGTATACTGATCACTAGTACTGTTGCAAACAGTCCTTTTTTTCTCAATATAATTCCAACAGCAAGCTCTGTCTTTACTTAGTCTATTGCCCCAAGCAATGTCCCATTTATCCTCAGCTGCCACTATTCATGCTTACAGTTACAATCTGTCAATGGCTGGTCTTTTTTTAATGCCTTTTGGCCTACAATTCACAGGTGCCCCTACTACTCCCCTAAAAAGAAACAGTTCTCTTTTATTTGCTACACGAGTTGGACGGCATGCAAGAAAGTAGAGGAATACATCTCTCAAGATTGTACTGCGCCCACTGTCCCCCCTGTTATTCATCCTCTGCCTGGAGCCTCTCATCCGCCACATCAAACGACACACCGAGATAAAAGGTCTTAACACACCAGCAGGCGTACAAAAACTGACCCTATTCGCAGATGACATTCTGCTATTCATCACGCAACCTCTACAGTCCATCCCAACATTATTGTCCTTGTTATCACAGTACAGTCAGGTCTCGTACTATAAAAATAATTCCAACAAAACCCAGGTGCTCCCATTGGGACTGCCGGCCTCACTAATAATCAAGCTGAAAGCAGCATACCCCTTTGACTGGAGAAACACGTCCCTAAAATACCTGGGGATTAACCTGACTGCCTCCCCTGCGGGACTCACGCGGGAAAACCATTTACCACTAATGACCAAACTTCAAACACAGCTGGATAAATGGCACACACTCGAGGTCTCATGGATGGGCAGGGTGCAGACCATCAAAATGATGGTACTGCCGCATATACTGTATCTATTCCGCACCCTCCCTATTGCGCTCCCTGACACGCTCCTCAAGAAATTCCAATCCATAATTAACTCCCACATTTGGAAGAAAAAACCCCCGAGAATAGCACGCAGACTCACTTGGCTCCCCCCTAATAAAGGGGGCCTAGGCGCCCCTGATATAAAAGCATATTATAAAGCATCTGTTCTAGCCCAGGGTCTGGAAGTCCTTACCCGCCCCAAGCCTCCAGTATGGTTACCCCTAGAGAACGCAATCCTTCACCCAGAAACAATAACCCACCATCTGTGGAACATAGCTAGCCGTCCGTACCCCCCCCCGAAAGGCCTGCCCAACACTAAATTTATGTTGACCGGATGGAGCAGATGGGCGACGGACTTGGTGGGGCAAGCTCACCCACTTCTCTTCGCTCCCCTGTCTCGACTGAACGACCTGACAAGTGACCTCCCACTGAAAGTCTGGATAGATAAAGGGATCACCTCGGTTGGCTCGTTAGTAACACCACAGGGCATCAAACAATTCCCCGAGTTGCAAATAGAATACGCTCTGCCGCCTAGGGAAATATTTACATATTTACGCATCAAAAATACACTTACCACTACAAAGATACGGCATTGCGAGGCAGACCAACTGACGACTTTTGGCAGGAGCTGTGTCTCCCGACAGAAGTCTTGCAAACCCCTATCTCTATGCTACAACGCTCTAAACGATGCGGACAAATGTATAAAACACCCGTACATGCTCCAGTGGGAAACTGACTTGGCAACCCAATTTCCCCTCCCTATGTGGCTACAGTTCATCCAAATCACACGAGCGGCATCTCACAATTTATCCCACTGGGAGGCTTACTGCAAGCTACTTATGAGATGGTACTTGGTACCCTCGCGCCTAGCCCAGATGTATCACTCATTGACACCGACATGCTGGAGATGTAAGAGCGAGGTGGGCAATTTATTACACATATTTTGGGGATGCCCCATTCTGGCGACATTCTGGCAACAAGTCAGAGACCTAACCAAATCCATCACTCAGGTAGATTTGCCCGCACGCCCAGAGAGCTGCCTTCTTCACATCTATACTGGATTATTAACATCCCCTCACAAAAAAATTAGCATTGCGAGCAGATGGAAAAGCTCTGACCCACCTTCTATCCAGGAAGTACGCAATAGGGTCCAATCGACATTTGAATATGAACGGCTAGCATTCCGACTGAAAGGGTGCGAGACGAAACACACACTCCTATGGCAAAGCTGGCACTCGATTCCCTCCCCGAAATGAAAACCCCCTCACAAAAAAAATAAATAAATAAATAAATAAATAAATAAATTAAAAAAAATAATAGCCTACCTAGCCCATGACGCGGTAGTACGACATCGCCAATCCTCCGCAGGCAGGGCATCTCGTCATTAACGCTAATACCATCACTACTGCTAGCACCGTCACTTTCGCTGGCCACGAGTTTACAAGTCCCCTGCCACCGTTTCAGCTCACCCATAGCTGCTGTCCGTCTCACTAGCACCTGGTATAATGCTGTGCATGCTATAACAATACCTCTCATCGTATCACGTGTACTAACTGAAATGCTATGTATATTACCCTGATGTAACAATTTGAATGGTACCCCCCCACACCCTCTTTCCTTTCTGTACCCCATTCCCCAAGACTTGAATGTACCTTCTTGCTGATAAATATTAATAAAAACGAGAAATTGAAAAAAAAAGATTGTACTGCGCCAATACATTAAAAAAAAATATGCAATTTCTTTACAGCAATATGAAAAAGTGTATGAGATATCTTTTAAAAAAAAAAAAATTGCACATTTGCAGTTACGGTAAGTGTCCGGTGTAGGCAGCTGCCTGCTCTGCCTAGTGGCATATCAGTTGCTGTGCCGATCTTGCAAAAGGCATTATAAAAAATGGTCAAAGGTTTGGGCAATTTCTTCATATTTTGGGTTGTGCTATCAGATGCTGCTTCCAAGAATATTGGGGGCATGTTTACAAATCTCTCCACAAATTGAAGGAGTTTTACAAATTAATATGAATTATTTTTTTGCGAGTGAATGAAAACATCCTCCAAATTGTTGTATATGAGAGTATGTTTTCTTTGCACACATGACGAAGAGATGTGGAAGCCCTGAACTTCACAGACACATCTGTCAAGTATCGCTAATGCACTTTGCCACAATCAGTTGCACCTGGTCACATGTTTGCATTGAAATGTAAGAATGCATGAGGTCCGCAGTTGCATACCACTACCTAGATCAGGTATAGGCAACCTTTGGCACTCCAGATGTTTTGGACTACACCTCCCATGATGCTTTGCCAGCATTATGGATGTAAGAGCGTTATGGGAGATGTAGTCCAAAAATCTGGAGTGCTGAAAGTTGCCTATCCTTAACCTAGATACTTAGAAAAAGCAGATATTGTGAAACGTAGCACAGAACATGAACTATTTAGTAGTTCTTAATAATCTAGAACTTGAGGAAGGACAGCAGTCGCAGGAATCTGGAGCTCCATGCACCAAACGTTGGAAAATCTAACAAAATAATACCCACAGACCCCCAAACGTCGGCGGAGACCCCCCCACAGCAAAGCAAAGCACAATGGGGAAGAAAAATAAAAAACCGGGACCAGACAGACATACCTCTGAACGGACGATCGGCGAAATGTGGAGGCAAGCACGAGGCACGATGGAGCCTAACATGGCGGCCCTTCATGGCGGCTGTTCCGATTTCTCGGACGATCTCTCTGGAGATGCTGAGGATGACTACATGACAGCCCCGGCCATAACACGGAAGGCCAAGCCAACGGGAACCGACGGTGAGTTGGTAACCACAGGGGTTATGAGGGCACTACTGGCAGATCTCCAAAAGAATATATTGGCGGATGTAACTGCCCTCAGGGGCGAACTGCAGGGCCTGACAGGCCGCATCAGCACACTAGAGACAACGTCTCAAGGACACCAGCAGGACCTATCGTCCCTGCAACAGGCGGTACTGGACCTGCAAAGGCAGAACCAGATACATGAACGCCGCTATGCGGCTCAAGAAAATAGCAGAAGAAGACAAAATCTAAAGGTCAGAGGGCTCCCTGATGAGATACCTGAGACCCGCCTGCCGCAAGTTGTACAGCGTATGATAGCAGCCATATTGCCAAGCGGACAGGCCATAGCCATCACCCCTGTGGACCAATTTCGAATCCCTAAACCCCCCAGAGCACCACCCTCAGCGACAAGAGACACTATAATCACTTTCCGAAATGGGAAGGAAAAAGCGACGATTCTCTCGGCCCTCCGAGGTAAAACCCCTATGCAGTTTGAAAACAAGGGACTGACCTCTTTTGCTGACCTGTCTGGTAGCACTCTGGCCTGGCGCAGATCGCTCCAACCACTTACCTCTCTGCTCCAACGGCACGGCATCAACTACCGCTGGCGGAACCCCAGATCCCTCAGTGTACAGCAAGGAATGGCCTCTCATCTGGTTCACGACATTGAGGAAGCCCCTGACCTCCTGCGGACTCTGGGCATTCCACAGACCTCGCTCAATCAGGAAAGGCTTCTTCACCCGACCACCCCAGCGCAGACCTGGGACCCGGCAAAAATCAACTTGTTTATCCCGAGAGGTTCAACCCCTGAATCCTACGCCGCGGTCACCACCTAGACACGGCACCTCTGGGACTATACAATCTTTGGACGCTGAATGTAAGTCACCCCAGCAGACACTTCTGAGACACTTATACCACACGTTATTTGTAGCCCCGGATTGCAGCGACTCACGCTCATCACCACAGCCAGTCTGGATAGCAACTACCCTCACCAACATGACTGACTCCCGCAGACACACACTAGCGGACTAGTCAGAGGTCTTCAGACGGATGATATCATTGGACAACCAAATCCAACACACATGGGCAACCTTGCACTCAAGGTTCAGTTTGTTGGACATCCCTGGCAAACTTTGGGACTGTGCCGGTTTACGCTGCACCTGACACCCGACAGAACACTGGCAACACGGCACGAACTATCTGCACATGCAGGCCTATAGCCCAGCCGAGATAAAGGTCGGATGACCGCAAGGAAGGGAAGGGGGGAATAGCTGACGTCCACAAGCTTTTGTTACCAGAGACTTTTCCTTTTCCCTTTCCTTTTTCTATTGTTTGCCTTTTTGTATCTCCCACGATAACTCAGCGGAGCATCCGGTTTTTGCCTGTCTGGACTAGATCGTGATCACTTACCACTAACACTCTGCCATGTATATTGCATCTATTGCCATGATAAATGTAGATTTATATACCGCAGTGTGTCGCTAGACTAACATGTATAGACATATCTATAACTACAATAACTTACGGCTCATGTTACAAGCGTGTTTAATTTTTCGTTTTGGTTAGTTTGTTCAGAATTGTTTTTTGCATGTCGCACGTATAGAGAGGCAGCGCATGATATCTAGCCTGGCCACTCGGCACGCAGCACCCACTCACCGTTAGACGACTTAATGCCACACAGGCAGGTCACGTAGCGATTGATATTAAACCTGTCTCTGATCAGGTTGCCATTGCCCTGACACCTACATACATCTAGACAGAGGTCTCAGAGAGCTCAATGATTCTTCTTGCGCTGTAATTATTTTCTAGACCTTCTCCTTTGACTTCCACAATGACTCTAAGGATGCTGAAGCTAGGAGTCCTGTGTCGATATGTACAACGTAGTTATGAACAAAGGGGCTATCTGAATTAACCATCCAGAGTAGCCTACCCACCCGCTCATTTACTTAATATACTTCACTACAACCCCTTAGATCTGCTGTTCCTCACGTTTAAAGCACCTGCCTAGACTCTCAAGCAGACTAGCTTGTCCCAGCACTTCTAACACTGCAGTAGTACACCGCAATGCAACTTACCTCACACACACCAGAATCTACACTGCAGTAGCATTCCACTATGGTTCAGCCTGTTATATTGTTCTTGCTTATATATTTCAAAAATGTGCACTTACTCTTGCCACTGTTAAGCATGTATAGACATATGTAAATACGCTGTTGTGGCGTTGGAAACTGACATGTACCCACCTGCACAATGAAAATAAAGAATTTTAAAAAAAATTAAAAAAAAAATAATATAGAAATATGGTTACCATTATGTGAGATGAAAAATTCAAAAAATTTCTTAGATTAACCTTTGTCACATGAGAGGTACATAATAATGCCCCTAACCATGGCTTTTTTCCACAGAACCAAATATTTTATTGCAATTTCAAAAGGTTTACACGTTTCTATTTTAATTTTTTTTTTTTTTTTTTTGTCTAAATTTAAACTTTGGCCTAAAGGACATCTACAACTCCAAAAGTTTCAAAATGAGCTTATCGTAACAATGAGTCGTAAGTTTCTTTTGTGTCGCCTTTAGATGTTTGGGTACTTAAACATATACTTTCTCCACAGAGATTGGTTGCCATGAACATGCCTCTCAACTCAGATGGGACTGTGACATTTAATGCCACCCTTTTTGCCTTAGTGCGTACCTCACTGAGGATCAAGACAGAAGGTACCAATCTACTTAGTTTCATCACTTTCTCTTTTAGATTTACTGACTATCAAATATATTCACTAAAGAATGACACATGAACAGTTCTTGGTAACAATATGAATCAAGATATGCACAATTTTGGTAGATAAGGGAGAGGAGTGGACTTCTGTGCTACCACCTTCAGCCTTCAAGGGTTGGGTGTCTCATCTTACTGTTCTGCTTGACTTCACTGTCTACCAGACCATTGGCTTTATAATAAATCTAGATTGACACTTTTCTCCTTCTTGGTTGTCCATGATAACAACTGTGATATGTCTCATTTAGGGAACCTGGAAGCTGCCAATGAAGAACTGAGAGCTGTGATCAAAAAGATCTGGAAAAGAACCAAACAAAAGATACTGGATGAAGTTATCCCTCCCCCTGAAGGTCAGCCCCAAAATACAAATGCCCAAATATCCCTCTTTCAAAACACCAGAGTGTGTGTGTTGAGAAGGGAATGCATCATGTTTGGTTTTTTTTTGGCTATTTCTGGAACATGTGACATAAATAATAACAGGTTGCTTTGTTCATAGAAGTCCAGATTAGTTTAATTAGATAAACTAAATTTTTTGAGGGAAGAAAATAATTCTTCATATATGACTGTGGTACTCACCCAGTTGCAACTCTAGGAATAGTACACGGGGGAAGTAAGAAAGGTAACATAATCAAAACTGGGAAGCCCTAATAATTTCCACCACTAAACCATATTGGTAGTAGTTGTGGGGGGCTTTAATTGGTGCACCCTCTGGAGCCCCTATCCTATAGACCTTATGCCCCCTACACTTTACTATAGCTAATGCATTTATCTTTTTATTGTATGTCATAGAGGAAGAGGTGACTGTTGGCAAATTTTATGCCACTTTCCTTATCCAGGATTACTTTCGCAAGTTTCGTCGTAGGAAAGAAAAGGGTCTTCTTGGGACTGAAAATCTACCTAGCAATTCTACCACTTTACAGGTGAGTCCTGTGATAATCTGTGCAGTCAGTTAAACTGCCATTGTGCTGTTAAATATGTAAAAATATAAGAGGACACATGAACTTAAAACAGCTTTAAATTAATTAATATAACACAATGAAACTGCAGATGATGCTAAATATTTCATCAGTACAGTACCTGCTTGTCTGATGTATATGCTATCTTATATTACTGAGACAGGGGCCTCGATTTAATTTATTTGGATCGGCATAATAAATTATCCCAATCTGTTATAGAAACTTTCAAATTATTTTTCTACAAAAATTCCCATAGATGTTGCTATGTCTGGCTGGAGTATATTTTAATTATACTACTTGGCCTAACAGAATTTCATTACAATTATACCGCTTGATATATAATTATATAACAAGGACTAGCTTGGTTATATGATACTTATATTTCTGGTTCTATCACTACAAGGGAGAGCCTAGTTGGAGTATAGGCCAACTATATTAAAAGGCCTAGCTGAAGTATATGATACTTATCTTCATACTCTCAGACTAAGCTTGACCATATATTAACTATACTACTGGGCCTAGTTCACCATAAGGTATTTATACCATTGTTGCCTAATTTGGGAATATCACACCGAAATTCACTCATCATCGGGCCACCCAAATACACTCATCATCACGCTGTAGCGCCAAGCCCTGGCATATGATCATTATAATTTTAGGCCCTGCTGGGGTATATACTCATGGTATTGGTCATAGCCAGGCTATATGCTCATTATCCAATGTTGGATGATGTATTATTGGTCAGTGCCTTTGGTTCTTAGTTAGTGTTGTTTGTCCCACAGGCTGGACTTCGTAGCTTGCAGGATCTTGGTTCTGAGATCCGCCGAGCATTATCCTGTGAGCTGGAGGAGGAGGATCTCTCAGCGTTTAGAGAAATTGGGCGCCAGGTAAATACAAGCTGTAAACCATTACTACTCAGGGTTTATTTCCACTGTTTTCCCAACAAATCACTGATCAGTAAATTGGGCTTGCTAGCGTTATTGGGTTCTGGCTTTTTCTGTACTACAAACTCTACCCGGCTGCGGATTGTAATTCCTGACTGTTAGTAATAACAACAGTTTATGTAATAATAACATTGGAAACAAGCCCTACGTTTTTTGGCTAAAACGTGGGACAACTTAACAGCAAATATGTAAATAACTTGTCTGGCGTCTTCTAGTACAAACAATTGTGGATTGCCCAATAGATGAACAAACAAATTGTAACTATTATTTATGATGCCCTCATTAACTTCATATCCACAAATGAAATATAAACATTAAATCACTCCAATTTTTTTATTTTTTTTAAAGGAGAAGTGCAAATAAAAAAGTCTAAAACAGGGCACAAGAGAATACTGAGAACAGACAAGACATCAAATAACTTGTGCCTTGGTGGGTCCCCACTCAGTTCTCAAGCTGATTTTAGCTCATTCTGTGCTCATTCTGTGCTCAGACTGATCACACCCAAAATGCAGATTAGCTTCCTCTGCACAAGAGATACAGAAACCATAGACAAGCAGTTCGGCTTTAACAGGCCTCGTCAGAGAGGTACAGCTGATATCCCTCTAGGTACAATGAGAAAGGTGTCCACATATGGATTACCCTTTCATCTCAGGGAGAGCAAACATACTAAACTGGGGCACAAGAGAATACCGAGAATTGACAACAACTCGAATAGCTCTCATATTCTTTATATTTGCCACAATGCATTTGCTGATGGTCTCCTTAGGTTAAAAGGGTAATCTAGAAGTGGACACCATGCTCATTGTTCCTCGGGGGGTATCAGCTACACCTCACTGATGAGGCCCCACGAAGTCCAAAACGAATGTCTAGGGATAGTTTATCTTGTGTTCAGTGGGATCTGGACTGCCATTAAGGGATGGATCTTCTGATATGCAATGGGTATAGGTCCTATCTGTAATGGCACAAGTGAACAGAAACTTTTTAGCGACCTGAGCAGGAACTAATTGAAAGGATTCTCTGAGCTGTCGCCTGTTCAGAGTTCTCAAACCATCTGTTTTTGCCACAAATATCACATTATGGAGCCAACAATATCTTAAATATGCTTTCCAATTTTACTGGATGGTTTCCAAAGAATTTAGCAGCTGCTGAGATCCTGTCAAATTCAAATGGTAAGTGAAACATTCTCGGATTGACTATTAAACACACGAGATAAATGTTATCAAGTTTTGCAAATAGACCACATCATCTGATGTCATTCAGAAGATATGGACACGCAACCCTCAAACAAACATAATGTTCTATTACTAGCAAAATAATCAGGAAAAAAAAGCTTCCTCTCTCCGAGCTATGGTGGCAGTAGTATCTTAAAGGGACACTATAGTCACCAGAACAACTACAGTTTATTGGATTTATTCTGGTGAGTAGAATCATTACCTTCAGGCTTTTTGCTGTAAACACTGTCTTTTCAGAAGAAATGCAGTGTTTACATTACAGCCTAGTGATAACTTCACTGGCCACTCCTCAGGTGGCTGTTAGAGATCCTTCCTGGGTCATGGCTGCCTAAAATGCATCCAAACATTCAGTATCTCCTCCCTCTGCATGCAGACACTGAACTTTCCTCATAGAGATTCATTGATTCAATTCATCTCTATGAAGAGATGTTGATTGGCCAGGGCTGTGTTTGAATCATGCTGGCTCTGCCCCTGATCTGCCTCCTTGTCAGTCTCAGCCAATCCTATGGGGAAGCATTGTGATTGGATCAGGCCACCACTTCTGATGATGTCAGCAGACTGCTTGTTTTTCTGAGACAAACAGCATGCAGAGTTACAGCTTCAGGCTTGAATACAGTAAGATTTTGCTATATTTATGGAGGCATGAGAGGGGATAGATGGTGGCTTTAACACTATAGGGTCAGGAATACATGTTTGTGTTCCTGACCCTATAGTGATCCTTTAAGTGAAAACATCTGGGTATTTTGTTTAATAAACGATAAATTGTAGAGAATTGACCAGGGAATTGCAGTTCTTAGGTTGTAATGGCATAAGAAAAAAATATTTTCTTATTTTTTTCTGCTTGATTATTTTGGTCTATATTTGCAACTTCCTTCCTAATTGTCATAAATTTAGTGAAGAGACAATAATATAGGATGACATCCATGACATTCCTTGTGTTTTTAGGTAACAGAGGATGGTCCTACATGTGAGAATACTTCAGCTCTGTGTATGGAAAATATCCATTCTTCATCTGTACTGTCCCTTACCAACTCCATTGGAGGAAGGGATGTACAGCCTCCTACCTCTCGGAAATCATCACTAGTCAACCGCTCTGGTGGTGGTTCCAAAGACAGCCTACTGCCACCACCACCGCCCACTGTGACCAATATCAAGAAGCGGCAGCTGAGTACACGCAGGTGAGCTGATTACTGTAATATACATTCCAATACACTGGAATAGATTGCTCTAATTGGCAAATCATTAAAACTAGAGGTCTTTTGCAAATAAGATATTGAAGAATATGAAAAGTGTTTGAATAATGCATACAAAAAAACCCTGTATTTAGGGAGCCATACTTGGATTAGAGAAAGACATTGCCCATCCTCAAATTGCTTCAATGCAGTTCAAATATGTACTTGTTTAAGATTTACGTAAATAATACAGAATTTCCCTTAAATTAATAGGTTTATGATACATTGCTTTAGAACCTTTGACATTGGAAGTCTGAACTGCTGAAACCATGACCCTTCAAATAATATGGGTTAAGTTGTAGTGTACTGAGACTGGAAGGTGTTTGTCCAAGATGTAGGTATATCTGACAGTCTAGGCATATTGGCTATAATATCCATTTTAGATATTCATCATGTAAAGAATATCTATGGGACAGTTGGTCTAAAGAAGTGGTGCTATCACATATTTGTTTTTTAGCTGCTTGATAAATTGTTGTTTTATCTGTTATATTTAGTAGTGCTAATTTCAGAATACCTAGTTTCAATCCACAGAAACAAAGTCTGGATGCAGTCCTCCAGGTCTCTAATGGATGTGAAAACTCAAATGCCAGTGGCAGCAATGGAAGATTTACCTTTGCTATAAATGCCATAAGCTGTTAGATTGTATTGTATTAATTTGATCATGTAATAGCACCAATCCCCCAGCTTAATTCTGTGAAAAGTATGCAGACTTCAAATACATTTTTAGGCGTCGCTACCCAAGGTCATCCTTTAACCAATGAAAACCTAGTGTGGCTTAACATGGCATAAAGCGTTCAGTCCAATAAGGGTCTGAATGTGGGGTGGAAAACGCATATTACATAGTAAGCTGGAATGGTGAGCTTCTGATCCACAGATAAAACTGAAGCAAGAATATGAAAACAAATTGACTTTTTTGATGCCCTCATGGCACATCTAGTAAATATATTTTTTAACATATCCACTAAATGTGCAAAATGTGTATTATTTGTATTATAAACACAGAAGAAGCTCAGATGGAAGTTGTGTTCCTCCTACTGTTCATGAGCAAGATGAGACTGCCACAGAGGATGAGCAGAGATCCAAAACCTCATCCCCTGTATTCCCAGCCAACAATGAGACAGAGAGGTATGTACTGCAAGAAGAAACATCCTCATACAATGTCACTATACACATAGGAACAGCTAGTGGTATTCATTTTACACAAGGTAACAACTTAGAAGAATTGCTCAAGATTACATTGTCCGTGGACAGATGATCTCATCAACTTTCCTTATAGGTATCACAATCTTCACCCATTGTATCTTCTAAGTTGTACAGTGTACTCTTTAGAAATGATAAGTTTAGAAAATTGCTTTGTTTCTTATTTGCATTGCATTTCCAGACAGCAAAGTTTTGAGGACATCCTACAACGTTCAGCATCTCCAGAAGACAAGATGAAGGCTATGCCACCGCCAGTAACATCACTCTCTGGGCCACGGGCTAATGGCACACTGGAGGGAAGAGAAGCCCCACGCAGGAGACTATTACCCCCAACTCCAGGTAAGTAGCATTCCATGGTATTAGTTATGTACATTCTGTCCACAACCTCCAATCACACAAATGTGGAAGTGAACATCTGCTTTAGTTATTTATGTGCATAAGTGACTAATCAACCTGTAAAAACATTAATTTCCTCCACCAGGTGGAAAATCTGCCTTTGGCATCCAATGTTTGAAAAGACAAGGGAGTTGTGATGATATTCCAATCCCTGGAACATATCATCAAAATGCCCCACCATGCCGAACAAGAGGCCAGGTATGTATAATGGTAGCTGGGGAGGTGAACCCCACATGAGAAAGGTGCAGAAAAGTGTATTGGTGATCACAAATGTCTACACAAAAGCTTTCGGGGGTGGAAGGGCAAAGTCATAGTGTGTAAAGGTACTGACACTCTTAGGCCTTACTTAAATCAATGGAAAGGTAATTTCTAGGTGGAACACACCCTCCTCTTGCCCTATGTTTTGGACGCCCATGTTGATGATTCTTAGAGGCAGTGGGAATTAACATGAATGCCTCCAGAAAGGCAAAGTATTACCAACAGTTGAACACAGGCCAACTGTACCAAAACCAGAGAAAAGTTGTGATCAGGATGTTAAAAAAACAAAATAATTGTAACAAGCCAGGAGTCAGAAAACCATAGTAGTCAATATAGTTGCATGTTAAGTCAAACCAGAACACTAGAATCATATGTAAAGTTCTCACAGTATGGAACCATGTGAGTGTACGGAGTAAAGAGAGCATTGGATGTATATAAATATGTGCAGTATCTGTTTTTATTACAAAAACTGAACCTGGCAAAAATGTACACGCACAAGACGAGAAGTCATTTTATGACTAGTTAGAAGAGCACCGCAATTGGTCTTATCAAAACATTTTATAAAAAGAAGTGCTGATCAAGTTGGTGTTAAACATACTGAAAAACACAGGAAAGAGGTGGATATACACAGGGGAACTATGACACCATAAAAGTAAAAAAAAAATAAAAATAAAAAAAAAGATTAAACAATATATACCTCATTGTGAAGTCCAGTCTTCACTTTTAAATAAACTCTTATAACATGACTATTGACTAATATGAATTAAGACGGCAACAATTTTTGGAAAACTGTAACTTGAAAATTGAGCATTTGACAGCTCAAGCTGTGTTTAATTAAGCATAAACTTTATAAAAGGTTAAATGCAATAGGCATTTGTATTTAGTGCCGAAGCTAATGAGAACACCACTTGGTAGATCTAAACTCGTGCTCAAACAGTCCTTTGTTGAGTGATTGAAAATTAGCGATATGTGTCAAGTTTTAGTAAGCCTTTCTTAATGACACGTCCTATAAATTAATTATATAATGCACAACAGACGTCTGAAAGGGTGGTTATCATTGCTGTAAATGAATAGTGACTAACGCCAACACTGCTGATGAGTCTATAAGGTTTAAATGACCTGTAATATAACATTTCTATATAACCTTTTACCTTACCGAAAATTGTGGAAAATATAGTTCACAAGCTTAATCTGTGGCACTCCAGCTACATAATATATGAACATCCATTTATTATTTGCTGTGTCTATTCATTAAGAGTCTACATATTCCACGAGGCACATACACAGAATGGGCAATACAATAAACAGTGGAAATATAAATACAGAATATTCATATCTCGATGACCTAATACAGGGACAGGCAACCTTCGGCCCTCCAGATGTTGTGGAGTACATCCCCCATAATGCTCTTACACCCATAATGCTGGCAAAGCATCATGGGAAGTGTAGTCCAAAACATCTGCAGTGCCGAAGGTTTCCTATGCCTGATGCTATGGGAATTGGATTTTCCTGTGTGTCAACGAGTCTTAGATAAAGAAACCATTTAAATCACGCTCTTCATGATCTTTAATGTTAATCTTTGTATGCCATAAAATAGCCTACACACAGAATTGAAATAAGACGCCATTCAAACAACTGGGGCCAAAATTAGATATTAATATAAAATTATGTTGCCCAATACTGAGCACAAGAACCTTGACTAGTTTAGAATGAATAATAACGTAGAGGCAAAATTTAATTTTTCTAATGCAAAGGATGTGTTGTACTGAATGTTTTATAAAAACATCTCAGATTACACATATATGTCTACTTACATTCCTTTTAAAATAAGCAGTAGTTATTTATGGACCTTGATGCCCTACACTCCTACAGGCCTACTTTGATTTATTTAGACAAAGTGTCTATATATCTATTTTGCTTATCCTTCCTAATACTGTACATGTTTTGTGTGTTCTCTTTCCCACTGCCCTCATCAGGGATATGGAAGTTCAGATTCATGGGAAAGAACCACTTACTCACCCAGCGGTTCTCTGTCATGGGCAAATCCTCCAAAACGGGGACGACTTCTATATGCCCCTCTTATCTTGGTGGATGAAGACAGCACCCTGCCTACAATACCATGTGCTCACTGGTATAGAGAAGAAGAGAGCAAGGCGCCTTACTGCCCTTACACCCATCTCCATGTGCCGCACCAGAGACTGACTGAAAAACGAGGAAGTGCCGATAGTCTAGTCGAAGCCGTAAGTTGGAATTTTATGTAACTTTTTTTTTTATGTATAGATAAAAATAAAAAAATTGAAAAAATCCAAGCAAAACAAATATTTGGTATTTATTTTATGAAAACTGCTAATATTTCTGAAGCTGATTAAATTTATATTACAAATATTTGTAAAATAAATATTAATAAATAAAAAAAATGTAAAGTATAATTCAAACAACAGATATTTGAATAAATAGTCGCAACATAACCAAACACAGAGAGAGCTATTAGCTTAAAATGTCTTTATCATTGAAGTTTTCACATGGCTACATCTTTCTTTTGCAGGTCTTGATATCAGAAGGTCTAGGGTTGTACGCACGAGACCCAAAGTTTGTTGCTTTCGCAAAACGTGAGATTGCCGATGCCTGCCACATGACTGTCGATGAAATGGAAAGTGCCGCAAGTGATCTGCTCAGTCAGAGTCGGAAGGGAAGTTTTGTCGGGAGCAACGGAAATCGCAGTGGAGACGACCTGACTGGGCAAGGCCTTTTGTACAGCGACGAAGAGTCAATACATTGTAAAGATGAAGAGGAACTGCGGGATGAGATGGTCTGTGTGTCCTCTTTCTGATGTTAAAAATATAATAGACTTCCATCCTTGTTGGGAAGACAGTAGCCAAAGCACTTATTTTAAATATGGGGACACAATAGTCTTAACGGATAAAAAAGAGAAACCAAAAAATGCTAAACTGTGAATACAGAGAAATGATCGTTCAGCAAAAAAATATTTACAATAAGCAGAAGTAATAAAATTTCTTTGTGTACTACTTGTAAACATTGATTTTCTTGGTACAATGTGGTATTAAAAAAAAGTTTACTTGGAAAATAAATTCCAATCAATGATGAACCGAGTGAAGAATTGGCACACACTGCCTGCATTAGCATATGTGGATATGTGGTATACCAGTCTGTGAGATTGTTAGAGATGTCAAACTTCTCTGAAGGTGAAGAATAGTCTAAAACTATTGGTTGGCGGGAAACACCACCACCAAGAATAAACTAGAAGTGGTAGGCAGGTGAGCAACTTTGACTATCCATTTCCCATATTGAATTTCCCATACTGCTAGCAGTCAACTGGCCATGTTGTCTATGTTGAGAAGCAAGATTACTGCGTTGCAGTAGGCTTCGCCGGTTACATTCTATCTTACTATATTGTGTGATTCTACAGAGTTCTGTAAAATACTCAAGTTAAACCGCAGCAAAAACTCTTCAGAATAAATGATTCATGGAGTTAGTCATGCCCTGCTGCCCATTAAAAGTCATTGCCTTGAATAGACGTCAGCTCTGATCTCAGTAGAAAACATGGTTGTTACAGATTTTTCTATTGAACAAACTTCAAATATATGTTCCACATCGGTTTTGTGCCTGTTAGAAGATCCTGCTGACAATTTAGAGAGTTCTACAAATGTCAATCTTTGTGGCAGTCTATGAAAAACCAACAGTGTCATCCTGGTACAACTGTGTGCTAGTGAACAAAGCAATAATTGATATATTAAATAAACACTTCAGTATGATACAATATATAACCTTATTAGGAATCATGTTTGGGGTAGAACAAGAACCCTTGAAAGCTACACCCAGCCTAACTGAGACCATCATTTGGGAATTATGGTACAGAATAGATAATGGGAAAATATATTGAGGAAAAGTTTGAGCATACAGTATATTCTCTTATATTATAGCAGTTGCTACACTATAGGTTAGAACAATGGCTCTTACCCCTTAAAGGAACACTCCAGACCCCTAAAGCACTGCAGCTTTCTGAAGTGTTTTATGTGTGAATATTTTTTTTATTTTAGAAAAAGTACAGATTTCAATATAAATTGGCACTCATATAAATTATCCTTGTTACACCCTCTGGCTGTCAATCAGGCAACGGGAACGTTCCTTCTTAGTTTGGTTAGCTCAGTGGAGCTAAACTCAAGAGGCAGCAATTGCCCAGATCATCTGCCTTACAAAGACTTCTCATTGAGATGTTTTGGGAAGTCTGTGATTTGACAGCCACAGAAAGAAGGTGAAAGCCTTAAAAGGCAGCAGACAAGATATCTTCAGCTTTTGTAAGCTGCTTTTAGATATACTCCCAATACAAGTGCATAATGAAATGCATTCATGTTTTAATTTGAGGTTTATCTACTAAACAGTGTTTTGTTTGAATTTGGGCAGTGGAGTGTCCTTCAATTATTTTGTGAATCTCACCTAGCAGAAATAAGCAGATTTTAATTGTCAGACACTATGCAAGTGCACATAGAACTTTCTATATTACAGCAGCACTGCCTTCCCTTGGGCGGTCTTATTACGCTTTTATTTATTATAATATTCTAATATTAATACTGTTTAAGAAATCAAATTAAAGAAAATTGGGTCACTTTATAAATGATCTGTCTTTAAGCGTACCTCGGTCACTAGTGTGAACGGAACAACATTTACAGATTTTTCAGCGCTCACAACCTTTACCTCAAAATATATAATTTGGGCCCCTGCCAAAAACAAAGTTTAAAAAACCACTGGTTTATACCAAAATATAGCACTCAATTTTGGGTGTTTCAATATATATGTATGCCTGCTGTGGACTGTGACTCTCAGCATGCTCAGATAGCCTTTTAAAACCACAAAACACAAATATTGAATTAGCAATAATGAAAACAGCAAATCAATGTATTAACAGTGAAAAAAGTCTTGTTGGTGCTTTTTATTTATTAAAATATCACTAAACACAGTGAGAAATTACAAATAAATAAAAACAGGCTGTATTTTTTACCTTGCACCAAAACCACAGTTTGAGAAAAATGGATGGAAAAAAAATTGAATAAATTGTTTTGCTACATGCAACAGGTCTTTAGGAATACAGCAATCAGTCCTGATGGACTAGGTCACTGTGATCTGCAATTATGATGATAGGATTTCTCTGATAATCCTGTTATAGAATCAGCATTGTAAACCAGGGAGAAATACAGCATTATTATACAAAAATTACCTACAGGACTGGTGTTCCACCCTTTGTTGACAACAGCGGTTCACAAAATCCCTAGATGCAGAGTTACAACTCTTATTACGCATTGCCAAACTTTAGAACTCCCAGAACCCCTGGCTTAGACAATTGAGATCAAATGTCATACTTGGATTCCTCGTAAAAAAAGAGATAACGTTTTACTCTTTATAGGCCATACGAACATTAACCTTTACATCAACCTCACATATATTTTTATTGCCAAATTATCAAATTATATAGTTGTTATAGTTCATGGTGTCTGCAGGAGTCAGACTGCATTGCCAGTTCTTTGTTATTCACTTCCAGGCAACTGAATACAAAGTTGTTTAGAGGGGACCTGTTATATTTGAGTTTTTCATATTGGTAGAACAAAGAATTACCTATACGTTGTTTTGGATGCATTAAACGGTTGCTCCAAACACCATGATCACTTCTGCTTTTTGAAGTGGTCATGGCGGTAGGAGTCTGGATGTGCAGTGTTCCTGCTTGAAACACTGCACATCGAGAGTTATTTGCACTTGTGTGGTCACTTCCATCTGTATACACACACTGCACCCCTCACACAGACACATACATTACGACCCTAACACACACACACACTACTACCTCTATTCCCTACTACAGCACCCATCCCGGCAGACCCCAGGTAAGTTGTCAAACTGTTCTTAAACTTTTTGACTACTTATTATGGGAGGGCACCATGGCACTCCTGGCACCATAACCACTACAGAGAGCTGTAGTGGTTATTGTGCATGGATTGTTTCTTTAAATAATCTACCAGTGCCCATTCCGAGATTAGTTTTGACACTGTTCCATGCCTGGGGCCTTCCCGGTCTGGGCAAGCAGCCATCTCAGGGGTAAGTTTGCAGGTAACATAACAGTAAAGAAAAAATAAAAGGAAATTAAGGGCACACCAGAAACCCATACAGACCAAAATACAATATATATAATAATGCGCATTCAACAGATTAATTAAGGAATACAAATCTCCCAGAACTAGGATACCCTCCCTGAAGGTCTCTAAGAAGGCTAGCACCCTCAAAAGAAACAAATGTTGGCCCGTATTAGGAGCATATGCAGAAGCAAAAGTATAGAACTACAAGGCGATTGTTGCTTTAACGAATAGTTCACTCTCCACTGGACCACCAGGGAAAGCAACAGCAACAAGGATCCCCCCTCCCTACATAAGGTAAGAAGGGAGGGGGGATATCAAGTAATGTACCCCTACCTCCACCCCCCACAATCACCCACACACATACAGCACCAACACACATACAGCACCCACAGACATACACAGCACCCACACACATACAGCACCCACAGACATACACAGCACCAACACACATACAGCACACACAGACATACACAGCACCCACACACATACAGCACCCACAGACATACACAGCACCAACACACATACAGCACACACAGACATACACAGCACCCACACACATACAGCACACACTGACATACACAGTATCAACACACATAGAGCACCCAAAGACATACACAGCACCAACACACATACAACACCCACAGACATACACAGCACCAACAGACATACACAGCACCAACACACATACAGCACCCACAGACATACACAGCACCAACACACATACAGCACCCACAGACATACACAGCACCAACACACATACAGCACCCACAGACATACACAGCACCAACACACATACAGCACCCACAGACATACACAGCACCTACACACATACAGCACCCTCACACACACAGCACCCACACACATACAGCACCCACGGATATACACAGCACCTACACACATACAGCACCCACAGACATACACAGCACCTACACACATACAGCACCTACACACATACAGCACCTACACACATACAGCAGCCACACACATACAGCACCCACAGACATACACAGCACCCACACACATACAGCACCCATAGACATACACAGCACCTACACACATACACAGCACCCACTCACATACAGCACCCACAGACATACAGCACCCACACACACATACAGCACCCTCACACACAGCACACAAACAGCACCCTCACACACACACAGCACACTAACAGTACCCTCACACACAAACAGCACCCTCACACACAGTACATTAACAGCACCCTCACAAGCACACACACACACACACACAAACAGCACCCTCACAAGCGTGCACAAACACCCTCACCCACATAGCACACTACCAGCACCCTCACACAGCACACACACACAGCAGTGTGTGTATGTGTGTATATATATATATATATATATATATATATACATATATATATATACACACATATATATACATACATACATATATATATGCAGCGTGTGCTTGTGCTTTAGGGTACACACCCTAATGCAATAGGCTGCGCACGCTTATGCATAGAGATATACACACGCTCATACAGACACATAGCTATACGGACACACAAGCAGTCATACAGACAGACAGTGAAGTAAAGTAGGGGGACCCTCAATGAACGCGAAAAAGAAGAGAGAGAAAGAAGTAACCACTCAATCCTTGGTGTCTGGTGGCACGAGAGCGCCATGAGGAACAGCATTAGTTCAACATACAGATCCTTCGCAGCCAGCTCTATAGAGGCTTCATGCATCACTACACACCCGAACAGGGAGTGGTGAGTAGAAATCTAGTGGACTTGGCTGTAGGGTGTGGTAGGAAGCAGATGGTGGGGGAATAATTTGCAGAAAATATATGCCAGGCCAGTGCAATGCTGGGGTGCGTATGCAGGTTGCCAATCCCTATTTTAAACC